AACTACCATTGGATTACCATTGGATTCCTCCAAGAGAATATTCTAGGGATTATGGAATGCATTCAGCTTACACAATTTGAGAAATTATTGGCATACGTAAAACCTATTTAAAACAGCATTTATCATATTCAAAAGCGTTGAGCATCACTGATTCCCAGCCCTCTGAAGATTGAAAAATAAAAATACCTGGGTGTTAATCCATGGATTATCTTTGAAAATTGGAAATATATTTTTGGATTTCATGGTGTAATCTTAAAGTAAACAAAATGTTTTAAGGTGTATTGATGTTTTTTGGATGAAAAACATAAGCGAAATTCATGGAAAAAATCCCCCGATTCATTCTACAAACAACTCGCCCTCCTTTCAAAAAATTTTTTTTTTCAAAAAATAATTTTTTTTTTCAAATTTTTTTTGGGGGGTGTCAAAGGGGGGTGCGGTCGCACCCATCGCACCCCCCCATCTGACGGCCCTGGAGAGGGAGTCTTATTTAACTTCCCCCTCCCTCCCTCATGTTATATATAAACATGATATATGTATTGACACAATACTGTTATGGGATTGAATATTATATTTTTGATTGAGTAGAGGAATTGCTATATAGACTTATAAATATAAATAGATGGCAGTGGTGATTTTGGTCAGCCAGCATATGATTCATGATATGGAAAAAACTGGCAAAAGTCACATAATTTCCTAATAAATTAAATATTTCAAAGAAGATTATGTATAACTCCATTGGCATGCAACTAGATTACCTTGGTAACATCAGGATTGTGATTTAACATTAAAGTTATGTTCCTTAAAATTTTCAACATAGTTACAAATCATCATGGAATACCATGACCCTCTCTTCTTACATAATAGATTGCCATGGAATTTGGTAAAGGGCACTTTGATTTAGAATTGGTGGAATCGACGGACGATTCAAATTCCTCTTAAAAAACATGTGATTTACACGTCACATCTCAAATGGAATAAACAATTTCTGTTTGCAAAAAGTCAATTCCTTGCACAGTTCTAAGTATTCACTTATTTCTTACAATTCCTACAAATAAGAATTCATTTGTATGAAAAATATACAATAACATTAGAAATAAACATCTTATAAAATATAGTTAATTTAATGGAAGGAAGGAAAGACAAAGAAATTAATTTTTTGAAAGTATGTAAACTTTTTTATAACCAGAAACTTTAGGATTGTATGGAAAGCCCCGCCCCCTCGATCAGCAGGATTGGCGCGGAAAATCAGAGCAACTAAACACAGACAGTTCTTTAGATGCGATGTATATCAGAATGGTTACAAAAGGGATTTATGAACCTAAAGCTACTGGGAAATTTAATACAGAAAAACAACTGTGTGTACTAGATGAAAGTCCTCATAGAAAAATACTCACCGGCTTTTTCAATATATTATATTTACATCATTTGCTTTCACTTTGGAAAATTGTATGGCTATTTACTGGTTCTAGTATCTAGTATGCCATCTTTATATTGTGAATTTTTATTCCTGATGAATTTGTACCTCTGAACATTGAACACCTACTTAAGGTAAGTGCACGGGTAAGTGCAGGAGCATTCAGTTCAAGTGCTACACCAGTAGTCGGTCACAAAAACCACACTGTATGTCAAAATAATTGATCAGAACTTTTTTTCATTTTGTGTTTAAATTTGAGAGCAAGGGTAATACAATTTCAAGTTTGAATGCCACAGCTATATATAATATAATATATAAATATTAAATAGGTAGCCTATTAAGGTGAACTAAAACAAATTTTGAAAACAGTATACCCGATACCATTGATAAATAGGTGACACCAATGCCAAGGCCTAGCAAATCCCACCAAACAGGCATGTGTGCCATTTTCAGAAACTAGCAAAATTGTGTAATACCTGTATGCAAACAGATATAGACTAGCTTCATATGCTTTATCAAGAACACTTAAATATCTTAAACAAACAATTAAGTTTAATGAACCTCAGTTTATATAGTGGATTTTAGAGAAAGTTTTATTCAAGCACAACTAGAAAATGGCAACTCCACGGAGTAGCAAATCCCAACGAACACTATATGAATCATCAATCTGTACAGTCACAATGTAATATTTACCATCTACTCTAACCTTCAATAATAAATATTCTAAATCATTGAAGTATCATGCAACAATACTTTCAAGATAACTCTTGGTAATGGCGAATTTCTGCTCTAGTCAGCCATTTTGAATTTTCAGAGGCACAAATCAGAAAAACAATGCCATAATTGTGCTCTACTCTGAAATTCCTTCAATTTGAGTATAATATAGCCATACTTTTAAGAGATCAGAAAACAATTGCAAAATCCCACATTAGGCGGCCATTTTGAATTTTTTGAGGCCCGAATCAGAAAAACGTTACAATATTTGCAATCTACTCTAAATTGCCTTTCATTTGAGTATAATAAAGCTATACTTCAAAAACATTTCAAAATTAACGCAAATTCCTGTTTTCCATATCCCCCATTTACGGCCCCTGGGGGTCAGGCTGAAAAACCCGGGATATATGTGAAATATTTCAAATAATAATATTTATTATTTTGGTTTAAAATGAAAAAAAAACATAAGATTTTTGCGAAAAATTCCCGCCATTTTAAAACTGGCGGCCATCTTGAAAAAAAAAAATTTGCGTAAAACTGTTCACCAATATACATCTTTCCACTAAATATGAAGAAAATCTGTAGACTAGTATTTGAGTTATCTTCCGGACAGACGGACGGACTGACTGACGGACATCATTTGTTTTTGCTGCATTGGTTTCTTCATTTATTTTCTTCTTTCTTTGTCTTGATTTGATTGCGATGTTAGTTATCTTTCTTCAGGGTCCACAGACTTGAGATTGCGCATAGTCCTGCGCCACGGACGGAGGGCTTCACTATATCCCTACAGAATTTCGTTCGTTGGGATAACAAGTGTAAGCACATATAGTTACAGCAACCTCGTGACAACCCAGCACAGAGAGACTAATTTGTAGGTGACATAAGAGCACCATAAGGATATCAATAACAACAACAACAATGCTTCTAAGTATTCAAGGGCATATCGCTATTTTTATGAGTAGTACTCTACCACAGGAATACAAGTTGAACAGACCAAAACACGAGCAGGCATACCAGACGTACCAGAAACTAGGTGCTACGCCTATGGTATTCACATATGAAGACTACAAATTGCTCCGATTTCCAGTACTTTTCAAGTTATAGCAAAAAGGTAAAAGTAACACATAAAAATGGCCACCATTTTTAATTGTTCAATTATATTTTCATATTTAGACAGTGAAACAGTGATATCTCATTTATTTGGAAATTAGAAATCAAATTATACAGAGTATTCGCCAAATCCACTTGCGAAATTATTTTATACTCAGGTTTAGAAATATTGTTTCATATACGCAGTTGTCGGACAAATGACGGCACTGAGTGTCTGACAATTACCTACATCCCTGTCCTCTCACTACAGTCTGTTATACTGCTTCAAAGGCAAGCTAAACCTGAAATATAAGAAATCTAAATAATATTGCGCAATAATATATATAAAAATATATTCATATTTCAAACGAATGACATTTGTATATGTTGGATTGCTTGTAAATTGGCTCATAAACTCTGTAACCTCTTATATTTTGATGCTTCTCTACCATGTTAATTCTCAAAAAAATAACATGGCAGACAGACCTCAATACAAGAGGGCACAGGCTTATTGCACTAAACACTGAATAATCTGAATAAACAAATGTCATTTGTATGCAATATGGATATATTTTGCTGTATATTATGGCACAATGGTCTATAGATTTCTTAATTTTCAGGTTCAACTGTTTGCCTTTGAAGCAGTGTACAGACTAGTATGTATCCAACAGACTGACTAGAAGTCAGTCTGTTATGATGTACTACTTTCCTGTGGAAATTGCAGTGAAATTTTTTGCACAAAATTATCAATTAGAGGAACCATTTCTTCATTAAAATAAACATTACAAAATTTCAACTAAATAGTAAGGTACAATTAAATGCAATAAAAAGTAACACAGCATATTATCAAGTGGAAATAAAGCTAGATGAAGAAACAAATTTGCAAATTAATTTTACCCAATCGGCCATTTTGAATAGCACTTCCTATGTAAACAAATATTCAAAATTACCAAACTTTAACATAGGTGCCTTATAGTCTGAATATAATTCAGACTAAATAGGATATACTGTACTCCGGGTAAATTTCGACGCTATAAAATTTCGCGATTTTTCAAAATTGCAATTTCGCGGCTATTTAATTTCGCGGATTTGAGTTGATGACACTTAGCAGATTGCACAAGTTGTAGGATATCATTGTCGTCAACAGTTCTTGCCTTTGTTGGCCTAATAAGCCAATTCAAAATGTTTTTAGGCCTTCGCCCAACAACACTGGAAGAAACGTTTCACACCGAACGAAACATCAAAAGGCCCGGGTCAAATCCCCGGGGATTTAAGACAAATTTCGCGACGATAAATGTTCGCGATTTTACTACATTCGCGAACAAAGCGAAATTAAATCGCACGCGAACATTACCCGGAGTACAGTAGTCTAGTGTACAGACTGTAAAAATTGATCAAGAAACATAAAGTTTCACTAAGTAGAAGTGTGGATTTGAAAAAGGAGGTTCAATTAAAAATTGGAAAATGGTGAAGAGTTACCACATTTTACTTCTATGTTATAGATGGGATGATGAATGTTACAGACTCTACAAAACATAAGACAGAAATGTAAACAATGGGCGATAATTGAGTATAGTTTCAGTTCAAGATAAATATTGTCAGATCAAAAAAGGGTTTTACTGCCTAAATGATGATGTCAGAAATAAGTAATATGTTTCTCATACAAATACAGAATTTTGACCACGTTTCCGTTCCTAATTATCTCAGAAATGTACAAATAGACAAGCATTATTTGGGAAGAAACCTACCGGAAGTGAGCCTGCCTCGTTCTAGAATCAACATGGCAGCGCCTATCAAAACGTGATATTTTTACAATCTATCAAGTTTTGCTGATTAAGTCATCTAAAAAGTCTTTAAAATGAAACGGACCCATCGTCTAGAGAAAAATGGAGTCATTCAGGTATACAATTTTTGGTTATACTCCGTCTTTTTGTCCAATTACAGTATTTTTGAGTTTACAATTTGTTTCATTTTAATGTTTTTTTCTCATAAGGCAATCCTCTTGTTACCCTCTGCATTCGCTCGACTTCGCCTCCTGAAAGAAAGTTTCATCATCTTCTCTTTTAGTTGACAATAAATCTCTGAAATCACTGAGCGGATTAGAGTTTGTCGTCGAAATACGTACTATTCATTCTCTACAGTCTGTTTTACTTTACTCTACCGATTCTGTCAGCTTTGCTCTGGGAAGTTGGATGTATGTGTACTTGAAGATAATAAATCGAGCCCATTTTGACTAAACGCTGTGCTGAGTAGCGTTTATAATACGCTATATGTTTGAATCAATACATAATTTATTTGTTGTTACCTTATTTTGTTCCTTCAACATTCTGTTGTTGTAGTAAATCAATGTTCTATTAGACAACAAAACTTTTGAATTTAGATACCAGCTATTTTAGGTCTCGTGAGATCTTGTGACTTTCGAAAGTAAAAATTTGCTACAAAATAACTCGCGTTAGCTAAATGCGATATAATCACGTGATCTTTCAGCGGTAATACCCATGCGCATAAAAAATACAATGCGCATGTGCACGCATGTGTAAAAAGTTCAAACATGGTGCGCGCCAGATCTGGAATTTCTTCACTTTAACTGCAATTACACAACAAGTAGGACTTATTGTCACCACGCGTCATGAAAAGGGCAAGTTATAATCCAATTATCTTGTTAAATACCGTTTCTTATTCCAGCGCGCCTGCTGGAAATTTGTGAAAACCGCTTCACAAGACGGTATATTTTAACGGTGTGTCAGCTGGCTTTTGAGCCAGCTGTGTTCAGTAAGTTTCACTGCTTCAAAGGCAAGCAGTTGAAGTTGAAAAATAAGAAATCTAAAGACTATTGTGTCATAATATATTGAAAAATATATTCATATTGCACACGAATGACATTTGTATATTTCAGATTATTTAGTGTTTAGTGCAATAAGCCTGTGCCCTCTTGTAATTTGAGGTCTATCCGCCATGTTATTTTTTTCAGAATTAACCTGTCAGAGAAGCATCAAAATATAAGAGGTTGCAGACTTTTTAAGCCAATTTACAAGCAATCCAAGATATACAAATGTCATTCGTGTGCAATATGAATATATTTTTCTATACATTATTGCACAATAGTCTTTAGATTTCTTATTTTTCAGGTTCAACTGCTTGCCTTTGAAGCAGTGAAACAGACTGTAGATATACATTGTATTATGTTGTCATTTCCTCTGACATCATTGCATAATTAATGAGCACGCATTTAGCACATGTTCCTTCCAGCTAACTGATTGGTTGAGAAAATGTCAGTGTGGTAGTTTTGAAATGATTTATGACCCAGGCTTACTAGGTGACGTCCAAAGCCTTCTCTATATTCCGGCTGTGAGTGATTGTTTACCGCCGACCTGATATTCAATATTTGTAAATCATGGTGACACACGCACAGTTGTTATGGCACAATTATATGAAACATACCTTTATGTACACATTTGCAGAATATCAGAATATCCCGGTTCTAATCGATTGTTATATACATGTATATTTAATTTAGCGAAGTGGAATTTCATTTCAAAATGGCCTCCATTTTTCTGCTGAGTGAGCTGTTGAGTTTGAGGTTCTCTCCGAAAATAAATTTTGAAATATCTTGATCCAGACAAGCAACGCTTCAACTTAAATATGATTAATATTCTTATAAGTATTTATAAGAATTATTAAATAGGACTTTTAGGTGCGTGTGACACTTTTTCTAGATTACATACGAAATCAATGAAGTTACATCTAGCTGTAAGCTAGAGCCGTTTCCCAACTAACAGTGAGCAAAACATAAAAAGCATGTGGTTTTGCTTATTCCTTTCTGTATAATCTTGATGAACAGTGGATCAGTTATGCAAAAGATGTTAGAAGTGTCTTCTTCTGTCTTTTTTTAAAATCTTTTAACAGTTACAGTAGGAAGAAAATAAGGTCGGAAATGAAATCTCTGCATTTACATCTAAGATTGATTATAATAAAGAGATTCCATGTGGTTCAATCAACAGTTTCTTTGTATTGTTTAGGATTCATCTGATGTTGATGAAACCGTTGATGTTGCCATGGATGATGCTGTCACAAATGGTGACCACATACACCAGGTTCAGCCCATTGCTAAGAAGGTGAAATTGAACAAAGGAGAGCTTTATAAACCACCTACTAATGAGGAGATCACTCAGCTTAAAGAGACAGAGTCACTTTTCCAGTCTGGGCTGTTTAGAATGCAGGTAATACTTGAAAGTTTAAGGGAATTATGCTTATTGAAATCATTTTTTATTTTATTTTTTATTTATTAAAATCAATGTAACATATTAACAGGTTTTAGTGGCTATGACCCCCAAGAGGGAGTCTTCTAATACTTTTCACTTTCTGGTCTTTGTTGCCATTTTAAGTTGTTACTTTAAGACATAGAAAATGGAAATATTGAATGAAAAAACATAGTTGAAATTAAGGCAAAAATCTATATCATAAGGTAAAAATCTCTGAAGTAGTTATTTTCGAAATAGAACCTTTGGAAAAAGATAATCCAGTGATCTCCCAGCATGAATGTTGCACCCTGTTAAAAATCTAAAAATCTGTTTGCACCTCATCAAAATGGTAAATTAATGAATGAACAAATGTAGGGAGCTCACGTTTCCCGAACTCATGACCTTATGTTATGGCATCACACCTAACTGAGCATGCTCGATGCTCTAGACTGGTCGGCCAACTTGACAACCCCAAAAAGGTAGTTAGATTACTGTTAAATCATTGTTAGATCGCTGTTAAATCATTGTTAGGGGCGGGGTCAAAATATCAATGTTCATATGGAGACGAAAGTAATTTCGTTTGGACAACAACCCCCCACCCCCCCTCTAGACGAAAGCTTAGGTCACTTCAAAAAACATTGATTTTCAGTGACTGTCAAATGATTTGGAACCCTTGATTACATTGATTGAAACAAAGCAATTTTAATGGAAAATTATTATTATTATTAGACTCCAGATGTCAATCTGGAGTCTATTGTTTTTGCCAGTATTCTTCTTTATTATTCTTATTAGACTCCAGATTGAAAATCTGGAGTCTATTGTTTTCGTCAGTTTTCTTATTCTTCTTCTTCTTCTTCTTCTTTTTCTAAACCAGTTTTCTCAATAACCATTAGGTCTTCAGTAAAGTCAATCATTTGGTCAATTTAGGTCCAGTATCTAGTTCCTCGGAAATTGGGTCAAATTTTTATCTAGGTCAAAGGTCAAGAACTAGGTCAAATCCAGTACTTTGTCACTTTTTTCGATTTTCTCGGTCGTTCTTCAATATTTTTGATCCGTTTTTTTTTCATTGTGTTCCTTATAAAAAAGTAGGAAACCTAGGGTCGATTTAGTTTTTTGATATCTCAAACCAATTTCGAGATATCAGTGTCCGAAAACGAGGTTAAAAAAAAGTTCTCCAAATCAAATGTCCAGGATATTAGTCTTATAGGAAATTTTCTCAGGATTCCGAATCTGAAAACCAAATTCGAATCAGACTTCCGGTTCGGAAGTAATGGCGTTTTGAAAGCTCAAAAATCGCTAAATTTGGTGCCCATGTTAAGTCAATGGGAAAAAAGATTTTTTTGAAGTGAAAAATACGAAATATAGACTGAGTTCAGCTAAATATAATGAAAGCTTTTAAAAGAATGGGACCTCAAAAGCCATCTAGCTTTAAAATTTGGACATCAAAATGCCTAGGTCAAAATCTAGGTCAAATTCAAAGTTTTTTCTTATTTTTGCGATTCTGACACTACAGATAAATTATATTCTTCGAAATTTTGTATACATGTAGCCAAGAGTGTGCTTATAGTGTTAGCCTTTGCCATCAGAAAGTATTTTGCCCCACATTTGAGATATGGTGTCCGAAAAGTAGAACAAAATAAAAAGTTCTCCAAATTTAACGTTTGAGGTATGAATTAAGAATAAAATTTTCTCAGAAAACCAAATCTGCTAACCAAATTTCGATTCGACTTCCGGTTCCGAAGTTATGGCATGTCCGAAAAGTGCATAACATATGAGTTATGAATTAGGGGTAAAATTTTATCAGGAATCCGAATCTGCAAATCAAATTTCGATCCGACTCCCGATTCGGAAGTTATGGCATTTTGAAATTTCAAGAAAAATCGATCTGATGGTATCCTGATAGAAAGTCAAGAGTAGAGAAGAAAATATTGAAAAATGCATTCATCCTTCCTTTCTGATCCTATCCTATCCTTCCTATCTACCCTTGCTTCGTATCCTCTCCTTCCTATCATTCCTATTCTATCCCTTCTTCCTATTCTATTTTATCCTTCTTTCCTATTCTATCCTATCGTTCCTTCCTATTCTATCGTATCCTTCCTTTCTTTTTCATCCATCCATCCATCCATCCATCTTTTTCTGGATGACTGAGCTTATTTTGGATGACTTGGCTTATTCTGGATAACTCGGCTAAAAAAAGTCAAGATCTGGAGTCTGAAATTGAACTCGTTCAATTTCCAAAATCTAGTTATTATTCTTCTACCTACGTTTTCTCAGTATCTAGAAGTCATTGAGTCAAGTCCTGTATATGGTCAATTTAGGTCCAGTATCTAGTTTCTCGGAAATTGGGTCAATTTTTTATCTAGGTCAAAGGTCAAGAACTAGGTCAAATCTTGCATTTTCATCATTTTTCCAATTTTCTCAGTCGTTTTTCAATATTTTTTCTCGGTCTTTTTTTCATCATGTTCCTTGGAAACAAAGCTAATTCCGTAAGGCAAATCGTTTTTTGATTACTCTTACGGATTTTGAAATATGGCGTCCGGAAAGTAGGTCACACCAAAACGTGCTCCAAATTCAATGTATGAGTTATGAATTAGGTGTAGAATTTTGTCAGGAATCTGAATCTGCAAACCAAATTTCGATCCGACTTCTGGTCCGGAAGTTATGGCGTTTTAAAAGCTCAAAAATCGCTAAATTTGGTGCCCATGTTAAGTCAATGGGAAAAATGATTTTTTTGAAGTGAAAAATACGAAATATAGACTGAGTTCAGCTTAATTTAATGAAAGCTTTTAAAAGAAGGGGACGTAAAAAGCCATCTAGCTTCAAAATTTGGACACCAAAATGCCTAGGTCAAAATCTAGGTCAAATTCAAAGGCTTTCCTTATTTTTGCGATTCTGACACTACACTTCAATAATATTCTTCGAAATTGTGTATACATGTAGCCAAGAGTGTGCTAATAGTGTTAGCTTTTTGCCGTCAGAAAGTATTTTGACCCACTTTTGAGATATGGTGTCCGAAATATAGGTCAAAATAAAAAGTTCTCCAAATTTGACATTTGAGTTATGAATTAAGTGTAGAATTTTCTCAGGAATCCGAATCTGCAAACCAAATTTCAATCCGACTTCCGGTTCCGAAGTTATGGCGTGTCCAAAAAGTAGGTCAAAATACAAATTTAACGTATGAGTTATGAATTAGGGGTAGAATTTTATCAGGAATCTGAATCTTTAAACCAAATTTCGATCCGACTTCCGGTTCGGAAGTTATGGCGTTTTGAAATTTCGAGAAAAATCGATCTGATGATATCCTGATAGAAAGTCAAGGAAAAATAAAAAGTTCTCCAAATTTAACGTATGAGTTATGAATTAGGGGTAGAATTTTGTCAGGAATTCGAATCTGCAAACCAAATTTCGATCTGACATCCGGTTCGGAAGCTATGGCTTGTCTAAAAAGTAGGTCAAAATAAAAAGTTTCCAAATTTAACGTATGAGTTATGAATTAGGGGTAGAATTTTGTCAGGAATCCGAATCTGCAAACTAAATTCCGATCTGACTACCGGTCCGGAAATTATGACGTTTTGAAATTTTGAGAAAAATCGATCTGATGATATCCTGATAGAAAGTCAAGAATAGCAAAGAAAATATTGAAAAATCCATCCATCCTTCCATCCATCATTCCTATCCTATCTGATCCTATCCTATCCTTCCTATCTATCCTTCTTTCATATTTTTTTTACTTCCTATCCTCCATATCCTATCCTTTTTTCCTATTCTATATATATATCTTTTATTGACTCTCTGATGTCATAACAATGACATATTAGTCACTAAAAACTACAATCTACAAAACTGACCTAAGACTAAACTAACTATTGAATACAAAAATAAAGTTGTTGTCAAATACAATTCTAATTACATCATCAAATCTAAAATACAGAATACAAGATAATTGTAAAATACAAATATAACTTGACAGAAATTTAAATATCAGTGTGATGCATCGTTATCCTATCCTTCTTTTCTATTCTATCCTATCGTTCCTTCCTATTCTATCCTATTCTTCCTTCCTATTCAATCCGCCCATCAATCTTTTTCTGGATGACTCAGCTTATTTTTGATGACTCAGCTTATTCTGGATGACTGGGCTTAAAAAAGTCTAGATCTGGAGTCTGAAATTGAACTCGTTCAATTTCCAAAGTCTAGTTATTATTATTACCTGATAGAAAAGTCAAATGAGAGGCATCCTATTTGCCGGGTTATTATTACGGTGAATTAACACACGTTCGCAATTTAACTGCATTGAACTCTTCAAAAGGAGGAGGGAAAAGTACGGAATTTATTTGACAAATGATCGAATTATCGTCTTTATCTACCGATATTTTGGACCTATCACACAAAAAAGCTCACGAACTATTGAAAACAAGCCTTTTTATCAGAACATAGCGCCAGAAAAAGTGGGTAAGTCCAATTATTTTTTGTATATCAGATATTTTGACCCCGCCCCTTAGATCGCTGTTAAATCATTGTTAGATCAATGTGAAATTATTGTTAGATCACTGTTAAATCATTGTTAGATCACTGTTAAGTCATCGTTAGATTATGTTAAATCTATGCAATAGCATGCAGCATATTGGATGAATTGAATATACAGGTATTATAAATCATGTCTTTAATCTCTCAGATCAATGAATTGCTTGGGGAGGTGAGACTAAAGAAGACCAAGAAGAGTCAGCTTGATTCATTCCTACACACTCTCAAGGAATCCATTATGGCAGTGAAAAATATGAAGACAAGTTTTGAGGTGAGTATTTAACTTCATATTGGAAAACCTGTATAATCCGAATGCCAGTGGGACTCAGGCCAAAATGTTTGGATTAGCAGGTGTCACATTTTAGGTGTTTTAGGTATGTCATTCAATGGGAGATTGCAGTTTTAGGACTGAACAAAGTGCTCACATTTAGAAGTGTTTGGATTAGAGGAATGTTCAGATATACACGTTTTACTGTACTTTGTGAGTTTATGCTTGGCAAAGCTGAAGACACCATTCAGACCTGGCTTCAAACCACAGGGACCTACTATTGTAATTAAATAGGCTACTAATTCCTGACTGAAAGTACTTCAAATCATATTTTACTCCTACATTCAGTTTTCATGATTTCTAAACTGTGTTTTGTTTCATGGAGAATTTGAACTTTTATGGTTATAGTACAATTCAAAAAATATGAAATATAAAGCAAAAATATAGTTCTGCTTCTGATCTACAAATGACTCCAAGTGAAATTGTCACTCATATCAATAAAGATGAACATTAAGATAATGTGATTTATACTAATCTTACCTTTTTAGCTGAAAAATCAGGATTGGCTGAAGAAGCTCAAGATCAAGGTTCCCATAAAACAAGAACCATTGGATGTGAAGGGAAAATTCCAGTTTCAAAAGCCTAAGTCTGTTAAGGTTATAGGAAGCTATCTTCTGGGAACATGTACCAAGCCTGATTACCATGTAGACCTGGCACTTGAGATACCTAAGGTAAGGTTGTAGTACATGGTCTTGTTGAGGTATTGCCTCAATATGGGCAAGTGCTGACCATTTCTAGAGTTATCTTTAGGGGTATTTTTTCAATTTCAATTTATTTGTGTTTTTCGAGTTTAAATAAATGTACAAATATATGCCATTGTTAAATTTATAACATTAGTGGCAAAGATTGTAATTATCCCATCGAACGAAGTTCGGAGGGATATAGGGAACGCCTCCGTCCGTCCGTCCGTACGTACGTACGTCCGTCCGTCTGTCCGTCCGTCCGTCCGTCCGTCCGTCCGTCTGTCCGTCCGTACGTACGTCCGTCCGTCCGGGCAATAACTCAAATACCGTTGGCCCGTTTTTGTTCATATTTTGTACACATATACCCTATGTGGGTAGAAGTTCTGCTCGAAAGCCAATTTTCAAAATGGCCGCTCATTTCAAAATGGCTGCCATTTTAGTGACGATTTTACAGTAATTTAGGTGCAATATGTAAAACTGCAATAGCAATATGTTTTTAATGTAAAAAAATTATAAAGGACATTAATAATGCTACAAATGTAGATATTAAAGAAGCTCATGGCAGCCATCTTGAAAAATGGCAGCCTTTACTCGTCATTTTACGATTTTTGCTGTAACTCAAAAAATAGTAGAGCGATTTTGTTCATATTTGGTATGTGAATACTATAAGCATTGCACACTGTCTTAAGACACTTTTGGTAGAAGGCGGCCATTTTGAAAAATGGCCGCCATTTTAATGTATTTTACAATAACTCGAAAAGTAGTGGAGCGATTTTGTTCATATTTGGTATGTGAATACTATAAGCATGGCACACTGTCCTATGACACTTTTGGTAGAAGGCGGCCATTTTGAAAAAAAATTTGAAAAATGGCCGCCATTTTAACATATTTTAATATAACTCGAAATGTAGTGGAGTGATTTTGTTCATTTTTGGTATGTGAATACTTTAAGCATGGCACACTGTCCTATGACACTTTTGGTAGAAGGCAGCCATTTTGATAACAATTTTGAAAAATGGCCGCCGTTTTAACGTATTTCACTATAATTCGAAAAGTAGTGGAGTGATTTTGTTCATATTTGGTATGTGAATACTATAAGCATGGCACACTGTCTATTTCTAATGACTCTTTTGGTAGAAGGTGGCCATTTTGAAAAATGGCTGCCATTTTAACGTATTTTACTATAACTCGAAAAGTAGTGGAGCGATTTTGTTCATATTTGATATGTGAATACTTTAAGCATGGCACATTGTCTAATAAAACTTTGGGGAGTAGTCGGCCATTTTTCAAAATGGCCATCATTTTTATGTGTGTTATTTTACAAGTACGTGTGCGATTTTTCAAAAATTTCAGAGGTGGCTACTTAAAAGCATATTATTTTATTTCTTCTGATGACAACTTGGCTAGTGAGCAATCTTTTTGAAAATGGTGGCCTTTCTGGTGTGTTGTTTTATGATATATGCGCTTCGTTTGTAAAAATGCCAGCCATTTCTGTTCGATGGGATTCGCTACGCTTTGGCGTTGCCGTTGTTCTGGTTTGTGTTCTGGTCCATAAAGATTGAGAATTATTTTAATAATCAGCTAAGTTGAATAAATGATTTATTTCCAGGAATGTATTCAGGCAAAGGATCATCTGAACCATCGCTACCTAAGAAAGAGGGCGCTGTACCTCACATGTATTGCTGCTCATTTAAGGAAAGACAAATCAATTGAAAAATTAGAGTTTTCATACCACCATGGTAACCCCATGAAACCCATCGTCATAGTAACACCTACAGGTTTGTTCATTTTTAACCTTTTCAAAATAATAAAAATCTGAAATAATTGTGTTACTCATAAACTGACACAATAGGTTCTGAATAGAAGTATAATGTACAAAGGTTTATTGGTTGTAGAATTTATAGGACCAATTATGCCTTTGCTTAAATCCTCTCAATGTATTGTAAATTACGTTGTTTAAATAAAGTATCCAAAAGGAAACTAAAAAACTAAAGTATTTAGATTTCAAAATTTCTCTAGTCTGTATCTATCATATGCATATGAACTTGTAATGCGGCTATGTGATTAAATCCATAGTTGGAACTTGGGAACAGGGTGATCCATAAGATGGGCCCCTCTAATTTTTAGAATAACTTTCTCAATTTATATAATGCAGAAAGAATATTTGATGTATGAAACAATGGTATTTCTTTTAGTGCATCAGTAACTGTCATTTAGAGAAATCACTTTATAAGTCAACTTGTAGTTCTTATTTCCTTTGTGTAACTTCTTGATAGATTCATACTTATCTGCCTCCTTATAGCCTTGCCCAAGTCGGTCTCTTTTACTTATCTTCATTTCTATTATGACCGCCTTGTACCAAAGAGAAAGCCACGTGCTTGACCGACAGTTTGTTGATGTCGGTAAAATTTGACCAATCAACGACAGCCTTGTAGCGTTAGCTCATTATTATGCACGGTCAAAAACACTTTTCACCGGGACTTTTCACGAACAAATCTTGCACGAATCTGAGCACGAATTCATCATGAAAATCCAAATATTTTATCAGATAAATATCAATGAGAGTTTAGTGGATGCCGGGGCATCGATTGGATAACCAAAGGTGAGAAGATTTCAACAATAAACGTTGAAACGATCGCTGAACATGTAGGCTGAGATTCAATCATGTCACCGATCGACGACAACATGACCCACTACATTGGACTAGGTCTTCGTGCATTGTCATTGCGAAATCAGTTTTAAATCAACATTGAATTGCATGATCTAATTTATATTAATGACTCTTACCTTCCAATGTACATTTAATTACATAACTGATTTAATTACATTAGTAACTCTAAAGAAACACTCGATCAGATCATTGAATTTCAAGTCGTAGATGGGAAGTTTGTTTTGTTTATGCTGTTCAACCTGATAACGTTTTGATTGGTCATTCAGCCTGAAGTCACACGTCGTGTCCACGCGATATCTGTCAATCAATAAGGTTTCGCAATACCCCTGATAGCGTAGGTATTATGGAAATCTCGAAACCGTTGAATATTTCAGCATAATAACAGCGGAGATGTATTGGATTGTACAAGGCGGTTATAATTCAAGATCAGATAATTAAAAAAATATGACTTGGGCAAGGCTAGCCTCCTTAGTAAATAACAATAAAAATGAATTCTATAAGAAATAGCATTCCTTCATGTACACCTTGAATTCCCTAATTTTAGGTAGTGTAGGGAAAACATGCACAGTGCATCTTCACACAACCATTGAGGAGGATTGCTTTAAGTTGAACAGATTCCATATTAACAAGAATAATGTACGCTCTGGATGGTTATTTGGAGAAACTGAAGAAAAAGAGGAAAATGGTTTGCCTTTTTGTGTGTTATTATATTCCTAAAAGTGAAACAGTCAGAATTGTGAACATTTCAAAATTGTAATGTCTCTTCATGTATATACAGAACAGATCTAATTCTAATGTAAAGTATTGTTGATGGTGAATTGTTATTGCAATCATTTCAGAATCAGCTTGACTTGTTCCGAATACACTCTACATCTGAAATGGCTATACATTGTATTTCGTCTTTGACCCGTTTGGTGTAGATTTGTTTTGCCATCGATATTAACTCTATATAACTGAGGCTTGATTGCCAATTTGCTTTATTTAAGTTATTCCTTAAATCTGTCTTTGTAGATGAATCCCCTACCCCTCAGTATAACACTGCAATACTGGCAGACATGTTACTTGAGAAAAATCTGCAGTTCCTACACAGTACAATAGGTGGCTCTCAAAATATCCAAGATGGCGTCACTCTGCTTAAGATATGGCTCGGTCAACGTGAACTTAACAAGGTATAACATGTCTAAGTATAGGCTTCATATATGATTCTTCAATTTAATGTACCTTGTATCTTCAAGAAAATTTTAATTTGGAAGAATGTGCTTTATTTTGATTGAGGAAAAACCTTAATTTAAATTAGGAGTACTAGTGATTGCAAATGTACATGTTTACCTTAGTATATTCGACACACAGAATTAATGATCGATGTTACTGATTGACCAGAGTTAATGAACTGAGTGTTTGAGATGTAGTGTTACTTTGTAGAAAGCTAACCCAACTCTGACATGTCATCCAGTAGGACAAATGATTGCAGTTCTTTGTTATGTATATTTCTACCACATTCATTTATTTTATTTTCAGGGCCAGGGATCATTCAGTGGTTTTATCTTGAGTATGTATGTGGCTCATCTTGTCTCCTTGCATAAAGTCAGCCCACTTATGAGCTCTTATCAGATTGTAAGAACTACCCTCCTAAACTTAAGTAAGTTATCTCATTTTATGATTGGTATGCTCTAATGACATTCAATACTACAGCTCATGTCTTGCCTATGTTCTCTAAACACTCAAATTTTGCTTAACTGTATACATACTGTACTCAAATGTTTGTCACACATTATTTATAATAAGGCCAAACAATTATATATTCAACATGTTTTATCATTTTCTCAATCTAATAGGTACTTTTGACTGGCTAAAAGATGGCATAATGATGCATGGCACAAGTGAAGACCCCTTGAAACCAACAAGAGAAGAGTTCAAGGCAGTATCTGGTGTTGTATTTGTGGACCCCTCGGGCTATTTAAATATATGTGCTGATATGACACCCGACACACTAAAAAGAGTAAGTTTGTGCTATTGTTTGAATAAAACAGTTTAATTAAAAGAATCAATTAGTTGTCTTCCTTGGCATATAAAATCTCTGTTCAACATTGATTATAATGACCTGTGCAGTCAATTGTTATGTTACTCTAATTTGGAATCATGAATGAGCATTATTTACTGGTGTAGAAAGTAGTCCTAGAGTTGTGTCATTGACACATTGAAGGCTCAAATAACCTTTTTGACTCCATTGTCCGTAGTTGTGACTTGCTGTAAAGTAAATTCATTCAAACTTTAATCTTAAGTTTGAATGCTGTGTTAACTGTAGTCAATGTTGTCAGGTTACCCTATTTGTGAATTATAATCCACATGTGACTGATGTGACTCATAAAATGTAAATAGACTTAAAATAATTATATGCACTCTAACAGGTTCAGCATGAGGCCAAGCTATCTCTACAACACATGGAGGAAACAACAATTGATGCATTTGAGATACTCTTCATGCAGAGGGTCCCCTTCACGAGGACATTTGACACTCTCATACAGTAAGTGCAATACATGTTACATTCTTCAGCATATTTTCTCTCACCTTATACATGTATTTGATTGAATATACTGTTTTATATTATACTAAGTGTATATGTACATCAATCTAAATTGTTTCTAACATAGTAAAGGTGACAAAAGTTGAAGCAAGCCATTCCATTCAATTGATGGATATGCTGATGCCTAGGAACAAAGTTTTGCTCAAGAAGAGGCTTTCAAATTGGCCACTGAATTACAAAATGGCTGCCATTTTAGTAAAAAACATAATGATTAATTACTCGAATATCAGTGGACTGATTGACAAAAGTTGAAGCAAGCCATGCCTTCACGAATCTCAGTGCATTGATTGTTTAATTATATTCATGTTTAATTTCAATTCAGATCAGTTAGCTGTTATTGTAGTGATTTCTGCATGAAAATAATTTCTTCAAATTACATAGCCTTTCAGTACTCTTTGAACAGATTTCTGTTTTTGATGTTGTAGCATTAAAACGTCTTGTGCAATTGAGCATGCAGTGAAACAACACAGGAACTCTGATGTGCGGAGTGCTTCAGCAGTGGTGCCATCTATTCTACAAGTAGTAACCAGAGCCCTTGGGAATAGAGCCAGTCTAGTCTGTCACAAGTTACAGCCATGTGAAAAGGTGAGCATTGGAAAGGGGTGAACTGTGAATCAGGGAGAAAGAGTTAGGGTTGTCCTCTCAAAAATATCAGAGATGAAGCTTTGTTTTTAAGATCAAATCAGGATAGTCGTTAGATGACTGGATGAAGTATTTCTGTGCAGGAATTTACTGTTATTTAAATTGAAAAGTATCATGTACAAGGGACTTTGTGCATTTAAACAGAAACCAGGATTTTTATAGTCCTCATACACCTCACATAAAGTTTTCAATGTTTTTATTGCACTTTGAAAAAGTGCTATATTGTCATTGTCTTATACTTAATGGGCTTCACATGATTCAATTCTTGTTTTATCATAATCCTTTAACATTTGTAAGATTTAGGAATATGTTAATATGGTTGATGCCAACACAACAAAGTTCTATTTTGGCTGTTAAATACAATAAACACCCACCGCCGATAGGATATTTTGTGTAAAGTGCTGATTGAAATTATTGAGAATTTGACATTTTATCGCACAAAATAGTATTTTGATGTAATTAAAAGAAAATTATTGGACTTGGCTTTGGTATTTCCTCATTACATTACCGTGGTGTTAAAATGAAAAGAAATTCAAAAAAATTCTAAAATTAACAAACAAATTCTACTCTCTTTTACTCTCCTGTGGCAAAGTTGGAGACTGGATATATCCCATTTTCTCCACAAAGTAAGAGGAAAGCAACCCCCTGGTTACTGGCCTGATAAAACAGCAACATTTGAAAGAATTCATTTAAAAATGTGTTTTTATTCACATTGAAAATTATAGCTGATATTGACATGAGGAATAGATTTGAATCCCTCCACTGCATTACTTATATAAACTCCATTTGCAAAGTTTTTAATTTTGTTTTTCTAAGTCTGTATTGTTTAGAGAATCTCACATGATTTCCTCGTAATGTCATCTATGATATCATACAAAGCATCAAATGTATCTAGATTAAGTACATCATTTGGACTACTAGCGATCTTTGACCATTCTGCCACGCCATCTTTTCCTCTATTGCCTCGTTCCTCTTGCCTGGTATATGTAAAATAAAACAGTTTAGTTGGTGTTCATAAATGATACAATCATAGCTGTAGATTTTTCCAAAAGGAAACAATTCAAAATGAAACCGGATTCGATAAAATATGTTTTGGTGTGTGGAATCTGCTCCACTGTGAGCCTATGGGATTGACTAGGTTTCCGTCCTTTGTCCGTCCGTCCTCCTGTCGGTCCATCTGTTTCTAGTTAATAAATTTACCTGATATTTGGAAGACCAATGACAGTGCGCTGTACTTCTGGCATCTCTGCATCAAGCATAGCAGCTTGGTACAGAGTGTCATTCTGACGCCCTATAGGATTTGTATAACCATCAGTTAGGACCAAGATTACTCCCTTAAATTACAATTTAGGGTAAATTTAAGTGAAGAAGTTAATGGGTATTTTTAAAGTAGCGACTTTTACAGTTTTTCAAAATGAAAATGGGAATGAAGGATACATTTACTTCACAACTCTTAAAAACTGTGTGAATAGTATGAAAAAGTGTAAAAAACAAACTTTCTACTTTCTAGTAAATCAAATGTTCCTCATTAAAAAGTTGACATTTATCTTTGCTATCAAATAATGTGAGATTTATACAAAAATGGCTTTTTGCAAGTTGTGGTTCTTAGAATTATGAGATATTTTTTAGAGAAATGAATTTTTACTACAAATTGTCTCTTGGTGTGATCACAGCTTAATATGTGAGAAACCAGTTAACTCTGTAGTTGTAACATATTTTGATCTACAGTATGAAAATATGTGATAGTATGACATGCAGCATGTTACCTTTTTATTGGGTCGTCTCCCATTTTTTTCGGTAAAATACACTGTTCTTGCCAGTTCAAGGGCAGCAAATGTTGATGTTCCACATGGTTTCATTGTAATGGGATAATTGGCAAAGCGTTCTAAAACCTGAACAATAAAAAATCGTTGAAATAATATTCAAAATATTTGTATTTTTGAGATTTATTTATTCAAATCATATATATGAGATTAAGCCAGATAATCTCATCATTGGAAATTACAGTTCATCTGCGAACATATTGTAGTCGATTATTTAATCTGCCCTGGACTCGCATATTGTAAACTTAAAAATGTGAACATCTGAAATCTGGACACTTTTGGCCTGTCTCTGTGGTGCTCATATCACATAGGTGTTACTGTATATCAGGAATCATTTTCAGATATATTTGGGATGATGGTAGTAAGGAACATTTTTTAAATATTGATCTGTAATTAGTTCACCCTTTATGTACGAAATTGATGGAAAATCGACAGCATCAAAATATTTTACCTTTCTGCGCGTGACAAATTCATTCAAATAAGTTACATGTTCAATGTCTTTAGAATACACCAGGCCACCAAGTTGTGTAAATCCAGGCTTGATAGGAAATACTTTCACCAATCTGTTCACAAATTGCTTCACTTTCATCTGATCAACTTCGTCAATACTGCAGCTTACATCGATGACAATCATAATATCTATGCCACATATAGTCGTCTCATAATCAACTGGAAAATTATGTTGAAATTATGTAATTACGAAGCAATATAAATTATGCGTCAATTTCAGATTTACTGGTTAAAATAGAATTTCAAACCATTTTGTTATTTAACTTGTTGTTATTTTGACTTGTTATTTTTTAAAATATCCTAAGATTTCTTATATTTAAAATTCTTATTTTAGAAGATTGCATCAATAAAAAATCTCATTTTCACAAGTTACATGATGCATTATAATAATGTCTCTTGTGGAGAGCTCTATTTTAAAATTATAGTTTAAGTCGATTCTATTGTATTTTTTCTTCAAATATATGAGAAATTCTCATTTTCACAATTTTAACCGTTATTTGTCATAGTATATCGATGCCATTATTTCATGATTTGATTTTTATGTCACCACTAAAAGTGGTAACATATTGTTATGGTTATGTTATGGTTTGTGACTGTGGTTGGCATCTTGCCTCTGACAGTTGGTATCTGACAGTCAGCATCTGTAAAAAATTCTTACAACTCCCAATAACTTAATACAAATACTGTTAAGACTGGCTTCAGATTTTAAAGTCATCTACAAGTTCTCAGAAATTTGACCTTCAATGACCTTCCCAAGTCTTCAAATTGAAGCTACAAGTTCTCAGAAGTTCAAATCTGACTTAAGATTTAAACTCATTATATTGTGAGCAACTAGTTGGTCACAGTTTGTCATGTTAATGCCTTGTTCAAGTACTGTTCTAAATGCAAGTGAGTATTAAAGTGGGTTTTAGTCTTTTTCAATATATGAGAATATGCAGGGTCAACATTTGTCAATGCTGGTGAGATCACTGGTACAAATAACATTGAATTAGTAGTAAAACAAAATAGTGCACAGAAAATATACTCACTTAGACCCCTTTCCTATAGTGCGCAGAAAATATACTCACTTAGACCCCTTTCCTATAGTGCGCAGAAAATATACTCACTTAGACCCCTTTCCTATAGTGCACAGAAAATATACTCACTTAGACCCCTTTCCTATAGTGTGCAGAAAACATACTCACTTAGACCCCTTTCCTATAGTGCGCAGAAAATATACTCACTTAGACCCTTTTCCTTTAGTGTAATTCTACATTTACTACTGGGTTTGTAACAAGGGTTGCTATTGCGACCTTTTCCTTTTTTGCTCCACTTTTTGATAAATGCATTACTCAGCCCCAATCCATCTGGACATCTGTTTCGTATGTAGTTGCCATTATAACATCTTAATTATATTATGATTGATATAAAGTTTGTTCCTATAATCATTTTGCATGCATGTCGAGATTATTTTTTAGCTCACATGGGTAAGCTATTGTTATTATTGATTGTAACCTAAGGAACATGAAGCATTGAAATAGGCTAAACTGGAAGATTTTAGCCGATTTATTGAGTTAAAAACTAAAAAAGTTTTACACTATCCTTAATTGCCCCATTTAAACAATTCCCAAAACGTTGAATATTTTGTTATATGTATTAAGTGACTGATTACCTGTAATAGTAGCATGGGTGTATCTTTTCTGTGATATTATGGGGAGAGTTAGGGGAATAGAGTGTCGAGCAGTATCCTTCTGAAACAAACAACAAAGAAACAGCTTTATAGTTCCCACAGGGTTAGATTATTTCAATTAAATTAATATTTCAATTAAAATTGATAAAAGACTTTTGATTAATTTACCCATTTAACTATCTTTATTGTTAAAACCTATTAGAAATATTAAAAAGTCACATTTAGAAGAGTGGTTATCACATAAAGAATTAATTTTATAAAACTAGAATAAACGTAGAATTAATGTTATAAAACTAGAATAAACATAGATCAATAACACACAATGGAATAGTTCAGGAAGCTTGAGATGGATAGATCTTTTAAATACCGACACAAACAAATTAATCCAATTGAGAAAATAAATGTCATCCCGTCTTCCAACTGATCACACCCTCTTTAAAATTTCATGTAGTGTGTTGCAATTGTTGTTATGCAAACATGCAAGAAACTTGCACTACTTTGTAAGCATCATATTTTGAAACATTATCTGTGTTTCCAAAGAGTAAGGTCACAATTTTTTCAGATATGATGATGATTCTTTATATTTTGTAGTAATGTCATCAAATGCCACCGTGATAATGTTCAACCCCTTGCATTTGTTTGACTTCACTTCTTAAAAGATATCTTCGTCTTCACTCTCAGTTTACAATAAATCTCTGATCTCACTGAGCCAGTCAGAGTTCGTCGTCGAAGACGGACAATTTTCTATACATGGTCATTTTCTCTGACATCATCGTAGAGTTAATGAGCTTGCATATAGTATGTGTCCTGTCCAATTTGATGATTGGTTGAGAAAAGGTCAGTGTGTTAGATTTGAAATGACTTATGACCCGGGTTGTAACATGCACTGGTCGTCGGGGCAGACTGCTAAACTGTCATATAGTCTATACTAAACTGAGGGTAGTTTATAACTAAACTCTGTGTGCAGGGTATGATAATGTAGAAGAAAAAGTAGAAAGCATTCAACAAACATAATCTGTAACAATAGTAAATAAAATATTGTGATTCAAGTCAATGTTCTTAACACAAAGAAGGTTTATTCAAATACCATTTAATTAAAAAACTGGTAAAACCTACTATCACATTACAAAGACAAACAAGTATAACTAGAATATACATGTACAGTATTATAATACAGTTTATTATATAATTATTTCTTAAATGAAATGCTTCAGAGCATAAACACATAAATGCAATAACAAATATTTACAACAATCTTGATAATAAATGAAGAATTAAAAGGTCCTTGTCACCTTGTACTAGCAAGTTTTTTTAAAAATTATAGTCCATAATCTTGATGATTACCGTCATTACCGTCTAGTCTCTACCGCACAAGTCAACAATACAATATATCTTTTTGTTTATACTCAATGTGATTAGTTATATATACACACACAACTCAGAAAATTATGAACACAGATTCTAATTATATCAACATAACCTTACATAATATAAATCTCTGAATAAGAAATGAGCAAAAAATATTGAATCCCATTTTTGGTATTCCATCAGCAACATATTGCTTTTTTATGTAAAAACATTTTTTATTGCAAATTACAGCAAAAATGCTTCTAATTCATTAAAATAAGTATGCACAAGTGCCAAAGGGAAAAGGGAAAAGAAACAGTGCCTAATAATTCCCCACTATTCAAGTTCTATTAAGTATTAACACAACCAGAGGTCATAATACCAAGGGACATTTCGTTTATACTAAAGTTATTACAATATCTGTTGAAGAATAAAATGAAAATTAAAAACCAATTCTCATAACATCAAAATTAATTGTAGATTTTAGTGTTCATTCAAGATGGATTGAGATAGTTTTAATTTATGATTTTCAGTTGAAATATACAAACAAGGACAATACATCCATTGCTTAAAGTTTTTTACATTCACACAAAATAATTCTTCTTTTGACATTGTAATATTGCATTTAGAATAAAAAGATAATAACTATTAATGAATAGTTTGCCCCCAAAATATCAGTGCTAATGTTTTAAATATGTCATGTTTATTGTACATGGCCCACAGAAAATATTTTTTAATACTAAATAAGAAATATATTTACCGATATTTGAATCATCGCCCAAATTAATAGATGGCAATGTATGCCCTCTATTCTTTGGTAGCCTTCCCAATGCTGGAAAAACATAGAAATGAGTGAGAGTATGTATTAATACAGGGTGTGCCAAAAAGGTAACCCAAACAAATATTTGTCAAATGGTGTCAAATTTAGCACAATTTAACCTTGTTCAATGTTCTTTCATTCTAATAAGTTTCATGCGTCTATCACTTATGTTTTGTAAAATGGCCATAAAATTGTGACAATTAGAGATAGACCATGGAAACTCACGAGAAGGAAAGAACATTGAACAAGGTTTAACTGTGCCGAATGTGATTTTATACCCATGCTGAAGACTGAGTTATTAACAAACATTCGGTTGGGTTACATTTTTTGGCTCACCCTGTATATTATTGACAAACCAAACAAATAACAGCAAATACCAGAATCAATTTCACCAATATATGCTTGTGATATGGGATACACCAAGCAAATAACAGGTACCAGAATTTATCTCACCAAATTATGCTTTTGATGTGGGATAAATTAAGCAAATAACAGATACCGGGATCGATTTCACCAACATATTCTTGTGATATGGGATACACAAAGCAAATAACAGGTACCAGAATCAAATTCACCCAGATATGCTTGTGATTTGGGTTATACCAAACATTTAACAGGTACCAGAATCAATTTCACCAAAATATTCTTGTGATATGGGACACACCAACCAAATAACATGTACCATCTACCACCTCAAAAATTGAGCAATTACTTGATGATCTCGTAAAAAGGTTTGTTATTTAAATCATACAGTGGTAAATGGAGTAACTTCTAAAGATTGCTAAACCTGGACTTGTTTAGGCAACAAATCAGATCAGGACATATCCTGGTATGATTATACATCAAGAATGAAGAACCATTTGCAGAAAAATATGGGTACATAGACATTGATTTTATATTTTATTACAAAAACAGATACATGACATGGGTGTTAAGATTTCAAGTTGGGTAAAGTTAATATTTTGTATAATTTATAAAGGTTTGGACACTAAACATGCAAAATTATTTGATAGATTTGATTTGATATGTCCCCTGTTGAGTTTATCTTTTAAACAAAAAGCTATATTATTTTAAAGAATCGTTATGTATAATTTCTTATATACCAAAGGCTTAAAAACTTACCCGTTGCTGATAGTGCGAGCAATAAGACTACATGTATAGTGAAATACATATCAACGTATGCTCCAAGCCTCCTGGTAATAATACAAGATGATTATGCAAGTGCAGTTCTTATATGTAATACTAAGTTATTATAATGGCGCATATGTTTTGTAGCATACGTTCAATATATTAATATTAATGTCTTATTGAAGGAGTTTTGTGTATCAACTTAATATAATGTGGCGCTAGTTTTATACTTATTATAACAGAATAAAAACAGTTTTATGTTGTTAAAGTCTTGGTAAATATTAGACTTATGAATGCTCAAACTATTAAATTAAAATATTATATGTTTGTAGTGACTATTTTTATTGCACCCTTGTGTGCTATATTGTGATCAATTTGCCGGGTTGGCGGCTGGATGGCCAGGCATTCTACTTTATTTTGTTAATCCATTTCCAGGTGAACTTGGAGCATTCATTTTGAAATTTTCAGTAGTCTAGAATTGATTTGTTTTTGGGTATTCTTAAAAAATTTAAGGTGGCCAGTTTGGATCTGTCCTAAAACCATGTCTGTATAAAGTCTTCTCTGTACATTTCCAGGCGAACTTTTGGATGGATTGATCAATTTTTATGGATATTTCTTTGTATTAACATCTAAAACTGATTAGTTTTTTTCATTCTGGGTAAATGTAAAGGCAGCCATTTTGGATTTTTCATCTTAAAAGATTGTCTGTCTACATGTTTTAAGTCAAACCATTCCATGGATTGATCTGAAATCTTTAGGGATGTTCTTGGTATGAAAGTCTTACTAGTATGGGGCATTCTCAGTAAATGTTCAGGCTGCCCTTTTGGACTTTCAGAACTAAAATCCTGCCTGTTTGGTCGATTGACATGTTTCCTGGAAATTTTTTTGATGTTTGACGTTTCTTTGTATAAAAATCTCAATCTGATAAGATTTGGGGCATTCTTGATAAATGTTGAGGTGGCCATTTTGGATTTGCCATCCTTAAATCTTGTCTTTAAAGTCTGAAGTCTTCACATTTCTAGGCCAACCATTTGACAGGTTGATTTCAAATTTTCATGTTTAGGTTAAGAACTGCTTAGTTTTTGGTCATTCTGGATAAATGTTTAGATGGCCATTTTAGATTTTCCATACCGAAAACTGTATTCTATTCAAGGGTGCTATACTTTTCGTTATGTGCCGTGTAGATATGAATTATGGACTGAATACCTGAATCTTTCATCTGTCATCTTTTTACAGATACAGTATTTCCTTTAATCAACATTAAGAATCTACAACTCCAAAGTACATAGTGTTCATAACTGTTAACCATCTCATGGTTGTATTTGAAGCTATACATTTAAAAGTAATGATTCATATTTGCTCTAAATTACACAGGAACCTCAGCTTATAAGCTAACAATGATTTGTCAACATTTCAGAAAAATATCTTGCAAAACATCTGAAAATATTAAACTGATTCTACCTAAAAGATGGACTACTCAGACATTTATTAATGTTCCAATGATATCATTGAAATATATGTTATATTTCCTATATGAATAACTGTTAAAGATAATATCCAGTAATTAATAACTGAACAGTAATAAATGTGTATCTATTTGATTATATTTATATAACAATAAGAACAATAATTTTAGTGTAGATCTAGTATTTTGTCAATGGAGCATGATGAAAATAGTAACAGTTACATAGCACCATTGTATTATGTCCCTGTTGTATGTGATGTTATGTATCATAACAAAGTTTTGTAATGTTTGTCTTAGTCTGAACCTAGAGTGTTTCACACGATTTCCTTGTTATATCATCTATGATATCATACAGGGCATCAAAAGAGTCTAGAGTTAGCACATCATTTGGACTACTAGCAATCTTTGACCATTCTGCTACGCCATCTATTCCTCTGTTGCCCTTTTCCTCTTGCCTGATATACAAAAATATTACATAGTTAAGTTGATGTCTCTAATTAATAAAATGTAATATGATTTGTGAAGGAGGTATGGAATTACCTATTATTGTCATAAATTAATGCACTCACTTGATATTAGGAACGCCTATGACGGTGCGCTGTACTTCTGGCATCTCTGCGTCAAACATCGCAGCTTGGTGCAGGGTTTCATTCTGACGCCTTATAGGATTTGTGAAGCCATCAGTTATCACTAGTAGAACTCCCTAAATACAATTGTATGGTCAAATTATGTTAGTGATTTATATTACAAATAGCGGCATGGTACAATGTCTCAATCTGCCAACCTAGACGATTTGTGAAGTCATCAGCACCACAAATTCCAAAATATAATTGAAGGGTAAAATTTAGTGAGTGTTTTAACTGTTTCATGTTATCAGTGCATGACACAGTATTAATATCAAAATCTGTTGATCTGTATAGGATTTGTGAAGTCTAATGCAAAGTAAAGTTATAATTAAAAATGTACAAAAAGAGATTTGTGTATAGTCTGACATTTAGCCTATTACCTTTTTATTGGGTCTTCTCCCATTTTGTTCAGTAAAATACACTGTTCTTGCCATTTCAAGGGCAGCAAATGTTGATGTTCCACATGGTTTCATTGTAATGGGATAATTGGCAAAGCGTTCTAAAACCTGAACAATAAAGCAAACATTGAATTTATTAATTAGGAAACAAGTGCTTGAAACTACCTATACATATTGAAATCAATTAGTATAAATCATTCCGACAACCACAATTTGATAATTTATCATGGATCACTTTTAAGATGCAACAAAATTGATTACCTTTCTGCGCATGTCGAATTCATTCAAATAAGCTACATGCTCAATGTTTTTAGAAAACACAAGTCCTCCAACTTGTGTAAATCCAGGCTTGATAGGAAATACTTTCACCATTCTGTTTACAAATTGCTTCACTTTCATCTGATCAACCTCCTCAATAGAGCAGCTAACATCAATGATGATCATAACATCTACACCGCATACAGTTGTTACATAATCATCTGGAAGTGTATACATGTAGTAAATAATACTACTTCAAGGTACATTGGCAATTTCAGACTAATTGCAGGGCTCTCCCCGCAAACAAATCTCCGAGGTGTAGTTCCATAACACAAAAAATGCTCCTCCAATATTTCTATGAGCTCCCTAAAATCCTTAAAATGTTGCTAAAAAAACTACAAAATCCTAAAATGTTGCACTAAATATTCCCCAAAAAACTGAAATATCGCACAAAAAATTAAAAATGTTGATTTAAAAAGATAGCAAAATGTATGACTATCTTCTAAATCCCATTAGGAAATCTTAGTTAATGGTAATGTTAAATGGGAATTCTGTTGCAAAAATCCATGTTCATGTTGAGTGTAAAATATACTCACTCAGACCCCTTTCTTTAAGTGTAATTTTACATTTCTTATTGGGTTTGGTGCAAGGGTTCCCATTGCTGCCTTTCTTTAATTTAAGCCACTTTTTGACAAATATTGGGCTCAGTCCCATTCCATCTGGGCATCTGTTCCTTATGTAGTTACCACTCTGACACCTTTAAATAACATTTGATAGATTTAAAGTTTGTTCAAGAAAATCTTTATGCAGGATTGATCACTTTGCGTATATGCACGAGGGGAAAGAGTACCCGTGTATATACAACCTACCGCCGAGCAAAGACCCGAAGATGTCTGAAAATGTAGGGGGTGATCGAGTTATCTTTTGTTTATATCTTGAATTTCTCAATATGAGAAACAGATAAAAAACAGAAATGTGCGTAACTGATAAAGTTATTGTTCCAGGCACTCATGTTTGCAAAATAATGAGTACTTAGCGCAATGTTTACTATCCAATCGCTAAATTCAACTTTTAAATATTTGAATGATGATTTACATCTTGAATAAGTAACAACCATGGCTGTCTTTACTTCATTCGATTCAAAGATACAATAGGTGTAAATGTATCATATTTATTTCACTGCCATACGTTGCATATCATTGAAATCACCGGTGAAAGTTGAAAATGAAAGACCCGATTATGTCACGAGTACGATTATATAGGACCCGAATCTACCACCGAGCTATTCCGACTATACCGTGAGTAGAACCCGATGAGGTAGTGAGTAAGCTTTCGAATGAGCATATAATATCATGACGATATCACAAATATTCCTTTTTATTTATCATATACTCCTGGCACCGGGATATAATATAATATGATATAATTCCCGCAGCACTATACGTCAACGTCTGTTTCCGACAAAGTTCTTAAAACATTGAATTCATGCTTACACTTGAATCACCATAATTTCCTATGTGTCTATGGTAAGTGTGCAACCCATGCAAAAACATTTAATTCTGCATTGCAAGCGCCATTCTACTCAAAGAACACAACTTGAAGAATCCCAAGCTTCACACGCTTCATATCCTCGAAACGAAAATTACCGTGATCTTTCTTTGATAATACAATACCATAGTCAAAAACATTGTAAATCCATTTTTGCCGTTTAACTCAGGCACATTAACTTTAATACTCAGTAATGGATGGTGCTGACTGAAGTGGACCACAAAGTCATCCATCTCGTGTGATTTATAACTACAGTGGAAGCATTTGTACCGAGGACCTGGAATACAATGTTTCGATGTGCAGTGGTAACTGGTGATAGCCATATAATTTCAGTTTCATTTATTGTTCACAACAAAATGATTCACATGAATGATGCAGATTGTATGTTTATTATTTTTTCATCAGCACGTCATAAACTCGACGATATAATCGAATCTCAACAGATTTTACTCAAGTAATGTTCGGATTCTGAGATCCTTTACTCAAGATATTTTCGGATCTTTATAATATTACTCGTCGATCACATCGGGTCCGATGTCCGATAACATCGGATCTTTTAGGACAAAGTTTAAGTGAAGATTTTGCTGTTCAAAAGTGCTATTTTGACCTAATATTTTGACACTTAATATATTATGCATATGCACATCCATTTACCGACCCAAGTATGTCTTATGTATGGCTCATTATCAATTAAAGCGAGTATGAATGAGAAAAACAAATCGAAAACCATTATACGTTTACCTTATCTCTTAATTTGGACATAAAAATATATTTCAACTATAATTCTAGGCGAATTGCGCCTGCTAGAACATCTTAGTAACAATTCTTACCATCCAAAGGAATTGTTAGTGACATTATATTACCTTTATTTGTCCATTTTCCTACGAGATGACATTATCAAACATTTGCTCGGCGGTATATGCGTGTCTTGCTCGGCGGTAGGTTGTATATACACGGGTACTCTTTCCCCTCGTGTATATGGCTCTTCAAATGTGGAGTGATTGTAACATAAGGAACATGTAACATTGAAGTGTTTGCTTTAGAGGTCAAAACTATAAGATTTGAGGTAATTAAATCAACTACAAGTTTTTATCCGGCATCCGTAGCTTCACAAAGTTGATTTAGAAAATCTTCATTATACTGCTTATTCCTATTTTATGTTGCATATTTCTATCGATTTCGAAAGCTACAGCCACTGTGTGCAGTTGCCATAGGTCAAATATGACAGCATTAATATGAGGCCTAATTTTTAAAAATGCCACAAATCTACTACCAATCTCATGAACGTAATATTAAACCTATATTTTGTTCTAAAAAACCAAATATATAAAAGAAATATTTTGAACCTGTAATAATGACATGGATTTATCTTCTCTTTGACATCATTTGGAGAACCAGCGGAATAGAGTGTAGAGCAGAACCCTTCTAAAAAAACAAGCAAAACCAATTGTAGTTGTTAAATACCGTATCTTTCTACTCTACTATATCAAGGCAGAATCGTGTATTATTTTTCACAACAATAAATCTGAAAAATGGTAACATCTAATTCAGTATATAAGGAGACGTTGTTTAATACTTTCAATGTCTGTTGCTTTATTCATGACTTGAACGTGTAATTTAATTCTGTTTATAAGCATTGGGAAATGTTTAAAATCAGAAATATATTTACCAATATTTGGATCATCTTTTAAACTACCAGATGGTAGTTTTAGTGCTCTGTGTTTTGATAACCTGCCGATTGCTGAAAAATGTATTTATAAGTGACTATTTATTTCTATTAAGAACTATAAGTTCTTCCCCCTTGTTACAATTGAACAACACTATTTTGTCTTGATGTTATCCTCATTTATCTGACAAGGTATCCTCATTTATCTGACAAGTTATCCTCATTTATCTGACAAGGTATCCTCATTTATTTGACAAGTTATCCTCATTTTTTATCTGATAAGTTATCCTCATTTATTTGACAAGGAATCCTCATTTATTTGACAAGGTATCCTCATTTATCTAATAAGGTATCCTCATTTATTTGACAAGGTATCCTCATTTATTTGACAAGGTATCCTCATTTATCTGACAAGGAATTCTCATTTATCTGACAAGGTATCCTCATTTATTTGACGTGGTATTCTCATTTAATATGCCAATTGTTATTCAAATGACTGACCTAAATTCCCAAGTAATGTCAAAATGTCAGTTTTTAGATAAGATATAAAATTATAAGATTTAAATGAGAAATTATTTTTATGTATACTGCATGATGAATTTAATAAAAAATGAATAATCATGTAATTTACACAACTTATTCAACATTAGTGTAGACTTGTAGACGTACCTGTTCCTGATAGCGCAAGCAATAATACTATGGTGTAATACATTTCTGTGTATGTCCCAGCCCTCATTGTGGTGATGGGTGCAGTACAATAGATACAGTCCTTATATAACAAGCAAGCAAGGGTTTTATGATACATGTTTTATTGGGACATGTGTAAAAGGTATTAGTAGTGTGTTTTTATTATAATTTGGCTGACCACTTGATGGTGTGATCTCATATCATGCAATGTCTTGTCAGGGATTTACTTTATGAGATTTGTCTATAGAATGTTTAAGAGTGCATGATTAAGGAGTATTATATATCTACTTTGAATACTATTGGTCATTAAAGAATTGTTAAAATGGAATAATGCTGTGTAAACCTTTGTCAAATACCACAGTAAGTGTAATAGACTTAGTAATTATATTATTTTTGAAGATAAAAAAATATTTCATTACTCTGAACCTTGTAAAACGAATTAAAAAAGGTAAATAGCCTGGCCATGACATCCTTTTCAACCATTGAAGATCATGTATATGGCTGTTTGTATGTGAACATTTTGGTGTTTGTCTAGGTCTTATTTAAAGGAAAACCGTTCATTTTGGTAGACATATGATTTTTAGGTCAAAGTTGATAGTTTAACAAACAATTTTTAAAGTATATTATACAGTATATATTATATTACTGTAGAATAGTATTTTTAATATCTGATCCTTCAAGTGTAAGCATAATAAAATCCACAGTTTCTTGGAAATTATAGAACACCATTATGAACAAAGTTCATTGGTATTTAAAATTATTTATTACATGTGATTTATGAAATCATAAATTGAGTGGGAAGCTATAACTCCCAAGTACATACAACTCATAACATTTAATGTCTTAGTTAATTGTGGATTAATCACTGTTATAGCTAGTGTATCATTCAAGGTTATTATCATTGGATTTTATTTCTTGAAAGTTTAAGATGGTGACGCCATAAGATGTTTTATATTTCTGTGTTTCAGTGGGATATTAAAGATGGAGACCACCCAGATGAAAACCAGCTGTGTCTTGGTGTTCTACTTAATGAGGAGCATAGTAACAGTTTACTTGAGAAAGGTCCCCCTGCTGATAGTCCTGAGGTATGTGCTCCAGAGGAATTATATTTTTCTTTTTTTCTTTATTTTATGATCAAGTAAACTGATTATTGTGAGTAATTTATATTTTATTGCTAATTGCAAAGAACATCTTCATGGTAAATTTAAATCTGAATCCAACTCTGCAGGAGAAGCTCATGCAACATCATTATAGGTCATCTGTTTCAAATAATAAAAAAATCATTCATAAAGGATTTGTTTATTTTTTTCATGGGTTTTAATGTCATGCTTTAAGATGTTCATCCTTTGATTTTCCTTTCTGCAAACTTAACCATAATTCCAAAAAAGGTCCAGTTAAAAATCAAAGTCATTTTACTGAAATCTTAGCTAGCATTTGCAAATTCATCTATCGACTGATGCCTGACAATTTTTAAACCTACTTTCATGACATAATCTTCAAGAATGAATTATACATCTTTGGGCATTTGTCTTGGCTTGTATCTATGTTGTTGAAATAAAATTGACCCCTACAAACCAGTAATGCTACAGAATCTTATATTTGATGACATTTTAGGCAAAAGGTTTTCGTAATTTCTGGGGGGAGAAATCTGAGTTGCGTCGGTTTAAAGATGGCAGCATATGTGAAGCTGTTGTCTGGAATGCAGAAACGATAGCTGCCAAGCGTCATGTGACCAGCAAAATTATTAAACATGTTTTGACGAGGTATGTTTCTTTTTGATTATGTTGTACTGTTGCTTATTGTTTTTCATTTATTTAGTTTGTTATATGTTAATCAAGGATGTTAGATATTTGTATAAGGAATAAAGACTGTGATTCAACCACAATTTATATTGTGTACACATTTTTTGGCCCACCCTGTATTTATGGTAATATACGACCAAAATCTTATTCTGTTCATTGTTCAAAGACTGAAATAACGTAACGATTTAGGTCTTTGGCAATAGCCCAGATAAAATCTGAGGTCATAGATTTTCCATGAATCATAGAATCTGGGTCTTTGTTATGATTCTAATATGATAAACAAACCAAAAAAAGACTATTTGTATTTATAAAAAGCAGTCACACATACTCGATTATAGACCAGTAAACCAATTGTTATTTTGATGTTTCATATCATTATTAAAATGTTAAATATTGGTGTTATACTTTAAGTTATATGCATATGGTAACGTAGTACATCACATCATTTAGAATATTGTTTGTCTAAACTAATTGTGTTACCGGACATATTCAATTTTATGAAAATAGGCATGATGTTTCATGTTTATCCTTAAGTAAATAAAACTTGTTCATTTTTACCTATATGTTAAGTTACGTGTTTCAACTAAGTATATTGCATGTTTTGAATAATTATATTTCATATTTATTCTTACATAAATGTTTAATACAATTTCTAAGCAAGGCATTAATGTTACGTGTTTCAACTAAGTATATTACATGTTTTGAATAATTATATTTCATATTTATTCTTACATAAATGTTTAATACAATTTCTAAGCAAGGCATTAATGTTACATGTTTCAACTAAGTATATTACATGTTTTAAATAATTATATTTCATATTTATTCTTACATAAATGTTTAATACAATTTCTAAGCAAGGCATTAATGTTACGTGTTTCAACTAAGTATATTACATGTTTTGAATAATTATATTTCATATTTATTCTTACATAAATGTTTAATACAATTTCTAAGCAAGGCATTAATGTTACATGTTTCAACTAAGTATATTGCATGTTCAAAATAGTTGTATTTCATATTTATTTTTACATAAACGTTTAATACATAAAAAAGGCATTAATGTTACATGTTTTGGTAAGTATGTTACATGTTTTAAATAGTTAGATTAATACAATTTCTAAACAAGGCATTAATGTTACATGTTTCAACTAAGTACAGGGTGGTCAAAAAAACGGAAACCCTGGATTTTCCTCATATCTTTGTCATTTTAAGAAATTACTCCCTGATATTTCACACATTTGTAAATCATTCAATTTCCTACCACCCTACCATATTTCATGACCATCAGACTGATAGTCACAATTTTACAGCACTTTGAACAACATGCTTCAGGTTTGGCTATCATCGCGCTGGAGGCAAACCTGCACAGCTGTCAATGATCCAAATGCATTCCTCAGCAGGTATGGCCTGAATGATACAGATGATCTCACTTTTGAGGTCTGCAATTGTCCTGGGGTCATTATTATACACTCTATCTCTGCCATATCCCCATAGCAGTGTTTTTCCTAAGCGTCGGACCATAGGACATCTCCGGTGATGTGGGCTTCGGACTGATGAGTTTTATCAAGTAGCCAGTCCTCAATTCTGCCTGTGTCCGGTTCCTCATCTAAAATCATTTCTTTACTCCCAAATTTGGTCCGATCGCTGTCTGAAATCTCATTATATCTACGGTAAAACCTTGAAATTCTAAAAATCATTTTAGTGAAATTGGCTGCACGGGAGGATGTTTACGTATCATCATTTTTTATCAGCATCAAACAGAAACTGTTCTCCGATGGGTTGATTAGACTCTTGGGTAATCATCTCGATCTTTTTACCGCGTGAGGTTTTATTGGCTAATTCAAATCGGGTGCGGTAAAAAACCGAACGCCAATTTGCGAATGATCCGGGTATTACGTTCGCCCTTGGTTTATCTTTCGGTATCATTGCAAAATCTGATCGCTGATTGGTTGGTTAATTTTGTCATATATTGGATCGGTTTCGAGATTTCCATGATTATTACGCCTGTTTATCAGGGCTATCGTGAAACCGTATTCGTAAGCATGCAAACCTCATGGTGAGCCACGAGTGATGGCACGTGAATTTTAGTTGATCGACCAATCAAAAGCATTTTCAAAACGATAGAATTATGCGCATGCGCATTAATAATGTAAACTTTAAAGTTAATTTTTTGATGATTTTTTCGGAAATTTCGTCCGAATTCAATATAATTTGCAGTTAAGTGTACGCTGAGAAGTAGGTCACCTTTAACATGTATAAAAACATGCGATTATGGGCTGATTTGAAACTGAATTCACAAGAAATTCGCTCTAAAATTTGTTACTTTCATTTCTCTCTTAGTCTTGGACTGGTTAGTTTTCACATGGACCGGTGATTAAACTGAAGTTACAGGTCCGAATGTCCGATGAGTTTTGGTATGGACTGGCCAAAATGTAGAACCTGTCAGTCCGGTGGTCCTGTGATGTATTTTGCCTTAGGAACAACACTGCCCCATAGGTAGGGAGATATTGGACGACATGTGCAGGTTGGTCTTCAGCGCAATAGTGGCCACCGGGAATGTCCTTTAAAGTGCAGTAACACGGTGACTATCAATCAGATGGTCATGAAATATGTTAGGCTGGTAGGAAATTGAGTGATGTACAAATGTGCAAAGTTTTCTCAAAATAATTAAGATATTAAGAAAATGGTTTAAGGGTTTCCAGTTTTTTTGACCACCCTGTATATTACATGTTTAATCTTACATAAATGTTTAATACATATTTCTAAACAAGGCATTAATGTTACATGTTTATACAAAGTATATTACATGTTTAAATAGTTATATTTCAAGTTCAATCTTACATAAATGTTTAATACAATTTCTAAATAAGGCATTAATGTTACATGTTTAAACTAAGTATCTTACCTATTAAATTGTCTTATGTTTCAACTATGCTAAAGTAACTTCTCCGTGGCAATTTTAGCACACTCAGTTTAGTATTATTTGTAGAAAAAGACAAATAGTTATCTTACAAAAATCAAGTTTAAGGTAGAACTGTTGATTCTCATTCATCATTTTAAAAGACTAATATCATCTAGTGAATATATATTTTTCTGTTAATTATTTGAACAATTTACATGTAGAGTCAGAAGCAATAAAGGTTACATGTCATTGCAAAAGAAGAGGTCTTTTTTCTCTGATGAAATCCAGCACAACTTGTTCATCCTCTTCATCCTGGGGCATTGTGTATTGACTGCCTTCATGCCTCTCATTTTGTGGTTTTGGTTCACCTAAAGCATCACATAGCTTCCTCCAGAAGACAGCTTGTCTGTCAGCATCATCACTCCACTCTAGGTACACGCGGGTATCCAGAAGTGATTGCAATGTAGGAGTGATTAGTTCCTTTGGTAGGACATTTATTGGCTCCTTCAGAATGAGAATTATGCAGTCTCGCCCCCTGTTTGCCAATTCTCCTCTCGCCATGTTCAGTTTATAGGTTCAGAAAGTTCTGAGTGATAATTAGAATGACTTTGTTGCTTCTGTTGATAGCATCAATGATGATATCAGAGATGTAAGCCCCTGGTCTGAAGTTTCGATCATCAATACATATGCTGTAATGGTGAATGCCAACTAGAGTGGCATATAGTGTCTCCAGTCCCCATGTTTTATCGAGAGAACTGTAACTAATAAAAGCATCAAAATCATACTCGTCATCATTATCTTTACCATGGCGCCTCAGTGCAGCTCTTAGCTGGAGGTACAAATAGTTTATTTTGTACCTCCTTCTGTATATTACAATTGTTATATATCCAATCAACAGCATTACTCCACAAGGTATCGTAGCAGCTAATATAACTGTTTTCCAACATGATAGCTTCAGAACACTCAAATCAATTCTGTGCATTTTTATTTTTGAATAATTTGTATATAAGCATTCCAAGTTCTCCCATTCAGCTATGTTCTTATTATGATCTTGCATCCAAGACACAAAGTCAAATGAATGGCATCCACATATTAAGGGGTTATTTTTCATATATATATGGACTATTGTGCTAGAATTGCAATTTAAACAATCGACTATCCTTCGAATATTTTGTGGTAATTCTTGCAACTCATTATCAGAGATATCCAGCTTTTCCAATTTTCTGGCTGATTCTAGGTCAATGTTTAATTCTTCAAGATTGTTTCCTCCGAGATAAACAGTTTTGAGTTCTCTAGACTTCTGAAACATAAGGAATGGCATTCTTGACATTTTATTATATGACAAATCTACGTGTTGAAGCCTGTTGCAGTTACTAAACATTTCTAAGGTTGTATTTGATTTAAGATAACTCATATTCATCACATTATGTGACATGTTCAGTATTTTTATGGATTCAAATGCTCCATATTGACACGATATAGTAGATGGATACATTATACAGCCAATTTTTTGTAGATACAATTCCTCTAAATTAACAAGTCCATGGATGGGCCCCATGTGTCTTAACATTTTAGTTTCTGATATGTCCAGTTTTCTCAATGAATTAATTTTGCTGACAGTTACTCCAAAAGATATGCTACATGGACCTCGAGTGAGTATAGATTTAGCTAGATCAATATCCTCAATACTCTTAGGCACTTGGAAGGCACTTGGAAAGGGAACTTGCTTAAAGCCTCTGGGATGACTTCATGGTCAGGAAAATCCTCCTCCCAGTTTTGGATGTTTCCATTTATGCTGATGATTTTTAAATTTTTCATACTCATAAGCAAGCTATATACCTTCAAATAATTGAAATCATTTTGCAAAATATTCAAAGAAAGATCCAGTTCTTCTAATTTTGTCATATATTCTAGGATATCAAAATTAAGCTCTATTACCCTTGAATTATAGATTGCGAGGTACTTGAGTGGTGAATTCCTCAAGTATGTGAAATCATCTTTCCTCAAGACCACTGGACATTGAGATATACTGTCGAATGTTATCCTCTCTATTGTTGAATTTTCCAGCCCTCTAAATGTGCCAAACCAGGCTTTTGAACCCAGACGATCAATTTCTTTATTTTTCCAGTTTCCATCTCCTTTCACTTTGACATCTTTTATCCTAGGAAGCAAATTAAATACAAAGGGGTCCAATTTGTCAGCCAGATACTTTATTCCTCCTATATCCAATATTTCAAGCTCATCTAGTCCAGAGAATGTAACATTTTTAAGAACAGTGATGTCATTATCTCCTATATTCAGTACCTTTAGATGTTTGTAAAGATTCCCTAGTTCAAAAGCTTTTAATTCTTTAAGACCACTGTTTTCAAGTATCAGTGTAGTAATGTTTGGTGGAAAGTCTGTCGGCAGTGAGCCAGAGGGAATCATTCTGCAGTCGACATATGTTACATTACATTCGCATGTATCAGTATCACAAGTTGACATTATGTCTTGCATTCCTGAGACACCATATTGAAGAGATGTAATGGAATGTATCAGCAACTTTAGTAACGTTATATATAGTATAAAATCCATTCTGAAACTCAGTATGATCTCCAATGGATTGAACCTTTCGTTGTATTATTTCTTAATGTATATCTGTTTTACAATGATTCTAATAGGAAATGATGACGTATTTTATGTATTTATATAACATTTTTATCCTACCGAGTGTAGTTCAGTGGGATATAGAGAGCGGCTCCATCCATCCATCAGTCCGAATGTAGGTCCTTCTGTCCGGGCAATATCTTTTTTTTATTTTTGGCCAAATATAGCTTATCGTTAATAGTGGCCATTTTGTAAAATTATTTTTTGAGGTGTTATTTTATGTTTTCAAAACTTAGTGTAGCAATTTTGTTGAATACTTAGAATAATATTATATCATCTAATGACAATTGATTGGATTTGCTATGCCTTGGTGTTGCTATTATCTAGTTAAACATGTTGGTTGAATATATTTACATGATTTATTTATTAATACTTGACACAATCAAATAAACTTACACATTGACAACAATAGATTGGATGCTCATAAATAAAAGATGAAAACAAAAAGAAGGTAAATTGGACATCATAGCTTTGGTTTCCTCAGTTTTGAAGGTTTATTTTGTATAGGTATATGATTTATTACTGAATAATCTAAAGAACCTACTCATTGACGAAAGGTGTTTCCTCAGTATTTATTTGAAACTGAAGGAAAATGTCATTACTTCCTTGTACTAAGCAAGGCCGATGTTGTTGATAAAGCAATATTTTGTGGCGTGAACTTAAAAAGGATCGTGAAATAATAATCATGAAAATGTGTGCCAACATTTTCCATAGTACCCCACACAAGTTTTTGATAAAAACCTTGAGCCAAGATTAGAACATTCTACCCTATACTATTTGTTATCAAATTTAGCACATATTAAACTACAGGAAATTTTCAACATTGGAAATTTTTTATTGAGCCATACGTTTGATAATGGTTAAATGGCAGTAATTTCAAAATGCTACACTGGCCAATGTTTTACCAAATTATCTCAATGAATTTGACGTCAAAACTGTAGTACATTTTAACATTTATATGATTCAACCATAACAACAACCGGACAACTAGATATCTAGGACAAGTATATTTCCAAAATAAAACATTGATGGACCTGTCTTATAAACAGACTATCCATAGACTATTCAAAAACCATAAAGGCCTACTTTTGACAGAGTGTTATTGTTCAAATAAGTGATATGGAGGGGGGGGGGTGTCTGGGACTTACCTGATAATATAGTTTAGTTGAAACAATAGATAAGGAGGATGAGAAGAGACATATTTTTGATGTTGAATTTTGGGTTGAATTTTCTCCAAACAAAACTGATTTCAACAGATATTTTCCTGTTTTCAATATTTGCATTGATTTTTCAGTTTTCATTCCCATTGACCTTATATTTAAAGAATCAAGATGATCTAATTGCATGCAAATGGAGTTTTACACGAATCCAATCATAATTTTTTGTTAATTTTGGAAACAAAGTAACTTTTGTGAGTTTTCGCATATATAGAAATGGTATACAAAGAGTCAAAGACTAAAATTACTACTTATCTTCAAATATCCACATCCTCTGTTTAGAGGGATTGTGATGACTGATTTTTGGGATTTAAAATTGTTTCATATTACATACACATGACATACAGTATTTATGGTTCTTTTGCCAAATTCCTGCTTGGTACTTGCTCGTAGCATCCAGATAAAATAACACAAAACAGCGTTTGTTGCAAATTATATTTTAGTTGCACATCATGTATGCAAGCACAGGCTTTATACACCTATGCAAGTACTCTTTACAAAACATCAAACCACAGTGAAAATGAGAACAAACATTTAGCACAGACTCAATTTTCAGCCTGACCTGAGAATGGTGTCTAAATCTAAGGGAGCATTTGCAAGATTATAACCATTCTTATGGTCAACTCATTTAAATATGAATAGTACCTACTTTTCTTATTCAAATGCCTTTGCCCTAAATAAGCAGTTAATCCATCAGCCAACAGCTGGTGGTTGAATTCGGGAATGCTAACTATATGACTGATTGACATAGTGAACTTACACATCATGATTCACACTACAGTTATATTATATTACCATTTGTTATGTGCAATACTGGTACTTGTAAAAACTTAAGTACCACTTTATTAAATGTTTTAACAATATTATATGTACAGTTGCTGGTACTTTTAAATAAATTTGCTTCATGTTTAACTACTAGTTATGTTTTATAATATGTGTTTATTGACGAATTGTGAAAAGTTGAGATTGTTGATTTGCATTCAATATTTTGAAAAAAGGTAATGGCGTTCAATGTACTGACGATTATATGATATACTGAAGATATTATAACAGAAGAGGTCTATTTTCTCTGATGAAATCCAGCACAACTTGTTCATCCTCTTCATCTTGAGGCATTGTGTATTGACTGCCTTCATGCCTCTCATTTTGTGGTCTCGGTTCACCTAAAGCATCACATAGCTTCCTCCAGAAGACAGCTTGTCTGTCAGCATCATCACTCCACTCCAGGTACACCCGGGTATCCAGAAGTGATTGCAATGTAGGAGTGATTAGTTCCTTTGGTAGGACATGAACTGGTTCCTTCAAAATGAGGATTATGCAGTCACGCCCCCTGTTTGCCAATTCTCCTCTCGCCATGTTCAGTTCATAGGTACACCATTTGCTACGCAGAAAGTTCTGAGTGATAATGAGAATGACTTTGTTGCTTCTGTTGATAGCATCAATGATTATATCAGAGATATAAGCGCCTGGTCTGAAATTACGATCATCAATACATATGCTGTAGTGGTGAATACCAACTAGAGTGGCATACAGTGTCTCCAGTCCCCATGTTTTATCGAGAGAACTGTAACTAATAAAAGCATCAAAATCATACTCGTCATCATTATCTTTACCATGGCGCCTCAGTGCAGCTCTTAACTGGAGGTACAAATAGTGTATTTTGTACCGCCTTCTGTATATTATGATTACTATACATCCACATATAAGCATTATTCCGCAAGGTATCGTAGCAGCTAATATAACTGGTTTCCAACATGATAGCTTCAGAACACTTAAATCAATTCTGTGCATTTTGATTTTTGAATAATTTGTGTATAAGCATTCCAAGTTTTCCCATTCAGCTATGTTGTTACTATGATCTTGCATCCAGGACACAAAGTCAAATGAGTTGCAGCTACATATTAAGGGGTTGTTTTTCACATTTATATGGACTGTCACATTGGATTTGTGATTTAAATGATCAACTATATCTTGAATGTTCTTTGGTAATTCTTGCAGTTTATTATCAGAGATGTCCAACAGTTCCAATTTTTTTGCTGAATCAAGGTCAATGTTGAATTCTGAAAGATAGTTACCTCCAAGATGAATAGTTTTGAGTTCATTAGACTTACGAAACATAAGGAATGGCATTCTTGTCATTTTATTATATGACAAATCTATGTGTTGAAGCCTGGTGCATTTACTAAACATCTCAAAAGTTGTGTTTGATTCAAAATCACTCATATTCATTATATTATGCGCTATGTTCAATATCTTAATGGATTCAAATGCTCCATATTGACACGATATTGTAGTTGGATACATTATCAAACCAATGTCTTGAATATATAACTCTTCTAAGTTAACAAATCCATAAACTGGGCCTAAATGTCTCAGGAATTTAGTTCCCCTCATGTCCAGTTTTCTCAATGAATTATTTCGATTTATATTTATGCCATATGTAAGACTACATGGTCCCCAAGTTAAAGCTGATCTGGCTATTTCGATTTCCTCAATACTTTTTGAAAATAGGAACTCCGGTAGTAATATGCCAGCATTCGGGAAGAGTTCATGTTCATTCCAATTTTGCCAAGCATGGGAGTTGTCATGTAGTTTAATAAATCTTAATTTGTCCATGCGCAGAAGCAAGCTATATGCTTTCATATAATTGATATCCATTTGCAAAATATTAAAAGAAAGATCCACTTCTTCTAGGTTCATCATATATTTGAGCATATCAAAATCAAAGTCTATCAACCCAGAATCGTTAAGTCCAATATACTTTAGTGGTGAATTCTTCAAGTAGCTGAAATCTTCTTTTCTTAAGGTCACTGGCTTATTTGCTATTGTTTCAAAATATATCCTTTCTATTGTAGAATTTTCAAGTCCTTTAAGTGTGCTTAACCATGCTTTTGCACCCATGCGAATAGGTCGAAAATCTCTCAAGTTACCATCTCCTTTAGCTCTGATCTCTGTAATCTTAGGAAGTAAGCTAAATACAAAGGGATCTATTTTTGCCCGATAGTTGATTGTCCCCAAATCGAGCTTTTCTAGTTTGTCCAATCCAACAAATGTTACATTTTTAAAGACAAGGATTTTATTTTGTCCAAGTTTAAGTTGCTTTAAATGTTTGTAAAACATTCCAAGTTCATTATCTTTTAATTCTGTAAGGTTGTGTGCTATGCTTAGATCAGTAATATTAGATGGAAGATCTGTAGGAAGCCTTCCTGAAGGAATAGTACCACATGAAACATTTGTTTCCCAACATATGCAGTACTTATATATTGTAGAACAATTTGTTGTTGGCTCAGTTTCTTGCTGAATCCCAGGAACAACATCATATAAAAATACTGTTGACAAACAGAGTATAAATTGTAATAACTTCATGTTTAATTTGAAACCCATTGTGATCATTTGTGCATCCTTTGAAGACTTTATTAAGAAGTGTTCATAGAATATTTTAGTTTTAATATTATTGGTGTTTTTAGGCAATAATAACAACAAAGAATGGTACACCATTTATATAACAATCACATTGTTGCAAATGAGTTGAAAAAGACATAAAAATTTGATTACCAAGCCATTGAAACAACAATGTTTCCCTAATATTGGGGTAATGTTATTCACTTAAAAATCATTGAAAACTTTAACAACTAAAATTAATTCCTCATAAATTGTAGAACAAAAGACTATATTTCGTCAAAGGGCAATCATCCTCATAGCCCGATTTTATAAAACATTTGTAGTTCCCTGTCAAACAGTCCATCTGTCTGATTTTATTTTAATGATGTCATATATATTCTATAACTTGTATAGAACAATGTGGATAATTGTGATAATTCATATACAGTGATAAATGATGCAGAAATATGACATTCTACTTCATCTGATCATATAACCTTATACTTGTATGTTGATTATTGGACTAGTAAAAAACATATTTTTATTTTGAGGCTAATAATGATAGATAATTCAAATGTAAGATTCAGAAAATAATAAATCATTTGAGGTTCCATATATAAGATGAAACCCAATTGGTAAACAAATTTAGATACGAGGAGTGTAGAATATGGGTGGGATGGAAATGCTGATGCATTTTGGATTTCTCTGGACCTTCCTCCTTGTTCACTGACAGCTTTCCCTTTCATGTTTTAATCTCCCATTAAGGATGTAATTTTCTACATTCAAAGTACATCCTTAGGGAAAGAGCAGAAGGATATCCACCCAGGAAATTATAGACCCCATAAGGGAAATCATACATCATATAACGGGAAAACAAAGACAAATTTAAGCTTAATGAGCATATGAATCATAAATCCTTATTAATAAAAGAAAACTTCCTGATGTTATCATATTTTTTCCTCATGTGATCTAAAAAAGTGTATTGATGAGAAATAATACAGTAAAATACAATGGGATGCATGGAACTTTGTCAAAAAGCATCTTCTGATCCTAGATCCTTGTCTGAGTAATGAACAACTAATTTATTGTAACTAATAAATTGTTCACATTTCTAATAATTTTTGTATGATTATATTTTGCAGGCATTTTAACATAACAGAGAGCTGCATAAAATACATGGGAAACCATTTAGATTCACTCCTATGCATTCCACATAGAAGTAACAAAAACAAACCTAGGCCAGACCCCTCATATGGTACAGGAGAAGAACATAGCTTTATGGTGATGAAGACATATGAAACATTGAGTAAGATCATCAGGAATCTAGATGACCTTCCCCTGACTGTTAATACCATACAAGGTTCTGATGCTGTGTTTAGGCATACACAGGTACATTACTGTATTAGAGAAAGTAGAACGTAGCTGACATTTAAGAAACTTAGATTTTGTTTGACCCTTATTATTAGATTCAGAATCTCAAGAATGTATTCAATTCTGCCTACTTAAATGAAATATTCAAACATACATTCAAGCCAATAATATAATATAATATAATATAATACTGTAATATTATATAATATAATATAATATAATACTGTCATGTAATATAATATAACACTGTAATATAGTACAATAAACTTGTGTCTTCTATTATAATCTTCGAATACAGCCTACTTCCTCCATTCCAAGACCCTCATGCTTAAAATTAGTACTATCTGCAATACATGGAGCCCTGCCCTTGAATCTTTTACTTGACACTGTAGTTATACCATTTCATTGCAGGTGTTCCCCCAGGAGGCAGCCTCATACAAACCTTCTGGAATATTTGAAGGGAAGAGGAGACTACCATCAGCTGGGAGGAATGTACCTCCTGTGTTGGCACCATTGAAAGGTATGGGTATATGGGCACTGGATGAGTGTATTTTAGGTTGCTTATTTGAAAATCAGTTTCAGTTAAAATAAAACAAGCCTTTTATTGTAATAAGTAAGAAAATTAATTTGAGCTTACAAATATGTTCTACCTACACAAGTAGCACTGTACATTTAGAGTTGAATTTTTAAATGGATTTCAGTTATATGCATCATGGAAGGAAGTGGGAAAATGCCAGAGGATAAAGATGCCATGCAACGAATCAAGGCAGCATTCCACATTAAACTCGCAGAGCTATTACATAAGCAACATAACCTAGAAACTGTTGTACATACTGATCATGTAGATATATTTAAGGTAGGAACACTGGTGGAGTCTCCATCAATTGTGTCAATCTTAAAGGTTTGCATAGTATTATCAAGGACGTCCTTGGTTTTATATAAAATTCCTGACTACATTTTCTAAGTATGAATCTGTGTATTTCCTAGGGAAGATTATAGATATTGAATGTGACAGTCTTAAAGGGGCAACAAGGACTGTATAGAGAAAATTCACATTTTTTTTTTTCTGACCTATCAGGTCAATATTTGGCTTAACACCTTCTTTGACATACCTATTTTTTTAAATGTATGTATAAACTATCAATTTCAGCATTGAGAAGTGTAAATCCAGTCCAAAGCTTCTATAAAGGAAGTCCCACTTATAGATTTTTAAGATCCACCATGTTTCAAGAGGAATATCAGCTGAAATAATGTTCATCCATGGAGTTTCTTTGTAGATAATGAAAATATATGTTAGTCTTGATGAAATATCCAAACTTAAATATATTTTGACACTGGTCGATGATCGTTGAATGGCCCCCCTGCACTAATTGTTGCACCTTTAATCATCTAGTTGAGAACATTGAATATATTTTGGTATGTTTAGTAATAAAGTGCCCAGTTAATGTGCAAAGTATGTGTACATTGTATATTTCAAAATCAAAGTTTCACATCTTAAAGAGGTTTTCATGCAAAATAAAGAAGTCCTGCATATGAGCTTGAAAAATGCTCAGATCTGAGCTTACAAGTTTGACAGAATGCTTATGGTTTTCCTGGCTTGTATGCAGAAGTAGCTTAAAAAATCTTAAATAGGTATACAACCTTTTTAGGATGGCTTTCTGTTTGCTGTCTATTTGAGTTTCCTGAGAGAGATTGCAGTATTAAAGCTGGAGACCGCTCCTAATGGAATGGTGAAGATGAAAGATAACTCTGCCTCCGTAGCTTTAGAAAAAGACATTGTACACACACCTAAGCTAACCTCTACACTGAATGGGTAAGTGTTAAGGAAAGCATTGTTATATCTGGAATGATATACCCTTTTTTATATACCCAATATGTAACATAAATTCTGATTGGTCATAAAATAAAATTACTTTTTCCCTTTGAAACTCATGTTCCCTCAAAAGTGAGAAGTAGGAATATACATTTGAACTATTGCTTTCTGACATTACAATTGCAACTTCTATTACCCTGACCCTGAATAGATGGGAGCATCGTCACTGTGACTGCCTAATTTAATGTTTTCTCAAATGTTCCATTCCCTCTGCCTGCGGTTTCAGGTATACTTCAGTTTTGAGCATATTTCCCTGGGGATTTCCCTCAACGGCAGTCCCTATTCATATAATATCTTACTTTTATTATGGATTTTTTATTGAGATTGTTAAAGCTTCTTGATACAATATATGCTTTGATACAATCATTTGGAATTGTACATAAATAGTTCAATGACCTGGTATCATCAAGTGTTATTGATGCAATAGATGTCTATGAAGATTGTTGAGTCAATATTGATAGACTATTGAAATACAATAATGAGATAATAAAATTTTCCTCTACATATAGATGGCACTACAGTTTAAACATTGTTCCAATAAATCTCAAAATTGCAATAAACATGAAACTTAAATTAAAACTATCCAATATTTCAGCCTTGGTACAGAGCACCAGACATACTGTGCTGTTGCTAGGCTTGCAAAACGTTGGATAAGTGCCCAATACTTAGGAGACTATATTCAGGATGAAGTAGTTGATATGATAGTGGCTTATCTGTACATTTCTCCAGCACCCCATACAGCACCTGTGTAAGTAAACCCTGATTTATTGGTCGGTTGCTTGCTTGATTGCTTGATTGATTGATTGAGGAAAATATTTAAGAATAAGGAAGGGTATTTCCAGTATATTTTTTTCTTTTCAGTAGATAATACTGAATCATTGGCTATTTTCTTATATTAAAAACTTAAGTAAAATAGATGTCACTTAAAACATCCAGAACTTTTCTTTCTTGTCTTACTCTTAAGAGTACCCTGAATAGCCATTAAGGGTTAGTTGTAATATTCTGGTTTGACACCACAGGCTTGACACATGTATGATAAATGATCAAGTTTCTTACTTGTTCTTTCTGTTATCTATATGAATAATTGTATGCAAAATGTCTGGATTTATTGTATGTTGTATGTATAAATAATTGTTCATTGTAGGTCTGTGTTGGGTGGCTTCTCTAGGTTCCTCTACCTGGTCTCTACCTATGACTGGAACCTCAATCCCCTCATCATCAACTTCAACAATGTATTAACAAGTAAGATACCATTGTCCTGTTCATTTGATTATAGCATAGGAGGCATATCTCACTTGATTAATGTCTCAGGTCTTGTTCACAATGGTATAAACTAACTGTGCCAAATTACGTGCTTCTATCACAAAGTGCACAAACATTTCAACATTTACGCTAGCTATGCAGATGTGCTCATAGTATGTATCTCTCCCCTGAAACCTTTAAGCTTGGAGTATATTAGGATGACTTTGCCTCTGAGTTAGTAATATAGTTTGCATGCATTATATATTGTTTTCTCGCTATCATAGTGTGCATTTCATACATTCCCACTTTAACTTAGCCAAGGTAGGTCCAATGTAAGTTGGAATCATTTGTTTTTTAATTCCATTTTCTGGACGCATGAATATCTCTATAAATTCATCTGATGATTTTCCTTGTTATATTTCCAGAGGAGGAAATAACCAGTATTCAAGTGCAATTCAGCAAAGATAGGACATCTTTCCCCCTCATGTGTCTCCCTACATCTTTTGACCAATCAGGAGGGGTTTGGAGCAGAAGGAGCCCGAATCCCATGATGCTCAACAGATTGGTCGTCCTGGCAAAGGAGTCTCTTCTTGTATTAGAGAATCATCTTACACATTGTACCAAAGGAGTAGATCTGAAGGTAATGTTTGTGTAAATTGCAATGGAAGTTCATGTTCCATCTGTGCATTATTCTCTACATATGATGTCCATTTTTTGTCACGATCAAGAATTTTTATTGTCACCATATTTGATGTTCCGTGTCCATAACATATACACTTTTATTAATGCAACTAAATGGTGACACATTAACTCCTTGTAAAGTTTACCTTATGTACTCTTACTTTGGACTATTTTACTGACTCATTTGCATTTCTCAAGCGCAGGTTTGGTCATTCTAGAATCACACATTAGATTACACGTACATGTATGTAATCATGGATTTGAAAAAGCTTGTGATATTAGAACCAATTGAAGTATTTTCCCCAAGAACATACAATCATCCTGCATCATTCCAGCATTGAGAATTTTCATTTTCAGCAAATTTTCCGAGCACCCCTAGATCACTATGACGTCATAATAAAGCTAATTCCGAAGTACGTTCCAACAGCATTCCAGTCAGTGGATGTACCCGACGAGACTATCATACCCAAATTTGGTGAATACTCAAATGATCACGTTCTCCCAGTTATTGATTTCAACCCGGTACAGCTGTTCCTGAAGGAACTTAGAGTGAGTGAACACACCTTCGTTTTTATGTGACCTGCATCAGAACTGGTGACATATTGTTACAGTTTCAAACCTTTATGTGGTTGGTCTCGGCTTTCAGCATCTGTAACAAATGGCAGGTTGTGACATTTTGCGTGTTAATGCTTGTCTGTCAGTCTGTAAAATGTATCTATACATGTATTCCATGTTTTTGTGTTTTTTTTGTTTTTGTTTTTTTTTGTTTTTGGTATGACCCCAAAGGGCTGAATATTTCAACACTAACTGATTTCTATTTTCTATAGGTTATGGGAATACATGTACATTGACAAAGATCCAGCCAAACAAATTTTGAGTGGGCATATTTTTATGAAAACATCTTTCTCTACCAGTTATTTAATGTTTTGATTTAATAATTTGATCATTGCTTGTGTAGGAGCTCAATTCTATGAAAAAGGACTGAATCATAACCATGTGACAGAATAATGTACTTTTTGACTGCAACTTAAGATGGTTCTTTCTATTATATATGATTCGAGATAAGATAAGATTTGATAAAATATGATTTGTTTGATGCTACTCTGTGGAGTTTCTGTTTTTATGTCACCACCAAAAAGTAGTGACATATTGTTATAGTCTCCGTTTTTTTGACAGCCGTCGGCGGTTGGTGGTTGGCAGTTGGCGGTTGGCGATCGGCTTCTGTAACAAATTCTTATAACTTCCAATAACTTAACAAATACTGTTTAGACTGTTTTCAGAAGTTCAAATCTGACTTTATACTCAAGATTCAACCTTCAATGATATTTCAAGGTCAAAAGGTATTTTTTCAACTTGCTTTAAATTGACAGATTTTTTCAAAATCATCTACAAGTTATCAGAAGTTCAAATCTGACTTTAGATTTGAGATCTGACCTTCAATGACCTTCTCAAGGTCAAAAAAGGTATTTTTTGAACTTGCTTCAAATTGATGAATTTTTTTTCAAAATCATTTACAAGTTCTCAAAAGTTCAAATCTGACTATAGATTTGACATTCGATGACATTCTCAAAGTCAAAAAGGTCTATTTTCATCTTGCTTCAAATTGACCAATTTTTTCAAAATCATCTACAACAGGCACATTTGTAAACCAGCATTTAGAATTGACTGTATGCTTTATCGGGCTACTAGCAAGCATAATCTGTCCAGTGTGTATTCAAATAAATGGCTGCTTAGAATGTAATGAATCCCTCTAAGAATAAAAATAAAATCATCTAATGATGATAGGATGTTAGTGCAACCATGCCATCAAAAGGGCCTTAACCTTGTGTTGGTGTGCCAAAATGTAAAATCTCAATCTAAACAATTTTGAGTATTGAATCTTTTGTAACTAAATATAGTCAAATATTTATGTTCCAGGAAAGCTTTGATGACATTGCGCTATTCTTTTATGACAAATATGGTGGAGATGTCATCGCAGTGCTTTGGAAACCACCCTCCTTACAGCCTTCAAAATTTCAGGTAAAGGGAAAATGATTCATCTATGATTTTCTGAAATGAGATGAACAGACTCAAACATAATTGCAGTTCATTATTTTGTTTGTTTCATGTATATGCTTAAATTAGAAAAAACTAAAAAAGGGATGTCATTGAGACCAAAAATCTCAGCACAGGGTTAAAAAGCCATCACTGTATCTTGGTCACCTTCAGCAGAGGATATGAAATTTATCTACTCATCAAATTCACTTACAACTGCAAGCTTAAAGAGTTCATTCCCCTGTCATTCTTTCTTGAGTCTTATTATAGTGTTAATGGTGGTTTTTCACTCTCACAACAGGGTTTATTTATTGTATGTTCTAGGTCTCTCACATAGATGCGCGGAGGGTGGATGTAGAGTCCAACAAACAGGACGTTCAAATGGTGACTAACATTGAGGCCATAATACAAGACTTCTACACCATTGGTCAAGGACTTGTTAAAAGTGTTACAAAAACTCAGAAGTAGCTATACTGAAACATATCAGTGTTTTATGTAAAATAAATAGAAAAGCAAATATATAGTGTATATGAAACTATGTACTCCATTACAGTAAATATATACACCATCATATATATTTTCTCCGAATTTTCTCAAGTTTTGTGCATTCTTTATAAATACATATGAAGAGTGAAAAATATAAGTTCCCTAAAGACATAATTAGGTGCACCGTATCGCAGTATTATGGGTTAGGTCAAGATCTAACAATTGAAATTTGGTTATGGTCAATATATTATGTTTGGAATTATGGTAATGGTCAAGATACAACATCGGGATTTATGTTTATGGTCAAGAAATTACATTTGGAATTATGGTCGAGATATTCCACTTGGAATGAGGGTTGTGATCAAGATATTACACTTGATATGTTGGCAAGAAAATAGTTTATGGACTAATTCTAATCAGTGTGTATTCCTTGATGAATTATATTGAAGGTTCATTGAACAATGAACCTAAACTCATAAAGATCATGCTAGAAATTGTGGATGCAATTAGTGAATGAAGACTACATGGATATTTCTTCGAGACTTGAAAATTTATTTTTTGCTAGTGTTTGATAAACCTGAGCGTAAAAAGATCGCTTTGTATATTGATTTTCTACTTAAATAATGGTACAATATGACATCTTCCTTTGATATCAGATATGATATCCTCCCTTCTTCAAAAAACATACAATCCCTTCCTACATATAACTTTTATATATACATGTATACAAATACAAGAGACGAATCTTGGGTTTAGATGTGCTTAAATCTAGAGGAAAAAGAACTATTAAAGATATTGCAGGAATATCATTTGATTTAAAGCTATATTTGTAGCTTTTATGTTTATTCAAAGGAAATTGAACCAATTAATACCAAAAGGTACTGTACCACAGCATCGGTCCTTTCCTCTGAGATAGGATTATTTCTAATTCGATGTGTACATATATATAAAAATAATATGTATCCAAAAATAGTCACAATCGGTCTATATTTATCGGAAAACATATATTAATACTTAAACCACTGTCACGGCCAGCCAGATCTAAGACGTGACACATGTCACACATGTACTCTCAATGTAACTAAGAATAACGTGTAAAGTCACCTGGGAACTGATAGTGATCGTGATATTTCCTGAATATGACAAAGAAACACCCAGTAGAAAAGTTGGCCTGGCATTTCAAAGGTAATGTTTTGAGGGATTTCACATTATGTTTTTATCTGAGATTCAACACAGTGCTTTATGTTGCATCCAAAATAACTGAGCAAGTACTTATTGTAATAAAAACGTGCTGGATAAAAATTCAAGGTCAAATAAAATGTCAAAATTGTTTTTTTGGTTATTATACTCTTACTATTTTAGACGATTGGACTTAACTGCTTCACTCATTCCAACGAAAGTTCGGTGGACGAATTTTCTGTATACTTAAATGCGGTGAAAAGATTTATATTGGTATTTTTATGCAAAAAATATTTTATCAAGATTCACCTTTTACATGAAATCAATCCACTGATCCAACACATACAGGGTGAGCAAAAAAGTTAACCCAATAGGTTTTTAGTCATATTTGGCACAATTTTACCTTCAATGTCCTTTCATTCAAGCGACCAGAAGTTTCCTGACTACACGCTCACAGATATCTTGTGTAATGGCTCTCATTTTCCTTCTATCTCTTGTTTCAACTCCCAGATGCTTCTAGGGTTGTTTGTACACATATTATATTTTTAAAATAGCCACAGAGATAAAAATTCGGGATGATAAAATTGGGTATTTTGGAATGTTTTAGCATTTGGAGTATGTTTCGTAAAATGGCCATAAAAGTGTGACCATTAAACGTAGACCAGTGACACTTAGTAGAATTCAATAACATTAAACAAGGTTCAATTGTGATAAATATGATTTCAAACCCATACTGGATGACTGAATTATTAAGATTTGTTTGGGTTATTTTTTGGCCAACCCTGTATTTTGATGCCTCCTGTATGTTCAGGTGATTACTGATACGATATAATAGGATCATAAATAAGTAATGACAATTAATTGCTCTGAGACCTAGCAACTTATCGCTCGTCTTGCTAATATTGATCTCTAAGTTATGTTATTGAAATTATGAAACAAAAGCTCGAGGCGTACAGAGTGTTCACTAAGTAGTGACACTGGGTCTCCTATTTTTTTTAAGTTTTATGCACATAATGACTCCTTATGAGGCAAATACATGAACGCCCAGTCTTGTGAGGAGTATGGTCTAGCTACATTATGAAATTTTAGACATTCTTTATTCTTTCCATTTTAGGCCTAGTATTTTTGCAGTATGACACGGTGTATTGGCCTGGAGTCGCCAGACTTATCGTTTGTGTAGTTTCCAAATAGAGTACACAGAGTCCCCAAAAACCATCTTAGCCTTGATAAATGAATTGCCATGCCATGAACCATGGTACTAGTACACAGCACACATTTCAAATAACCAACTGACGTATAGATGTCGAATTCATTTCTTAAAACACTATTAAATGCCATGAGGTTAGCGCTTTTCAAAATAATGTACTATTGACGTCTTTGACACACCCCTGGCATTAAATTGAACGACAAGCATTGTGTCATCGTTGGGAAGTCATGTAACCTTTGAAACTTTTTAAGTAAACTCTCAATTACATGTCTCATGCCTCAGTTTCATTTGTTCTACTGCAACCGTACGACGGCCCTTGCTTCTTAAAATCGAGAGAAATATGCAGCATAAAATATAGGGATAATCAGTACGATGTGGATTTTCTATATCGATTTTGTCAAGCAACGGTCGCCGTACGCCCGCCGTAGAACAAATGTGTCGGAGGCTTAAGACATGCTGAAAATATCAACAAAGTTCCCTCAAAGATAAAATGGGAGAGACAGTGTCATTGCTTATATTGGACACCCTGTATATAAACTATGGCGTACATCGGGTGTTAAGAATGCTATTTGAAATATACGAATAGGAAATCGGAAATACATCCTGAAAGCAATAAGACAGTTCAATATCGTTGGCTTGAGGTTATTTATTTCAAATTTTTTCTTTCACTCGAAAGTATCGAATAACGATCATATATGGATTACATATCGGAACTCATCAATAAAAGGTGTTGAAATTAATTGTGACTGGCACGTTATTTAGAAAGTCCATGGCTAAATAAACTTTTCTTTAGTCTTAGGTGTTTCTAGACCATTGCTGATAAATGTTTTCCCAATCATAAAACCCATAATTTTGTTTTTATTAGGTCGCCTTGTGAATAAATAATCAAATTTTGTAGAAGTACATCATATGTCTAAGATTAAACGTTATTTTAATGCTAGATATTTACATCTTTTCTATTGTCTATTGTATTCTTGAAGAGAGAAAACAGCATTCCGAAAGCATATATAAATCAATATAGGCCTAGATTCTGCTTTGTATTCGATCTGATACTTTTTAAGCCTGATTAAAACATGGATCCTACATTTAACCGAGGAACACATTCATAGATGAACCTATGACCCACATTTCAAGTCTGGAAAATATTTCCAAAAAGGCCAAGTAATGTCCAAAAAGGCCTTTGTGGATGTATACCCACTAATTAGCCCTAAAACATTTTTAGGGCTATTAAATCTTTTCGGGCCAAACATTTTCTGGGGCCATCCATGGTGGGGGGGGGTATCCCCCTTGATCCGTCAGTGATCTCCGTGTAAAGATGTTCTCTATATATGTTCGTGTTCATCTTTACATGGAGATGGGCTCGCTTTTGTATTTTTGGGTATCACATTCCTAATCGAATCTCAATCGTCCATATTAAGTGCCGCCTGGTCAATATGACATTTTAGACGGATGTTCTTCACAAATGAAGAAGCCCGTGAGCTTACAACCCACCCTTTGTGCATAAACCGTGACTGAAGATGATATTTCTGAACAATTTGAAGCCGGAAAACAATCTTGTCACATAAATGGTTACCATATTAGGTCACAATATGTCACGCCTTGTGATCATCAATTGCGAAAATGATGTTAAATTGACACAGACTGAACATGAGAAGAACAAGTTCGATGTGTTTTTTCACATTCTGGGACAGAAGATGAAACGTGTCAAATAAAACAACTTTGGATTATCTCTATGTATAACACCCATATCTATGGAGCATCTCTTTATGCGGAACACCTTCGTTTATGTAATATTTCTGTCTGTGGAACACTTCTGTATGTGAAGTACATATGTCAGATGTGTGTAAGGTGGCAATATCTGAACGTGTCTCTGTCTAATTAACACCTCTTTTTCTGGAACATCACTGTATATCTCCATGTAAAACACCTCTGCACGTGGAAATCTGTCTATGAAACACCCATGTGTGGAAACCTCTATCTGTGAAACACCTCCGATATGGAACATCTTTTTTCCACAAGCATTCTGTATGTGGAATACTCTGTATGCAGAACAACTATGTGGAACAGTGCTGTCTGAAACACCTCTGTATGTGAAACATCTCTGTGTGTGGAACACCTCTATATGTAGAGCACCTCAACATATGTATGTGGAACACCTCTGTATAGAGACCGCATCTATGTGTGGAACACCTCTATATGTAGAGCACCTCTGTATGTGGAAACCTTTATTTGGATATATAACACCTATGTGGATGTATAAAACCTATGTGGATGTATAACACCTATGTGGATCGGATGTATAACACTTATATGGATGTATAACACCATGTGGATGTATAACACCTATGTGGATGTATAACACCCTTGTGGATGTATAACACCTTTGTTGATGTATAACACCGATGTAGATGTATAACACCGATGTGGATGTAAAACAAACACCTATGTGGATGTATAACACCTATGTGGATGTATAACAAAAATGCGGATGTATTACACCTCTGTATGTGGAAACCTTTATGTGGATGTATAACACCTATGTGGATGTATAAAACCTATGTGGACGTATAACACCTATGTGGATGTACAACACCTATGTGGATGTATAACACCTATGTGGATGTATAACACCTATGTGGACGTATACCACCTATGTGGACGTATACCACCTATGTGGATGTATAACACCTATGTGGATGTACCACCTATGTGGATGTATAACACCTATATGTGGATATAACACCTATATGGATGTATAACACCTATGCGGATGTATACCACCTATGTGGACGTATAACACTTATGTGGACGTATAACACCGATGTGGATGTATAACACCTATGAGAATGTATAACACCTATGTGGATGTATAGCACCTTTGTATAGAAAAACTTCTCCCGCGATTCATTACCTCACGTCACTTGCTCAAAGAACTTCATGACATGGAACCAAAGGCGTCCTGTTATGAACTCCTTATGAAACTTCATATTCAAGCACTAGCTTTGAATTGTTTTTAGGTTGATATTATGGACCAAATAATGGACCTTTTATCCAGGATGTAATATTATGTCATATTTCACGCTCACATAAATAAATTATCTATCAATTTTGTGTGACATCTAATAAACTCAGACAAATGTTTTGATCGCATGGAACGAGAACACATATATTATAGATGCCATAGAACTGGTACTGAAGGATGAACAGGGTACGGTTTGACAGATTTGGAATTAAGGAGCATAAATTCCCAAAATGAGTTATAAAAAGAAACGAATGTTTAAAGCAAGGACGGGATAAAAGAATGGACAATATTGCAAGCAACATTCCTTATCATTTATCATATTATCATTTTAAACATACATCTCAAAAAGAATCATGATATTTTATTGTATGTTGTCATGGTGAAGTTTAGGACCAAAAAAACAATTTGGATATTATCTAAAATATCAAAAACTATCTGAAATAAAGTAAACAAATAAATTCTTAGAAAATTTAACATTTCAATTACGAGGAATGATATGAAGACTATGAACCAGAAAAATTAGGACAATTTGGAAAAGTTTGTTAGCTTTTTCCGATTTCCAAACGTCAAGGGATTTCGTCAACAGTCCCGTTTACAAGGATTTACAATTGAAACAGAAAACTAGCTGGTATTGCCATCATACCTCATTCAGCAATACCTGAAGCATTTGTATATTATTACACAGAATCGAATCATTTTAATATACTGGTATCCATTCTTAATGTAATATTTTATTTGTAGTTCATAAAAGCATTGCACTATGCCTGGCGTAAGGCTAACAACATAACATGTTCAATACATAAAATCAATTTTTCTCAGTTTGAAGTACACTCCTAGTCCAACACTTAGGAATATTGCAACAAGCAGTACCTTCACAAATACGTTGAATGACTTGATATCTTGTGAAAACGAGTTCCTTCGAGTCAGTGTCCTTGTGTTCTGGAAGCCCTCGAAAGGCGCTGTTATGCTAATGGTTGGCGAAGGCGTGCTCATTGGAGTCGTCGCCCTTGACGTATCGCGACTGCCAGTACATGTTGAACTTATTGATCGAGTGAATTTCGGAAGGCTCCCATGCTCGTTTGCTAAAATGTCATTAAATGACAATCGCCGTCCATTCGACTCACTTTTCTTAACTGTTATATTGTCCGATTCGTTTATTGTATGGGTTGAGGATCGCCTCCTGTGTCGGATAATTCTACCGTGGTGCATGCTAGTGGATTGTCTTTAGTTTTTTCTAATTCAGTAGTTTTATGTTTCCACTTGGAATCACACTTTGTTTTTAAACTGACTGCTTAGATTTGTGGACAGTGCAACTATCCCGATGCAACGGTTTAGCTTATTAACGTTCTCTCAAAATTTAAAACTGACATTTGGCATCACTTCGTTCTTTTGTCCTTCACTTTTGATGTGTAGATGAAAAATGTATTTTACTCAATAATGTAGGCTGTTATTACCTTGACCATAGAGTTAAGAAGTGACTCTTGTCATTTTCCAGATCAATTTCCTTATAGTAAAGTTCCTTCCGTCGTGGCTGCTGAGCACTCCACAGATCTGCAGTTGATTTCTTTTATAATACTATCCTCAGTCAGAAACGATTATGAAGTGACGTCTATAGTCTATACCCGCGTTCTCATCGTGTAGGCATCTGCTTAATTAAATGAGATCAACTGGATGAATCTAATAATTGCTTATTAGGCGATAAACTCTTTGAGCAATAAGTTTAATTTAAGTTATACTTATGATCTTAAGTTGTATCATCAGCGCTCCAGGAACGCTGTATAATAAGTGAGTCTCGTTGCAAAGTCTTTGCATTTAATGTCGTAATTTTCCAAAGCTAAATTAGCGCTGATGAGTCTCGTATCCCCGCGGTTGATGAATCGGTTTTAATACTCAGTGTCAGTACAAGTGAGGACTGCAATAATCTGCAATAATTCCAACCAATTGCGCTCGTAACTCTTAATGTCTGCTTTCTGCTTGGGTTGATGTATTCATCTTCCCTTGTTCTAATGCAGAATGAACTTGCGTTATCTTAATACAAATACATCTGTGTCTGCATATGACTTCACAGTGCAAGTATCAATCCGTAAAAATAGTGTTTGTCATAAGCTCATAACGTTCATGGTTCTTTACTATGCAACAAGCGTTTGTTCAATGTGTGCACAAACTGTGCAGATGTGCATGTCAGCTTTTTTATTTCCATACGAAATGTCTGAACTCAATCAATATTAAAGAAATCAATCCTTACTTACAATCGGTACGAAATTGTTGGTATGCACGAAGAGTAGTAGTATAGGATGTTATGATGCCGACGAGGAGCTTTAAATCAATTTCATAATTGAGTTTCTACAACTGTTATTGATTTGTTTTACTTTACCTACCGACGGGATGACATCATTAATTCTGTAAACATCAGATTTAGAGAGACGGGTCATTAAATACTGGAGGAGACAGGGGGGGGGTGTAGTAGCTGGTTAAACCCTCCTCCGGGATGGTTCCGGGGTAAATTCTGGGAGTAAACGATTTAAAGTTGTATATTCATCTATACCCTGGAACAAGGTTGCTTAGAAAAAATATTCTGTTTTTAAAAAACGGGAAAATATTTGTCAAAATATGGGTCAGGTTATTTTCGAGAAAAGTAGTGTTGATTGACTTTGAAACAGGTAAGTTTAAATATCCAATGGTAAGTCCCTGAGTAGGAGTGTTAATTGTAAGTCCTAACCCCGTGATTGAATTAGGGTCTTCCCTCTACAAATACGTATGCCGGAAAACGTTTGTATGGCTTCGATATGGATGGATGTGGGTGCCTAATGAAAACCAGAGGACTTGGGCCGACTAGGGATGCCTGTAAACGGTATGTACCGCGATGAATTGGATTTTCGTTGACATTTTGAAGTCCATTATTGTGATGTGAATATCTAATTTTTGGTCACATTTCCATTGATATTTGGGTGCTTTCAGCAAGATTGTCATGACATTTATTATACTTTTGCATTGGCCTCGTAAAATCGCCTCGTATGTCGCATTCCCCGCCGCATATCCACATTGTTAATTTTTTTAGTTTTAGTTACGGAGTACACGTTAACATGGTTACACAGTTGTCCTGTAATGAATAAAGCCAACGTTTTGTAAATAATCCGTCTGTATTGCGTTCATTTCTAAAGCCTTCATTTAATTAAGCCCCTGGCAACTAATTTCAAAATATGTTCGACATTAGCCAGCCGATAATACTTTCTCGGATGTCTAATTGTGATTATTTTTATTCCCTCCTTACTTACTAGCAACATTCAACTGACTGTTTATAAACTTAAAGTACAGATTAAAGAGGTTCTTGAAATATCGCCCTTGATTCGATGTTTATATTTCTTATCTATAAATTGCATTCGGCGATGTTTTCCCGATGAATATTATGTTTCATTGGGGAAACGTAGTCTAATGTTTTACTTCCTTTCATTAAGGTCTGACTAGGGTTTATCTTTCTTATCTCGGAATTGTATTCTGAAATGTTTTACTCTCTGTATATATCCTTCTATTATTGTGAAAAGCACTGTTTTGTGCAATAAATCACGAAGATTTGCTTTTAATCCTACTTTCGTCGTCTTTAAAGAGAATATGATGAATTTCCAAGGATTACGACATCAATAACTTACAAATAGCGTTTATGACTTCCATAGTCTTATAACAAAGCATTATATTCGATCGGGTGATCTAGAAACGGCTAAAATCACTTAATATCCATATATCTTTGATGAAAAGTTGAATGAAATATAAAGCTCTTTTACCGATATTTCATGAGAAGTGACGCTGAACGATTTATCATTTATGCATGTTAGTTCTCCCAAATAAAGATATCATGGTTCGGAGAACCGTTTGAACTGTACATAGTGGAGAGGTTAAGCTAACGATGTTTTTCACAACGTAACCGTGAACGCAAAGTACAAAAATTAACAAAGGAATGTATCGAGCGCTTATAGTTTTATGCGCGCTTAGTCTACTTCAGATACTCTTTCAGCTTCAGAGTTTCGGGTTTAGAACGGGAGATTTGAATATTTCACGTTGGGTCAACGGGAACCATTTTACTCGTGTCTATTGAACACTATGCTGTCAATTTTGATTTCGATGCACAGTTGAATTCTTGCTGAACACGATGATGTATGTCATGCATGATTTAGCGCCAAAAATCTTACGAAACGAGCTCGTTTAAAATATGTATTAGAAAACCAGCTATAAAACCGCATCAATGACATACTATAGAATCATTACACGCTATGGTGTAGTCTAAACAAACACTGGATTTGAACGGCTATTTATATGAGAAGGCTACATGAATTTGTATATGGTCGAGTGATACGTACAGGTTCAGTTTCGATTATGGAGAGGTTAAGCTTTGCATATATAATCGAAACTGAACCTGTACGTATCACTCGACCATATACAAATTCATGTAGCCTTCTCATATAAATAGCCGTTCAAATCCAGTGTTTGTTTAGACTACACCATAGCGTGTAATGATTCTATAATAGTATGTCATTGATGCGGTTTTATAGCTGGTTTTCTAATACATATTTTAAACGAGCTCGTTTCGTAAGATTTTTGGCGCTAAATCATGCATGACATACATCATCGTGTTCAGCAAGAATTCAACTGTTCATCGAAATCAAAATTGACAGCATAGTGTTCAATAGACACGAGTAAAATGGTTCCCGTTGACCCAACGTCAAATATTCAAATCTCCCGTTCTAAACCCGAAACTCTGAAGCTGAAAGAGTATCTGAAGTAGACTAAGCGCGCATAAAACTTTGAGCGCTCGATACATTCCTTTGTTAATTTTTGTACTTTGCGTTCACGGTTACGTTGTGAAAAACATCGTTAGCTTAACCTCTCCATTATATGCAAAGCTTAACCTCTCCAGTGACTCTCAAAGGGACATCATAAATTGGAGTGACACCACCATGGGTATTTCAAAATACATGTATGTGTTTATTGATATTCAAACTGTGTTTTTACTATTTAAGCGTGATTGTCTACTTGCCCGTCTGTGTATGTTTGGCTGGTTGGGATAATGCTCTTATTGTTGATCTCATTGCCATCAATTTGGGATAAGTACATAGAAGGGAGAGAGGGGGTAACGTTTCATCGCAAGAGGGCTAGGTTCCAAGATCATCTGTGGGTCAATGTCAAATGCAAAATATGACGTGGATGAAAGGATCTACTATCTGGGTCGTGTTACAATGTTTTTAGGTTTAAAGTTTTTTATTATCATTTAAACAAAACAAATTACAAACACAGCAAGGGCCGAAGCAATGCATTGTGTTACAATGTCAATGTCATCAAGTTCAAGACCCAATGTATGGTATTTGTATAGAATGACCCTTGACCCTACAGCAATGAAGGTCACTTTAGGTCAAAGTCCCGACACTTTTACGAGGCTACTCTCTTCTAAAATAGTATTATGTCTGAGTTTTTCACATTTTCAATGTAGCGTCCCTATAACGTCAGTCAGGGTCAAGGTTAAATTTAGAAGTCAAGGTCATCTACAGCTTCGCTATTTAAAACTGAGATCAAGCAAGGTTTGAGACATCACAATTAAAAGCACTTTCGAATCAGTTTAAAATGTTCATGATGACTCCAATACTTGCTCGAGAGAGCAAGGCAATTTAAATGCACAACTACAATTGCATACTTAAACATTATCGATCAAAAGCAATCCATGAAAAATGCACAATGGCGAAGCAATCAAATACTATTAATAAGTCATGTAATATGGGAAGTGGATAACCGCATTGTTTCTCATATAAAAATAGTCAGCAATCGTATCAACCAATTAGTAATCAACATCCATACTTTCCCATATCCTTTGCATTCGTTCGACTTCGCCTCTCAAAAGAGAGCTTTGAGGGTAGTTTATAACTAAACTCTGCACGCATCTATATGTTTTACTGTCGATTTGACCAATGAGCGACGATATGCATGTCTTCTCAATACACATTTACACAATAGACATATGTCTTCTCTGAATCATGGGAGTTTCCCCTCTTATCCCACATCAGAGGCGTAGTCGAGATCGAAAAGGTGAGGCAAATTTAAAAATGTGAGGCAAATATTGAGTAAGATACAATACAATATTTTCATCAGACTTTCTTTTCAAAGTTCCAAATGAAAGAATGTCAAAATTGATATTTGATTTTCTGTAAACATATGGAACCTCACAAACTGAACGTAAAGATTAGTTATAAAGTATAAGTTCACTTCGCTCTCTTCGTAAAAGGATGGATTTGGTACATTGATCCCAAAGTAATTATATTCAGTAATGGAGCGGTTAAAGGCAAAAAACGATACGATGTATTTATCAACATATGCTACCTGATTAACAGATAGGTAAATGCATAAATAAAAGAATCAACTGAATTACGTCAAATCAATAAAGCGAGTTAAATACGTTCATGGAGCATGGTGACTTAATATGAATAAGTTATAGTTGCACCTTAATTTCTGTTCAGGATACAGATCGACGTGGGATTGATAAAGGTTAATCAAACATAAGTGAAGGTCGAGAAGTAACAGTTTTTCATTTGTATATTACCGGGTATATTACATTTATATTTATGTTTCTAGGGTAACCAATCAATCATGGTTGCTCTTATACACGATGGAGTAAGGTAACGTTTTAACTAGCACAGCAAGAAGTCAGTCAAAACGATGCTCGGACGCAGTCCAAAACAGAAAATGGTAGTACTAATTTGTCTCCATACAAGCCGAATATTCAATAAGATTACTGCTAATCATACAATCCTCGTTTAAAAACTCAAATCACTCGAATCAATAGTAAATTGAGGAATATTCCATAGTTATGAGCAACTGTGTATGAAGCATAAAATATGTCAAAGTCCCGTTAATGATGTCTCGTCTTTATACATTCCTGCAATAAAAGTGATACCGACCGACCCGACAATTAATTTTGATTTTATATTGATTTTTACATCATATTCTATTTTATCATCATGTGTTATCATTAAAAGAGGGTTTGTTTCACAAAACCTATATCCAGTCACCTTCATACGTGATGAGGCATACTCTATCTCTCTTAAGTAGAAGTTACTGCGGTAATAATGAATTAGTAATCATTTGTTTCTATGTAAAGATAAGGCAGTTTTAAAGCCTTTTATTATAAACATATTAATCAATAGTTTATTAAAGGATTTAACCACTAACCTTTCCGTTAGATGAAAAATAATGCATTGAGTTTAATTTTATTTGCATTTAAACGCTTTGTCTCGGATACTATACAATATTAAGATTGCATTGTTGTTTTATTATGACGAAGCAGAGAGAAATATAGTTTATTTGGCAAACATTCTGCAAGAGCACGAGATTCCAGTGAATGCTGGACGAGACAAAAACCATACATTAGTTCTTCGTTTTGATTAGTCAAAAAAGTGATTTAGCTAGGTGTGAAACCATTTCCCGACTGACGGGCGGACTAATAAAATGAATGGTATATTTTGACATTGAGGAGGTCTAGTATTGATTGCAATATTTCATCCTAACTACCTAACTATGTTTCTCCTATATTTTTTATACTCAGGCCTCCTAGACTTCCATCAACGCGAACATCAGCTCTGACCTCGCGAACTACGTTCCTTGCGCTCGAACCACGATTCTCACGTCGCGAACGTGAACTCTTATGTCGTGCACCACCATTTCCTCTTTCCCGAACATATTTCTCCACTCACGAACCCCGGGTCACGAACAGATATCCGTGCTCGCGAACCACACACCTGGTTGAAAAAAGTCCGTAATTTTATTTGTATTATTACGCATAACTAAAATTCCAACGAAGTATTTTTATTTGGATTTCGGAAGAAGTTTTTAATGCATGTTAATGAATATCCACTAATTGAAGATAACAGTATCTCCAGGCTCCAGGAAACACAAAACATTTGGACTACTTTGCGATCCTACACATTTTCAATGAAGGCTGGGTAATAAAAACAAAGACACGACTTTCCATTGGCTGCGGAGAGTCTAGACCCCGGGTTTATGACTCTATTGAAATAGATTATGTGTACATGTATACTGGTCAATGTAAACTAATAACAAACTTGTTGCTTGCGATTGGAATCCTAAATACTATAATACCTAGATGCACTATGTACAAATTGTTCGCTAGCACGGATCTCTGTTCGCGAGTGGAGAAATATGTTCGGGAGCGAAGAAATGGTGGTTCGCGACTAAAGATTTCAAGTTCGCGACGTGAGAATCGTGGTTCGAGAGCAAGGAACGTAGTTCGAGAGGTCGTTGAAAATCTAGGAGGCCTGATACTCTTTCATTCCTAATTATGAATAGTCATCACTTTGGCCGTAAGTGGTGATTCAGATTACAGCCTCGTTTCAAAATGGCAGCTATAGCACCTGGGTAATTTGCCAAATATTGGAGATTTCTTGTATCGCATTTGCAAAAGCACATACTATCAATTGAAGATCGCCCCTTTACGACATATTCTGCCATCAAGTGCATATGAGAGGAAACTATAACTTTCAAGGCGCTCCTAATTACCTTGAGTAACTTTTGACAAGCTCCTTATTGCAATTGCAAAGAATGAAATATGACTTGGAGGCTTATGAAGAGAGTCTTTAGATCTATATTCATCATGAGATTTGACGTGGGCAATAGTTGTAATCATGATTAATTATCAAAGCACCATCGAAGCATTTCTCTTATATTCAAGGGACAATAACTATTTATCATATAATATAACACTGTTTATCCAAACAAGCAAATAAATAAACAAATTGCACATTATAACATCTTGAAACCCATTCTGTCAAAAACACTCAAAAGGCAGAGAAAATTATTGGATAAATTGTCTACCGGTCAACAGTCCTTCGGAGACATTAATGTTGGGTTTGTATGACGCAATAAAATATGGACCGCTGACTCTCAAATTCAAAATGGTCAGTCACACCTTTCTGACAAATTATGATATTATTGTTTATAAATGTTGATGGAAACTTGTCCTTTCTCATAAAATTCTATAATTCCAATTAAGGAACAAGTATTAAATATTCTGAATAAGCCATTCGTTTGACATTTATTTACAACTAATATACAATTTTATAAAACATGTAAAATAAGTATACCAGGTGATGGCTATTTATACTATAGACATATTTACAAAAAATGCTGATCCTTTTGATATACTAGTATAAAAATTCATCTCATTTTCCAAACTGACAAATAAAAATATAGTGACTGAACAGCTTTTGATTGTCTTTTATAAATCTCGCCGGTATACTTGTAAACAGAATGTTATTACATTATATAAATCTATCAGGCTATAATGGCATATCTAAAGTCAAACTTTAGACATAAAAAACAAAAATGTTTTTTTTATTATGTCCATCCAGTATCATCATGCATACGTAGATTTAATGTCTTAAAAACAATATAGATGGCAGTATAAAGGCACATTGCGCTAATAGATGTCACGACTGTCGCTGCTGTATTATAGTATGGGCAATAAGGGCACTGGAAGCTGCCACACACCTGACATATATGAAGATTGAAGAGATTGTACGTTGTATACAGCGTTGAGTTGTGAATACCTGGAACAAAAAAAACACACAGTTTGCATTCTGAAACTCTTATCTTTTTATTTCGCTAACAATATGACAACCTATTCTTTTAAATCTAAACTCATCTGATTGAGTAGCCATATAAATTAATAATGGATGAATAACACATCGACACTGAAACTTATATCATGGACCATTAGTATAGATGTGTATAATATCTGGACTTTAGAAAAAAAGTATTTGTTGATTTATATCTATTTATTTATTTATTTGCGATTATAATGTGGAAATTACCTGGTTCATAATAATCATAAACTCTCATATAGTGTTGGATACTGACGTTAGACACAGGATACCATCTTTCAGCCTTAAAACGCACACATGTTCTGGTGGAGTTAAGCTAAAAATTTAAATTTATGGAAAATTAACTCGTACTAATAGAAATAGGCTGGAAATAAAATGCAAACAGTTTTTGTATAAATTCGTTTTAGAAACGATGGAAAGGATTTACACAAAATTATTTGTTAATCTTTCATTCATTGAATCTTGGTTCATATGCGGCTATTGTATAAGTCTCTGTACCTATCATGCTATGTGAGCTTTTATAGATTTAATCTTCCCAAAGATAAAAATATCACAAAAAATTAAAAATAGCCAGAGATATAATTATAGATCTAATATATATATATATTTAGGAATATGGATTAATACAATTAAATGTATGATATAAATTATAGATATTTTGACTGCCTGACAAGAAATAAACTACAATTAAATCTATAAAATAATAGCATATATATATTTTCGAAAAGTAAGCCAAATCACAAGCAAGTGTGTATGATTTCAAATATCATTAATACTTTCCGTATGTCCCAATCGGGTACAGTCATTAAGATCGTGCTTATTATGTCCCTGTATGTGCCTAGGAAACTAATATTTACTACACTACTTATGTCATGTTTCAGTCTTTCATAAGGTAAAAATATCACAGAAAAGTTTAAAATAACCAGAGAAATTAATATAGATCTAGTATATATTTTTAGTGATAAGGTTTTAGTCAAACGTATGATATGAATTATTATGTACACTAGGGGTACCAAATGTATACTAGCATATAAAAAATAAATTTGATATATATTTGCAAAATGAATAACCGAAGATATCCCCAGCATATACCCCGGAAAACCAAAAAATGCGGAGGATATTCTAACGATATACTCCACTTGTTGATTTTTTGTGAATCGAAATTTATTATTCAATGATATTAGCCTATATACATTTACTGCACTAGTTGAAGGATAATAAGAACTATATATATCAAAAATTTTCAGAATATCATTTTAATCTACTCGGTGATATTGATATATGCACTCGTTTGCTTCCTTCTCTCGTGCAGATATCAATATCACCTGGTAGATAAAACTGATATTCCTCAAAATCATAGAATGTCCTAAAAGTATTGACACATTGTGAATTTATTACTAGCTAGCTTTTAACAAAGCACATTTATTCCAGGGTAATGAAGACTTACATATTCTAAGAAAAATATGACTTTGTTTCTATCACGATCGAATTCTGCTCTTTTAACATTGTCACATTCGTTGGATGCAGCATAGTTGTTAAGCCAGTCATCGAATGCTCTATAGCCTGTTGGTAAGTGTACCTCAATGTTGGTGAATCCTGTTTGATTCGCTATGTCTAATCTCCTCCACCTAAAAAGCACAACGTAAGAATCACAAACCATAGAAAATGAAACAGAACAGAAATGAAAAACCCCATTTGAGAAAGTACAGACTACACAGAACGACTTAATCCTTTTTGGATTTGATTCTGAATCCAAGGAATGCGATATAAAATGTTCCAAATGTCGCCTAATGTACTGAATTCTATATGTAGCGTATTAAAGCTTAAAAGGTAGGTGAATGATTGATACAACAAGGGAAACTATTCTAACTAAATTGAATTAATAAGAATTGTGTTCAACAGATTACAAGGTGAGAAGGGACCTAATGAGCTTTTAGCTGAATGTAAGACAATATTGTTGACATAATTGCCTAGATGAAGGGACAGAACGATCTTCAAAGGCAAACTAATTTTTCTCATTTATTGCTATTCAAGACATTTATTATCCCACCGAACGAAGTTCGAGGGGGATATAGAAAAGCCGTCCGTCCGTCCGTTCGTCCGTCCGTTCGTCCGTCCGTCCGTTCGTGTGTCCGGGCAATAACTCAAATACCGGTTGACGGATTTCATTCAAATTTTATAGGCTTATGCCTTATGGGTGTAGGACCTCTGCTCGAGAAGGAATTTTCAATATGGCTGCTTAATTCAAAATGGCGGCCATTTTTCGGAAAAAATACAATCTTTAATAACTCAAATATTAGTGGATGGATTCGGTTCAAATTTTATATGCTGTTGCCTTGGTACAAAAGAGCCTTGCTCAAGAAGACATTTTCAAGATGGCCACCAAATTTCAAAATGGCGGCCATTTTTCGTAAAAAAACGTTATCTTTGATAACTCAAAGACCATTGAATGGATTTGGTTCAAATTTTAGATGCTGATGCCTAGGGACATAGAAGCTCTGCTTGAGAAAGGATTTTCAAGATGGCAGCTAAATTTCAAAATGGCGGCCATTTTTCGTAAAAAGAAACGTTATCTTTGATAACTCAAATACCATTGAATGGATCTGGTTTAAATTTTAGATGCTAATGCCTAGGGACATAGGAGCTCTGCTCAAGAAGGGATTTTCAAGGTGGTAACTAAATTTCAAAATGGCCGCCATTTTTCATAAAAGAACGTAACCTTTGATAACTCAAATACCAGTTGACGGATTTGGTTCAAATTCTATATGCTGATGCCTAGAGACAAAGAAGTTCTGCTCAAAAATAAATTTTCAAGATGGCCACTGAATTTCAAAATGGCCGCCATTTTTCGTAAAAAAACGTAATTAATGATAACTCAAATACTAGTGGATGGATTTGGTTCCAATTTTATTATATGCTGATGTTTAGGGAAAAAGGAGATCTGCTTCAGAAGAAATTTCAAAGGCGATAGCTGAATTTCGAAATGGCTGCCATTTTTCATTAAAAAAGTAATCTTTGATAACCCAGATACCATTGGACGGACATTCTCTGCTAAAGAAGAAATCTAAAGATGACAGCTGAATTTCAAAATGGCAACCATGTTTCATTAAGACATAATCTTTGATAATTCAAATACCAGTGGATGAATTTGGGTCAATTTTTTTATCAAAACATGTTTTGTTCGGTGGGATTTGCTACTCCGTGGAGTTGCTGTTTTTCTAGTTCCGAATGTGCCAGGCACTTTAATCTTTAGTAATATTCTTTATGTTATCTTTTCATGAGCTCTGTACACTATTTAAACAAATCAAAAGCACAGAAAGGCAAGAGGATTTAATAATGGACTTGTTTAAATCGGCTGAGTAAGGATTCCCTTCTCCCGTGATGCCACCCCATCCTTTCATGTACATTTAATTTAATTTTAGGAGTTTTTTTTATCAATTCGACTAGGCAGTTTTTATATATGCTTAAAATCAACTATACATAAGAAGGGTACAATGGCTATTATGGTTAAAGCATACTAATAAATAGATGCAAAACTTTATAAATTTTGAACAAACAGTCCTATGCTGTCAAGCGACGTTTGTCAACTTACCTAGCGCAAACTGACATGTGCATTATACTGAAGTTCCTGCCTGTCCATTCTATGTTTCCTGGTTCTAGATCATAGAACCAATCTATTGGCTGATTCTGTTGGTGAGCGTATTCCACATTCACCTGTGACTCTAGCTACAATGAGAAAGCATAGAACCAATCTATTGGCTGATTCTGTTGGTGAGCGTACTTTTAAAAGAATGCTGAATAACACGTCTTATGATTGACTTGAGGAAACATTTTAAATGCCTTGCAGCTTAAAAATTATTAGTAAGTCAGAAAACATAAAATTGAATTACAAAAAGCAAGGTTTTATATAGCATTGCTCATGTTCTACTTACAGACATAAGAGCTACCCCAGTTCCTCTTGCTCTAGATTTTACATGACCCCATACTTTTGGTATCTGAAACAAGATGCAGACTGTTGATGACTTGTTCATGTTAATTGTGATGCAGACATAACATGCAAATGGATGGATAAAGGTTCCAGAACCTGCTGGACTAATGAATGACATTTGTATCATCTGTTACCACAGAACATATCATTATTGGTCATCCTGATATCCTTTACTTGTTGGTGTCAAAAATTCTAAGGATTAGTCCTTCCCTTTGTATTCTTACTTACCCCGATGATTTAAAAGGAAAATAGTTGGAACTGAAAAACTGATTGATTGAAAGGAAGGCAGTAATTTTTGGGCCACTGACAAATTAACATATTCTTAGAAGTGTTATCGAGCTCTTCATAATACGTCTACCTTCACCTCCCCACTAACCACTAATATCCACTTTACGAGATATTTTCTCAATTTTTGCCATATCAAGTAATAGACTAATGCATTCTCAAAGTCATTAGTACCTCTACTTTATGCAATGTGGCAAAGTTATCTTTGTTCAATCTGACGGTGTGACGCCACTGGGGGTCTGATGTGACTTCTAAGTCGATCTCCATGTTGTATAAGTCTCTGTTTGTGTCCCGTCTAGCAAATTCTACAAGGGCCTCCAGAGATAGGATGGAGTCCTGTCAAAGAGGAACAACATTCGGGTTAAATGAATAAACACAAGGAGCACACGCGTCTCGAACTCGCAACCTTGTGGTTACGGCGCCCAATCGCCTAGCTCGAACGTGCCGGCGCTAAAGCCCTCTCGGCCAACTCGACAACCCCTAAAAACATACACATTGATTTCAGTTTTGTAGTGAGGACTGAGTGACACCGATGAGAATGATGGCGAGCGAAGCGAACCACCATATGAGCCAGAGACTTTAATTCGGGGTTTGATTAGATCGACGGCACATTCGCCGTACTGAAATAGGATATACAGTATGTAATAAATAGTTGATATGTCGAAATGGGTTACTAGTAAAATGTTCATATTCCCTTTAAGTATTTACACTGTTTTCTCTTACAAATGGAACAAGCCAGATAATACGTGAAATAAAATGCTTGACATAAGTTACACAATAATCAAAAATTAGTACTATTATTATATCAAAAAGCACATCAGAAAAATGAATTACCTGAGTTGATGCCATACCACCAATTGTATTACGTAATGTCTGCATCCATCTCATCATCGGGATACATTCTCTGTATCTATTAACAAAAATGGTGTCAGTTATCATATGTGTTACTCAAGTTTATTGGAGTTTCATTGTTTGACGAATTCATCATGTAATATTTACTCTAACGAAATTATATATAAAGAATTCATCAATAGTATTAAAAACCTTCTTTAAGACACAGTATACAGATATATCTACTGAAATGAGCCTAGCATCAGAATTTAGATAATGAGACCAGAGAGTAAGCTAGCATTTGCAAATTCAATCGCCGACTGTCGACTGACGGATTAAACACTTTTGAAGGGCAAACTGATTTAAATGTTTAGTTGAATAGTAGCAGGCATTATTTGTTTGAATCACCATAAAATCTTACGATTCCACATACATGGGATTCTAGGTAAAATGAAGCCTCTGTTACTTCAGTGTAAATAAGACGGTGTCAAAAAACTGCTGTAGATGAGTTGCTGTTGTTTTTTGACACTCTTGTATATCTGTTTCTGTGCGTAACAGTGGTGATCATACCTGTTGTTTAGTAGGTATGTCATCATTGCGTATGCTGTTGCTTCCACTGCATACGCCTCATTGTCATACTCCTGTCGAGATTCCATTATTGGAACTGTATTCACAATCTTTGAGGGATTCTTTGGGACTGGTTTATTCGCCCAATATATATGGTCGTCTGCAAAAACAACACTTTCATATTAATCTTTCAAAATAATTAAACTAAACTGTGACTTGATTTACGCCGGGGACAAACTCAGGGCAAACAAAATTACAATTTTTAATTCTATTGTTTTGTCACACTGGTGTGAAAATCCTAAAAACAACTAGTCAGTCTACTAAACCATCTTTAATAGTTTCTATTCTATCATATCCGAAATCTACCCAAGATAAGATTTGAAAAAATAAATAACTATTAGGACCAAAGTCGGTTACATACCGTCATCAATTTTCATGGATTCGAGTTTTCTAAAAGCTGCGTTCTTCTGGACACTATTCGCTATATGAAGGGCGTATGTAACAATAGACATCTGATATGCGTCAACGATGCTATTAAGGTTTTTCTCTAAGTAATGAACAGCCAACGACTTCGCATTTTCCACACGTGCCCGGGCTTCCTATAACGCAAAGGATAAAGTGCAATTTACTTTGTAAATATAATATTCTAGGATGGTTTAATAAACTATTACATTTTACATATCCTGGGAAAATATCCTAAGAAATATCAAAAGATGAAAAATAGAGAGGAATTATGAGAACATAATGATAACCCCTCGTATATGGATTAAGCCTCATTTTGTGTGTCAAAATATTAATTAAATGATGACCCTATTTGCTGCTTACCCCTGTAAGGTGTGTATTTAGCGTCAGTGATATCAACGTATGGGCTGTAATGGTGACGTTCGACAACTGGCGTTGCTCTCCTACTATGGTATAGTTAGACTGAAATGCATGAGAATAAACTACCGTAGGTAAACAGGTCAAACTATATCACAATAGTTATTGACATTTTGAGGTGACACCCAATGAGTTCAATGTAAATGAATTGCCCCATGATGTTGTGAAAAATATGACACTCCCCATTGTTTAAGATATTGGGGGTTTGCTTTCTTATGATAGTATGTGCTTTTAGATGATTCCTTTTCTCAATGTGTTTTGTTGCTGTTTACTACTAGTATCCCATTTAGACAGTTGTAATTTATGTAGTATCCGTCATTTTGAAGTACAAAAATACTGAAACCCCCCAAAACATAATATCATCAAGTGCTGTGCCTTGCTGCTTTTGTGAAGACCGCACATTTGATTTTGCCAATAAAAGATTAAAGTAGCTCAGAATTGTGGCAGTCATCGCCATAAGCTTACCATCATCTTCCTATCATAAAGTTTCCCAACTTGTTTGAATGCTCCTGTTGTAGTGTTTTGTTGATTAACTACCCACATGGCTATCCTGTTTAAGAAATTTATTGGAATATAGAGGTCGCCCTCCCAATCTGATTCTCTTGCAGCGTTAAAGGTCTTCAATACAAATGCGGTCATCCATAAACTAGAATTTGTGTGCTCACGAAATAATCTGAATGAGTCCGTTGAGGAATGTTCTAATAAGAAGTAGCTGAGTTGTCTCTGATAGGCTGGAGAAGAAACAGAACTGTTTGTAGAATCTTTCATTTATCATTGTTCATCTTCCATAATCCGTTTCTAAAACAGAACGCCCATATGATACCGTCCATGGGCTGCCTTGCATTAACATTAATAGTCAAACACGAATAGCAATTTAATAATTGTACTTACAGAGGTTCATCTTCGCAAGATGCTTCTTCAGTTGCGCCTGCTCCAGCTGGTCAGTAATTTTGAGGAACTTAAGATTATAAAGATTCTGGGCAAAGTTGAACATGTTTTGTTCTCCACAACCGAATGGCCTAGCGATAACATTCTCAGCATCCAGGAACTCTTCAAACATGCCAGGCCCGACTACATCCCCTGTTGGATAAAAAGTAAGGAAATGCTTTACATTAATACTGTGATGCTAATATTTTTAATTATATCAATTTTATGAAGAAGTATATTGATTATATAGATTGATTGTATGAGATCAAAGTGCATAATTTCTTATCTCTTTATCTCTCAATTTTCTCATCCTCTATAAGGTAAGGTGTTCACATCACCCACAAACACATAATGTCATTGTGTTGTATAATGCGTGATTTACCTACCCACAATGTTGACCCATGCTTTCTGTGACCCAGGCACATACAAATGTTCTCTCTGTTCAGGCACTATAAACTTCTCTGGTATAGGGATCTCCATATCTGGCATATAGAGGGATCCCTGAGATATCAAATCTATTGTGTAAGGAATGTGGAAATAGTTTGTTACTCCATCCATCTAGAATAAGGTAAATTATAAGTTAAAGTACGCATGTACATTGACCAATCAAATTTAAGCTTCTGGTCCACTATGTCCACTATGGATGAAAGTAGCATTTCATTCGTTGAATGGTTGATGCTACGTGACTACCAGGGAAGGAGCGAGGTAGGTGACAAAACACCACACCCCATACCTGATAGAGACGTCTCATCAACAATAATGTACCATAAAAGGCATTTAGAAACTTTCTAGACATCATCATCACGGATCATGAATTCTATCCCCTTTTGCCGAGCCAATATAACTATGGTATGTTAGCTAGGATTATGATCTCATATGTTGCATGTAGGCTAAAATTAGTTGCAAATAATACCTGAATAATCAAGATGAGATAATCCTTTTCAGATAGAATGTCACAATGGCACCATAAAATGGCATGACGTCTCTTTTGAGAAATAACACCTTTTCCTTGCAGATGGAAACATTATCAAACCAAAGACATAAAAGTACGTCTTACCTCAACGTTTATTGTCACACTGTCTTCCGAACAACCCCAGAAATGACAAGCACTGAATTTGACTTCTACCTCCCCGGTTTTTATCAACTGTACTGGGAAGTAGATCCAAGTAGATTTTCCCTCTGGCACCTGAAATCGATCACAGGGAACATGTTCATAAATAATTATGTAAATGACTTATGACTACTATCAACATGTAGTAAATACTCCATCAAAAGGTACAAGTAACTACTTGTCGTGCTTAATTATGCTTTTCTGGAATAACGTTGGAGCTATTAACTGATATCTATATGCTGTTGCAATACTTACAAAAAGCATCGTTTGTAGGTCACTGTCCCCCAATCTTGGAGCATACGAACTGACCACACCAAAATCTTCCACTCTAACAAACTTATGGTTTGGAGATTTATGCATTGTAATTAAAGCTTCAATGTTATCTTCCCAATTGTTGAAAACAGCCATCCTGACGCCTATCTGTTCTCCTTTTATAGCCTTCTTGGGCGCTTCAAGGATGAAATAAAACGAACTGGTGGCGTCCATCTAAAAATGGTGTAGATATATTTACCATATATAACTGGACTGAATTCGAGTTTTGTATGAAACCTTCGGATCCACACATTCTTTGTTGAACTCTTTTCATGTATGGCTTTGACATTGGGCTCTATTTTTGATTGCTATTGTATTGTGCTCTTTTTACCTACCCTAGGAATATCACCGAGTTTCATAATCTGTAGTCCCTGTTCCCGACTGAGGGTGAATCCACCCATCACCCACACCATGGGTTCTGCAGGTACTGTTACCATAAGTTCAACCTGACCATTTGGCCTGGAAGACATGGGGTATGAAGTTCTCTTTTAGGCGTCTTTATTGTTGGTGTGAGAGGAATGTGTATGATTTTTTTTCAATTTTTCACAACTTACTGATTCAATACCACATTGAAGTGCATTTTTCTTTGTATACATGCAAGTTTTAGAAACTAAAGTTAATAAATCATATAATGATACTTCATTTTACTATGTATCGACATTATATAAAATATTATGTAATCATATAATCAGACAAGGCATTAACTGATACGGTCTCATGCCCAAGCTGCAATTACAAACTTGTATCAATTCATTACATATGACAAACGCCATCAACGACGAATAACACTGGTTGTGAGAAGCTATAACAATATTCTACCAGTGTTTATACTTTATGAAATATGTTCATACTTTATGAAAGAGCTCTGCCACATCCAGGCTCCATCCTCCGTGAATAACCTACTAGGATGATGCATCCTCCATGATGGAAGAACCATTGAGTAGTTATATTTTGGTCTGTCTTGCCACGCACCTGAAAAACATAACATATAACTATGCACAAGTAGTAGCATTCTTATTGTTACAAACAGTTGTTACCAGGCCATTTTCAAGTTTTTACCAACATTTGTCACTAGGCAGTTGAAATGATTCATTTAACATCGACTTATTATTATCTGAAGATTCTTATACGTCATATTTTTATATATTTTATGTTATTTTTTTTCTTTATTTTCAAAGATATCTATCCTATCTTTATATCCAAATACTAATTTGATACTTACATCCAAATTCATCTGCACCGTCATTTGGACAATCAATGATTTCATCACATTGTTTTGAAATGGGATAACAAGTTCCATCCCTACATGGGAAATATCCCAACGTCTGGTTACACTCATCTTTGAAAGAAACGAATTAATCGATGTGTAATAACATTAAGATGAAACTAAACTAGATCTTATTTTCAATAAAGTTCCTCTTGCAGTTTTTCAAATTCTATGGACATTATACATTGGATACATCAAGGATGTCGCCTATAAACTTACGATATCTTGCAGTTTTTCAAATTCAAGTGAATACAACATATGGTATTATATATTGGATACATCATGGATGTAGCCCATATACTTAAGATATTTTGCAGTTTTTCAAATTCAAGTGAATACAAAATATGGACATTATGCATTGGATACATCAAAGATGTAGCCTATATACTTACGATATCTTGCAGTTAGGTTCGCATCTGTGAATACAACCAAACCAGCATACTAGAATATGAAATAACAGTTTTTAGTTTTGGAATGTTTTTACCATAGCGCGAGCATTTAAATATTTGATCCAAATTTTACATCTCTAGTCTACATGAATATTTTTATTTTCTCTTGTTGCTTATGGTTTCACATTATCTTGAGTGTATGTATATCTTACCAGAAATGTTGTGTTAGAATCGTACCCATAAGTCTGTGCATTGAAGAATGTATCGTCCCATTGATGTTCAGGTAGCGCCCATGGTTGGTGGGAACTAATATTTGCATGGGAATCAAATGTGTAGAGCTCTTCGTATATCTACAAAAAAAATTACGTAAGTACAAGAAATTATTTTGAGGCCCTGTTCTCTTTGATTTACAAAGATTAGATCTCTTTTGTATTTGTAATGTTATTCAATGGTGACCAACATAACATTTTTACTGTAAAACCACATTGGACATTTTTTGCTGAGAAAAAAACATTCAGTGTCGATAGGTTTTCACTACAGAGAATCCGTGGATTATGTACGGAAGAAGGGTGTCCACTAGAGACAGGTGTGAGAGAGGTGTTAACTAAGACAGGTTTTACTGTATATATTGCTGCATTCTGTAATGCTTTACAAGGGAACTCACCTGTCTCTCTGTTAGGAAAGAATGTGCGTCCTTGTAGAATAGGTGATAGTCGTCACCGGAAAATGCAACAAACGCGCCAGGCTGAGCGTTCGTGATTAGTTCCACCGTTCCACCACTGAAGTCTTTTCCCATGTTGACCGCCATGGTCATCTGAAGCGTTGAAGGTGAAATTTCCATGTACTGTACCGGTTGGATTTTTAGGTGTCTGAGATGTTACCTTGACCATTTCACATTTCATTACATTTAAAAAATGACCAATTGCCTAGATCTGGTCCCTATTCTTAAAGTGGGGATTTTGTCGCTCATAAAAGCACTACCAAATTCTACTCACATTTGTCAGATAATTGGTAACATGGAACTGAAGACTATCTACAACAACTTCGCCATCTTTAATGAAATAAGCCACAATTCGTGAACTAGGGGACATATCTCTTGATAGAGCCACAGAGAATGTTTTCTGCCGAGACTGCATGTGAAGTATGTCACCTGTTACAATATTTCCCATGGAAACTATCTGGAATACACACAAGGTCATATGATTGTCTATTAGCTACTACATGGTATTGGTATCGATGAAATTTCCATGTTAATGAGGGCAACAGATACTTTAGAACACTCGATGATTATTTCTCACAACGGTTTGTGATTTAAAAAAGATATAAATATGTACATCAAGGATTGATAGTACAAAATGTTTTGTGTAAAACCCTTTTGGGCATTCTTCATTTTTGCCAGTTTTTGCCTTTAGTACTACATTGGTAATTTGTGAGATTCACTTTGTTTAATTAAGTAAAACTGAATCTGTCATTGATTGACACTGCCTGCTTTTTTTTTGAGACACCATACTAATATCACATAAAACATACAGGAAACAAAATCATCCAATGACTAAAACACCTACCAGATAATACAACTTTGGAACCCACACGTTTGCTCTTATAGTGAATATCATGTATTTGTCAACTTGAGGGGACGTAGTTGATGTACTGATGTGTATGTATTGGCCTGTTTTAGAGTAGACCTTGGAGGCCATCATCTCTGTCTCCGATTCACTCCAATCTTCCATACGAGCCTGTTAGAGCAAACAAAGAGGATATGGATATCACATTTGGATATAACAATACATAAGGGTAAAACCAATATTCAATCCCGTTAAGACCAAATCAGCAAAGGATATAGATATGGCGAACTGAAATGAACACATATTCTTCTTAAACCAGTCATCAAAAAAATTCTGAAAATTTTTCACATTGTCAATCTAATGATCATCAAAATTGTAACAGTTTAATTTGAAAAATATATATACTTTTCTCTTTATTGTTTTAAAAAACATATCAAACACATCTTTTCTTCTTGGTATCATATGTTCGAAATAAAACGAAACATCTATCCGAACCTCATTGGAACAAAACGACATGTACACAATGTGTTTAGGTCTCTCAATATTGTAATTGTAAAAAGGAAAATTTGGTTGATTTTAAAAAAGTATGTTGTTAATGAAATAAAAGGTTTACTTTAATTCATGTCTATTTTGCGGGTTTAAATTTAAATTATTTTAATACCTTTTGTAAAATCAACCAAATTTCCCTTTGTTTAATTATATTACTGTGAGGTCCACGAAAATGTTGCACATGCTATTTTGTTCAAACAAGGTTCGGAAAGATATTTTATTTTTGTTAACTTTTATCGAACAGCCATCGTGGATCAAATTGAAAACTCCATTGACGGAATTCAAATAATGGAAAAAGTATTGTTAAAACGGTTACATACCCTAAGTGTTATCAACTCATCCCCAGTTTTAGGTGTGTAGTCATATCTGAGTACACCATCATCAGGTAGCACGTGGCTTGTGTACTCATTCCCTCCCCCTGTACCAGTTACCCTCCTTTGTATGTGGATAGTCCTGTATGTCTCATTATTCCATCTAGAACCATCGTGCCTTTTTGCTGACAACTAAAAAATAAATAACAAAAAATTAAGTCATGATTCGTACTAGACATAAATTGATATACTATTGTAGACGTATGTCTAAATCAGTTCTCTCAATATTATCTTTTAAAATTTCATATTTTAGGGGTTCTCTTGTCTTCTCTAAGATGAGTAGGGACAATGTCCTCAAGTACGTTATGATATGTGTATTCCTTCATCCATGACCCATGTTTCATCCCATTTCCTCCTCGCTATCCTCCCCCTCTCTCCACTCCTCCATCTTTCTCCCATCCCCCTATTTCTCCCATCCTCCCCTTTTCATCCCTCCCGCTCTCTTTATTCACTCCCCTGCCATCTTCCTCCCCTTCTCTCCCAGGTATCTCACTCATAGAAGGTTTAACTTGCTTTATTTTTTCAAATTTTTCTTTTTCCTTTTTCACAACAAGACTAGGGGAACTACTGATACAAAGCGTAAGTAACTTACATAAGCAGTCCATGGCATGCCAGGTTTAAACGTCTTTACATTATCGCCCAACCAATCAAGTATCACAGTTTGCCCATAAACAAGAGCGCTGGACCACCCTGTTCTATTGTCTACCACATACCAGTCATTAATATAGGCATCTACTCGGAGCTCACGTCCTATAAGTCTGAAATCCGGTGTTAGATGCCGGATCTCATCCATTCGGAATTTAAAAGTGTAACTGCTGTGGAACTGAAACAAACGTAAAGCCTCGGTCATGTTTGTTCTACGGCAGGTGTACGGCGGCCGTAGCTTCACAAAATCGACATGTAAAATCATCGTACAGTTGATACTATATTCCATGCTGCATATTTCTCTCGACTTTGGGAAGCTACGGCCGTCGTACGGTTGCCGTAGATCAAATATGACCGAGGCATTAATTAAAAGAAGGCGTTCACATTTGTATTTGAGAAAATACCATTTTGGTAAACACAAGAGTTGTGTGCATAATTGAACACATATGATTGATTTATGATTGCATACTCACGTGTGAGATATTCCTCTGTAAAGAATGCCATCTGCTGAAATCTTCTCCCGGTTCTCGTACCTCTACGTTCAAGTAGCCATTTCCCGTACCAGGAGCGCCATCTGTTCTCCTGAAATAATACCATATTTGGTGTTGGGTTAGCAATATTCAAATTAAGGGTCGGGCTTATACTGTAGCTTGGTTTTGATTTCTGATTATTTGATTCAAACCCATTGATTAGAATAAACCAAAAGATAACAAGTAATTTCTATAAATTTCAAATTGATTTAAGGTGTTCGAAATAATTAATGGGATCACTTACGTTGTAGAAACCTCCCCTTCAAAGTAATCTTCATCCGCCATAACATGTGCAGGCATGCTGACGTTCACGTCAAATCGAGGTTGATCTGCAAGGGGAATACGACAGTCAATTATCATACATTCATCCAGTATATGCTGACATCTTTACTGTTAATTAACTTAGATTATCAAAAGTTGGACTTTTTAGTGCGATAACATTTGGAAAAATGAAAGTTCATAGAATCACATATAATTAATAATCGATGAATCTTGTTATTATTGTGGAGTATTATTAATTTAGAGATTGAATCGGCGTCAACTGTTCAAAAAGCAGTTCAAAGGAAAAACTTACAAAATTCCTCAACTTCGAAGAGACGTTCGTACTTGTGACCGAATGCCTCGACCCTAATTCGCCATGCTCCCCATTTGACTTGATCTGCTATTTCAAACTCCATCTCCAGAACCCCTGTAAATTATAACACATATACATTTTTATGGAAAACAATCCATCATAAGTAAAATTCTGTATAAGTGGCCTATTAGATCATCAACATGCATGTGATACCTTGAACTTGTATATGTGAAGTGCTCATCAAGTATTTATTGGATTTTGAAAAAGTAAGTAAACATTTTTTACTGCTTTAAGAGATCGCATATTGTTAGTCCCACAAGGTTTATGAAATTAGCATTATATGCATGTATGATTTATCGCTTTCAATTGAAAAGGGGTGTCAATTTATTAAGTATCAAAGTTATCAAACTTCTAATGATGTTGACCCGTACGATTTGCGGTCAATAAGACACTAAATATACCAATTGCTAAAAATAATATTGTAATGTCGTTTGCGTTCAACAAGGGTAGAAAATTGTTTCTCGTTTCTATAAATCAATCTAATGTATTGTTTGCCGGGTGGGTTATAATTTCAACGTTCATGATGTTCATGAGGTCAGCAAATAAGAAAAGTTCATCTCTCACGTGATCGTGAACGTTATCGTTATCAACATAAGACAATAATGTTCTCTAATGTTACGAATGCCGTGCGTCCAAGTGTTGTTTCTTGAGGGTGTCAAGAGTCTTATTCTGTCAGTAATTATAAATAACAAGACACTAAAGTCTTATTGTTCAATTGACAATTGTATTTCTAAAGGTCGTCTTGACATCCGACTAAATGTTTATCAGTCCACAAATATCAAAGTGACACATGGCAGTATGTGTCATCCTGCGATATGTCTACGTTCTTATATAAAAACTAAATAGGTCGAGTAAATGCTTTTCAGCAAAGACTTATGCTTTTAGATAAACTAAAATGAATATTCTTCTCTTTAAAAAGGTCCACGAGCATTAATTTGGTAGTTCTATTAAAACAGGTACATCTATAAGAAATACCATACGAGCAAAATATTGAGAAACCCTGGTATTGATATTCATTTTGATACCTTTGATATGCATTTATAAACTGTTAAAAACTAACAGAAAAATATTTTCTAGAACATAATCTCACCTCCGGCATTTGTTTGTTGGCCCAACCACCTTCTGACCTCCACTCTGCTTGGGTCCTATGAAATACAGACCGTTACCTTAATTTATCACTAAAGACACAAATGCTTCATGTGGTAAACGATGTAATCTCTTATTTTGATCTAATTTCTCATTGGAAAGAACAAAGGTTTGTTTTATATTTCAGTGAATTTGGATTGTTCGAGTGTTCGTTCATATGAAGCATTCTGTCATTTTCCCCAGATCCTTCTTACATTGTCTTAAAACATATTTATCTAAATATTCTACTTTTAGTCATACAATTACTTACATTTTATCAAGAAATGGTCAAATAAAATATTTCATTTCTAAATAATATTGGCATTCAACCGTTATTTATTCTTGGACATTATTGATAACTGATTTAAAGAATATTTCATTTCTAAATATTGGCATTCAACCATTGGCATTCAACCATTACTCATTCTTTGACTTTTTTGATAACTGATTTGAAAAATATTTAATTTCTAAATATGGGCATCAAACCGTTATTTATGCTTGGACATTATTTATAAGTGACTTTGAAGAATATTGAAGATCTAGGTTTTTAAGATCAAAGAGATCAAGTGGATTGAATGTCCGAAGGGGCTCTACTACCGATAATGTGTCCATTTATTTTTTAGACTGACACAATGTGCTTGTATGTCTATGGATTTGCACTCATCGAGTTATTTTTATCATCTTTCGAAATTCAATTTTCATTTTTATCAATAAACAACAACCCGTCAAACTTGCACTAAGATATACATTTGACCAATTTCTAATTCAATGTAAGTATCTATATTTCTAAAAGTACGCGTAACTAATGATATATACGTATAATGACATTGCAGAAGCATAGGGGAATACGTTCTTATTTGAACTATACATTACACATGATAATCTATTCTGAATCTTACGAGTTACCCTGTAAATATACCATTTTTTTCGTGTTTCAGAATAGATTATCGTTATAATGTACTGAATAGAGTGTTTACCAGGGGCTTGCATGCCCAACCATCTGCGGACTTCAACTCGACCCGGATCCTATTCAGTTCGAAAAAATATTCACGTTGATGGGATTTTATTATCTAAATAAATTGTGTTTTATATATTGCCATTTGTGCTTATTAGTCTGGTCCTTCTAATTGATCTTCAAATTATGACGTTTGGAAAATTCTTTCTGTTTTGCATTTTTAAATGATGTACATTATACAGAGGCGTTGATATATTTATGTCGTTCGGTTTTCTGGTGTTTTAAGATGTACCTACCTCTACATAGATGTCCATGCTGCCGAACACTGGGAATAAATTAGGAGTCAGTGGTATAACTCGGAATTTTACTGCAAAACAAAATTGTTCATTTTAGAGTCAGCTGACTGAAATTTGTTACATTAGATTGATTTCATCAAATCAATAAAGGAAAATACAAAATGTCGTACTTAGCATGCAAGAATATACGATATCAGCTGATTTGAACTTCAATCATCAGATAATTTTCTAAAACAACACATATTATGTAGTATACATTTTTGAAGTACTTTTTAACAATATAAAATGTTTACACGCACTTATTTCTCCATTGTAGACAATTTATGAACTGCACATTCTTTACAATGACAATTATCTGAACAAACATAAGATTATTTTGTGTCTGTATAGTGGGGACGGGGTTCAGGGAATGTCAAGATAGCTTGTCATTGTCATCTCCATATACTAAATACACCATGGCAACAGACAAAAACAAGTTTGTTGTTTATCAACATACACTAAGTTGGCAACACGCAATATCAGCTATCAACTATTTTGCACTGAAATATTTTGATATTCAAATAATCTCATTCAAATAAATATTAAAATTAGCTGGGTGAATATTTGTCATATCTTATAGTATTTACACAAGCTTCTGAATCATCATAGGGTAGATTCTGCACTTGACTTGTATCGCATTTTGCCCTGATATCTTTCTATATTAACCCCTACCTCGTAACGAATGAAAGTTTTACTGATAACCCTCAAGACGAATTGAAAATTAATCACTCGTGTTTGACGTGTGCTATGGTTTAAGCTCAAATTGATTTCATTTCTACAATTCTTATCATCGTTCTATTTATTTAATTGCTTTTGAATGCACATGTAGTCAAATTTAGATTTATATGTACCAATTCGGGTTCTGTACGAGTGGGACTCGATGCAATTATATAACTATTAAATACGTTTATATGTCGATAATTTATATGTTCTAGTCAAAGTAATCTAGTTTCCTTAGTTTCAAATACATTTCGGGACGAATAACTGATTCATTTTGATTCATAATACTATGACATGTTTTCAAATGTATTTGAGGACTGAACTGTTACGTGGCGTGATTTCATTATTGTTAAAATACGACATAGTTTTCTTACCTGTCATTCCGTTTCGAAAGAAAGGCTTATTTAGTTGGATGAAAACGGAAACTTGTTTTTGGTCAAATAATAGCTCTGTTTCATTGAAGAAAACTGGTCCAGGCGCCCCGTTTGCCGTACCCTCGACCCTTAATGTGTAGTTACCAGGCCTGGCATTCGATGGCATCTAGAAACAAAATTATATAACAATGATTGATACTATAGGCAAATGGGAAATCGATGTAACTCTTGCAAATGGTATTAAGAAAACAAAACAACGAAATCGGCACATGGTGTAAACATTATCTACATGTCTACATCTAAGTTCAACGAAGAAATCAAAGCAAAATTAAAACTTTATGTTTTTGTTCTAGTTCACACTTAATGGACAATTAATCCAAATATTGTGTCTTTTGGTACTGTTTAAACATCCAATAGACTACTGATTTAGTTTTTGTCACCCACATTTTTGGTATTCCTGATATGTTCTCCTACACCCGCAATGAAGTAATTATATTATATCAATGAATTAGATATTCTTAATATTTATTTCAACTTGATGTTAACAAGTAAAACTGCCTCTGAAGGAATATCTAGAGAACAGAAAATGCGAGGCGCTAATTTAAATAATGTCTACAAATCAGCTAATAATAACGTATGCATATGGGGCAATTTACGATATCTTAAAATTCTGTTGTTGTTCTAGAGACTGCGACATATACGTTGATTCATGGACATGCAATGTGTTATTTTTTGTTGACAAGACTTCAAGTAATCATTTCCACAAGGTATTTGTTTGGGATATTGCTTGATATAATATCCTTTTTAAAAATATCGCTTTTATGATGGATTTTTAGACAATTAACAAATATTTTATTTTTTTTCAGCAAATAATACCCTATCCTATAATGTATCAATTGCGTTGATATTTTACAGCAGGTTAGTAAAATGTATGTGCGACCAGCTCTTGAAAGCGGGATGTTTGATATGTCTTAGTCACATAATTAAGTATGTTTTCCTATATATATATACGACCATATTAATATAGTAGTATTACACTGTTGATACATAATTTAGTGAAAGCTAGGCCAGAATATGTATTTTAATAAGATATCTTAAATTGCAGACAGTGGAGATATATGATATCTGTTGTGAATTCAAGTTGTCTAGATTAGGCTGTCCAATATATTGTATCCTCCAAACAATAGAATATCATCTTTAAAAAAATATTTTTAGATTATTATTTTGAGAAATGAAAGTCCTTATTTGAAGCGTTTAAATCATCGTTATTTAATTTTTGAATAGTTTCAATGGTTTTTGTAAAACCTTATTAAGCATGTGTTGGAGGATACAAAATGACTTTACAATGATGTGAAATATAAACGTACAATCAAAAGTTAGTTGTTTTCGTATTATTATATTTATATCTAAATTACGGCAAATATGAGTCATTGCCAAACCAGGAAACAATATATTTCAGTTTTAGTTTCACATTATGATCATGTTACAACCCTTTTCCTTATATTAGGAGTTTACCTAGCGCAGACATCGCCTTGCAAGTGACTCTAGATATGTTAGGAGTAAGTACGATTAATTATTCGAGCTTTGAAAACAAAGTAAACACAACAATATGGTAGCGTTAACGTTATAGTGTCACATGATAACGACGCGATTAAAGAGTGAAAATGAATAAATATTTTGGAGGATTCATGATTATTAGACATCTTTTTCTGGAACGACAATATTATATAAAGCCACAAAATTTGTCCTATAGTGAGGGCATTTGGGAAGGTCTGTACATGTGAAATTGTATGACAGTATCTTGTCTATTTCTTAAGTTATCACTTTTGACATAGGAATCGTTCAAAATAATTTGCGGCTAATTATTTCAAACGGTAACGTTGACTCTGTTTACATTTTTATTTTAACAATTCAATACTTATATGAAGAAACATGTTTATTGTTTGTTTGACACTCACACACGTGATAAATAATATCTTATTTGAAATTAAACCGGACTTACCGCGATCAAAGAAAATATATTAATTTTTAATTTCTTTGAAAATTGCTCAGATTACGAAATGCCAATATACAAGGGTTGTTCAAAGACTTTTGCACAAATATGTCTAATTGTGAAAATAATGAACCAATATTGTTCATAGTTGGTATGTACAGGGTGTCCAATAAATAAGGTAAAAGATATTGTAACTTTCTTAATATTGCACCAATCTTGATGAAATTTTCAGAGTTTGTAGCCCAAACCTTTTTACCTTTATTCTGTGAATTTAAAGCGTCTTCTATTTGATTGGCCAGAGTTGTGGTTGCTATAGCAACCGAAACAACAAAAAGGTGGGGCAAGTTTGTTTACGTCATAACTTTCCAAACCATATTTATTCTTTCTGATAGCTTTATTCATATTCCTAGGTCTATTACTACCACCAATACAATATAAAAACAGTCCTAAAGTCCCATTGTTATAAAAATAAGCTATTAAGCACAATGTCCATATCTACACTAGCTATACACTTCTTATGCCTACATGTATTCACCCACTCTCTGAACACACTTTCAAACCCATTCTTGCCCATTTCCCGAAGTCTTGCTAAGACATGCGATCTGAGTTCATCAGTGCTTCGAAATGTATTTCCTCTCAAGTCACGCTTGAGTTCTGCATATAAGTAAAAGTCATTGGGTGCAAGGTCTGGGGAATATGGAGGGTGTGCAAGTAGGGGTAGCCCCAGTGCCCTAATAGTTTCACTAGTGAGGATAGCTGTGTGTGAACTCAGATCACATGTCTTAGCAAGACTTCAGGAAATGGGCAAGAATGGGTTTGAAAGTGTGTTTAGAGAGTGGGTGAATAGGCATAAGAAGTGTATAGCTAGAGATGGAAATTATGTTGAATAGCTTATTTTCATAAAAATGGGACTTAAGGACAGTTTTTATATTGTATTTGTGGTAGTAATAGACCTGGGAGTATGAATAAAGCTATCAGAAAGAATAAACATGTCTTGGAAAGTTGTGACGTAAACAAACTTGCCCCGCCTTTTTGTTGTCTCGGTTACTATAGCAACCACAACTCTGGCCAATCAAATAGAAGACGCTTTGAATTCACAGAATAAAGGTAAAAATGTTTGGGCTACAAACTCTGAAAATTTCATCAAGATTGGTGCAATATTAAGAAAGTTACAATATCTTTCACCTTATTTATTGGACACCCTGTATGTGCCCATATTGTATTCCCTTACACTGTCAAAGTTTCATGTATATACGCCTACTACTTAACATTTTTCGGTTGCTATAGTAACCTATCAAGGCATTCACAAAAGCAATTTAATTCAATTTAATGACGTCATATGGACCATGGGCCCATTGGTTCACATTTTTAAGTCAATGTATCTCAGGAAGCATATTGCTTATTGTCCTGAAATTGAATATGAGCTTGTAAGAAGGGTAATACTATATATGTATGAAATTTCACATAAAATAATAAAATCTCTTCTCTTGAGAAGCTTTCGTGCAAGACTTTTCGAAAAACCCTTGTAGTTCCAATGATGCCGCTCACGAATTCATAAAATATAATGTGTTTTCTTTGCAATGTCATATGAATATTTTCGAATTTTGTATTTTTTGAAATATCAAAATTGGTCCATATATACCTCTTCGCCAAGTTCAATGCCGTCTCTGGATAAACCGTTATGAAGGTTAACAGTAAACTCAAATGATCAAGACAAGTTTCATAAACTACAAACTGAAGGACACTGTGTTGTTCTTGAAATAAGGCACGATGTCCTCTTGGTCAATACCAATGGCTCATTGGTATGTCTCTTAAGATACAAATCAGAGGTTGTAATTTATCATGCAACGGTTACTTTGCAATCAGGACTGATTTACTTATGTTTGTATATTCTTTTGATGTTACATGAACAAACATATTTTCACTTAGCCAGACTTGTTTATTACAAATGATTGTGACATTTGGCACTATTTTAAACTGAATTGTACTTGTGTTTTTATTTTTACCTTTTTTATTGAATTTGGGGTAACAAATGTCATTCTTAAGATTGGTGTGCCCGGGTTGCCGTACGTTTCTTAATCTATTTATTAATATAACGCGAGTTTTGACCGATTGTCTCATAGCCTCGATGACCTACTTCACATATCAGGCACAAGCACTAGATTTAAAGGCCCTGTGTAAATATAGTTTAATCATTCAATTATTATTTTTCAAGACGCTTTGAGACATTCTTTGAAGAATGTGACTTTTGAAAAAACAGTTGTTCATCTTATAATTTTCAAATATTTCAAATATTTGAATTTTCCGCCATTTCAAGAACAAAAGTTAAGATTTTTAGATCATCAATTCACCACTAACACGATAAAACACGTTATTTCCTCTCCTCCATTGAATAGATCAGGCAAAAGTTATATTGTTTCAACCATTCAATTTATGACTTTTTTTTAAAAATGGACGATGCGCTGTGATGGGTGGCAAAATATTTTTTCAAAATTGTCTCGGACAAATACCTTCAACATAAAAACAATACTGTTTGTGTTTGTCGAGAAATTTTGTATTGGAACGAGACGAAGTCGAGTGCCAATACAGAATATCGAGACAGAATATATCCTGTATTGCACTTCAAATCATTCAATAACGTTTTTATCGTGTGATCCTCTGTATTGCTACTGAGATTGTCCCCTCCGTACCAATATGTTCTGTATTGCGACGGAGATCATCAACGGTGACAACCTCAGTAGCAATACAGATTGGTACAGCATAAGAACAGAGGGCTTCATTTTACAGATCATACGATAATAAGTCTTATCATGTTTTAAATATCTATGTACCATTGGATTCAATAAGAACTAAAATTTTAGAATGCTGTTTTTCTCTGAACCACATTCTGCTCGAATGAGTCAATTTCTTGTTTTTATTTTTTTCTTATTTTTCAACGAATTTTATTATTTGTTTCAACTCTAAATGGGTTAGCTGTAACGCGTTGGTGTAGATTATTGCTTAACAATGTATGTGCATGACAAAGGAAATTTATTTGAAATAAATTCACAATCTTTCGAACAACAAGTAAATCTATTCTGTGAAAAAATCGCAAGAAAAAAGTAAGGCCGCAAAAAAGGTATCACATGTATCAAGACCCCTACAGTTTTCACATGATGAAGAGGGAGAAAAGATAAAAATATTTTCAAAAAATGGTTTTGAGGTCATTTTGAATAAAATTCCGTTAAAATGCTGACAATATCCCAAATGATAACAAAACTAGTTAATTAGTTTTAGTAATTTCTTGAAAGAAAGTTTACCATTATTTATTACATAAAATATATTTTTAAATCAACTTTTGAAATTAAATTGAAAAGTTTCAAATACCATATTATGAAAACATTGGGTAAGACTATAATAAAAGCCAAAGTATTGTAGTTTAAACTTTATATGCGGCCTTTAATTCCTTTAATTCAAATGTCTCAGAAGTTTATTTGCATTTACACCAACAATAGTTTGTAACATAACTAATATAATTTTATATCAAGCTAAATATTTGTTTTGATATAAATAAATTCACTATCTAAGTACATTGTATTTAATACTGAAATTCATTGGCTGAGTATACATTTACAATAATAATGTTAAGGTAGTTTTGATAAATATTCCCCATTTCATTGATTATTGGTAATTTTAATCATAAAAATAGCTTCAAATAACATGTAGATCTACCTTTATTTTCACATGTATAATTTGAAAAGAACAAAAGTCGGTCAAAAACCCATAACACATTCTTTGCTACGCGAAGGACGCTGGCTCTCTTATCACAACGAATCCTGCGCGCAGAGTCTAGTTTTAAACTCAAGACGAAGCTCTCTTTAAGAAGGAGACGAACGATTGCAAAGGGTAAAAATGGAGCAAAATTCACCGGCAATATGATTAATATATACCTGCATTTGCATAAACAGAGTCGACTCTCTGTCAAATCTCATTGTTTGGCCTGTGTATTCCGTCTGGTCCTTGCGAATTGAGGCCCTAACATTGAGGTATTTGTACTGCATACTGAGTATAGTCACGGCAACCTGGACCACTTCATTGGGGTAAACCTTCCTTGGCGCAGCAATAAAATACTGCCTACAAATAATACATAACAAAATAACGATGGCATGAGTTTGATTTTGAATGTAACAAACCGTTAATTGTAGTTTTTACGGTTTTGGAAACTCCAGGATAAATTGATATCTTCAGATAACAGTGTTTTTTGGAGTTGGCATTGACCTCCTACCGAATTTAGTAAAAGAAGACAATACAAGGATACTTTCCTGAAAAGTAAGAAAATACCCGTGTATCTTCATTCTTTGTTTAGTACCAGAACATAACGGTCAAGCAGTTTAAAACATCCAAATAAGATTATAGATTACCTAGTGCTGTTGATAATTTAGAAGCAATCATAACGAAAATCAACATCAAACTTATTGAAATTAAAGTGTACTCAATGTGACATTTAGGTCATGAAGAATTACTAATATTTACAATGAAAGCTCTATTTTCATTAATTCTCAGGCAGTGCCACCTATATGCTAATTAACTCATTAAGTGCCATGTCAATCAAAAAATACCATGGTTTTTCAGTGCCCCAGATCATGGTCTATATGAATAACATAGTATATTCTCTCAAATCAAAATTTTCACAGAACATACCCTAGCAACCACACTAAATATAAATAACTTCCATGTTGCTAAAACCACTCTGCAGTACTAATTACCAAACTACTCATACAATAATCACCAAAACTTTAATTGATCTATTCGCAAAAGGATGTAGAATGATATATATTTTGTGAAAATCAAATTTGTAACCAGAGAATAGCAAGACTAGTATAGGAATAACAATGTTAAGAGGGGGAGAAACCCCAGGGTTCAAAGATGACATACGCTTATAATGTAAATCTGTATTGAGATGACATCGTCGCTGATTGATTTAGAGGCACCGGTTTAGCGAGTCGATCGTTGATTGGTTTAAAACTAGGTCAATTTGAAAACTTTGAAAACCAGGATGGAGGGTAAGTACTTCCGGGAAGGAGGTGCGCGAAGGAAGAAATCGTATGTCATCAATTGAATCATGGGGTTTTCCCTCCTCTTAACAATGTTGGTGTTATGTCGAATTGTAGTGACTTACGGCTGGACGGGTAGCTTATACTGTGCACCAACAATAGCCCAAAGGCCGACAAAACACACACCCAGCAGTGTCTTTCCCGAAACCATTTTGGCGCAACTGAAATTGAAAAATATAAGAATGATCAGGAATCAACAAAAATTAAAGATCCAGAGTTCTCGTTTCAACAGGGATTGTCTTTTACGAGATTTTATGATAAGAATACTTTAAGTATTTACATACACTGATACTGTGCTTTTGCAACAAGTTCATATTTTATTTACTCAAATAGGAGGAAGGGTTCTCATTTGAAAAAATTGATATCTATTTCATGTTTATTATAAATTCAATGTGTATTACCACAGCGGTTGATAAGAGGTGTCAATAGGATGGTGTCAAAAAGTCAGACGTGACAAAAGTTGCAAATAATTACATTTCGATTGATCAGTGATCATATTCAAATGGATTTGATTTGTTTTATGCAAACGTTGTATATTGCCCCACCTAAACTTATTATATCGCCTCACCTAAACTAAATATATTGCCCCATCTAAACTTAATATATTGCCCTATTTAAACTTAATATATTGCCAAACCGAAACTTAATATATTGCCCCACCTGAACTTAATATATTCACCTAACTAAATATATTGCCCCACCTAAGCTTAATATATTGCCTCACCTAGATTTATTATATTGCCTGACCGAACGTAATATATTGTCCCACCTAAACTTAATATATTGCCTCACCTTACTAAATATATTGCAACATCTAAGCTTAATATATTGCCTCACCTAGACTTATTATATTGCCTCACCTAGACTTATTATATTGCCTCACCTAAACTAAATATATTGCCTCACCTAAACTTAATATATTGCCTCACCTTACTAAATATATTGCAACACCTAAACTTAATATATTGCCTCACCTAAACTAAATATATTGCCTCACCTAACTTAATATATCGCCACACATAAACTTGATATATTGACTCAGCTAAACTTATTATATTGCCTCACCTGAACTTAATATATTGCCTCACCTAACTTAATATATTGCCACACCTAAACTTGTTATATTGCCTCACCTAAACTTAATATATCGCCTCACCTAAACTAAATATATTGCCTCACCTAAACTTAATATAACACCCAACCTAAACTTAATACATTGCCTCACATAAACTTAATATATTGCCCCACCTGATCGAACTTAACATATTGCCTTACCTAACTTAATATATTGCCCCACCCAACGTAATATATTGCCCCACCTAAACTTCATACATTGCCCCAACTAAATTAAATATATTGCCTCACCTAAACTTAATATATCCCCAACCTAAACTTACTATATTGCCTCGCCTAACTTAATATATTGCCTCACCTAAACTAAATATATTGCCTCACCTAAACTTGATATAACACCCAACCTAAACTTAATACATTGCCTCACATAAACTTAATATATTGCCCCACCTGATCGAACTTAACATATTGCCTCACCTAAACTAAATATATTGCCCCACCTAACGTAATATATTGCCTCACCTAAACTTAATATATCCCCAACCTAACCTTACTATATTGCCTCGCCTAACTTAATATATTGCCTCACCTAAACTAAATATATTGCCCCACCTAAACTTAATATAACACCCAACCTAAACTTAATACATTGCCTCACATAAACTTAATATATTGCCCCACCTGATCGAACTTAACATATTGCCTCACCCAACTTTATATATTGCCCCACCTAACGTAATATATTGCCCCACCTAAACTTCATACATTGCCCCAACCTAACCTTACTATATTGCCTCGCCTAACTTAATATATTGCCTCACCTAAACTAAATATATTGCCCCACCTAAACTTAATATAACACCCAACCTAAACTTAATACATTGCCTCACATAAACTTAATATATTGCCCCACCTGATCGAACTTAACATATTGCCTCACCCAACTTAATATATTGCCCCACCTAACGTAATATATTGCCTCACCTAAACTTAATATATCCCCAACCTAACCTTACTATATTGCCTCGCCTAACTTAATATATTGCCTCACCTAAACTAAATATATTGCCCCACCTAAACTTAATATAACACCCAACCTAAACTTAATACATTGCCTCACATAAACTTAATATATTGCCCCACCTGATCGAACTTAACATATTGCCTCACCCAACTTAATATATTGCCCCACCTAACGTAATATATTGCCCCACCTAAACTTCATACATTGCCCCAACTAAACTAAATATATTGCCTCACCTAAACTTAATATATCCCCAACCTAAACTTACTATATTGCCTCGCCTAACTTAGTATTTTGCCTTACCTAAAGTTACTAAAATGCCCCTCCTAAACGTATAATATATTTCCTCACCTAAAATTGATATATTGCCTCACTTTAACGTATACACTTTAAACATTGCGCCACTTACACTTTACACACTGCCCCACTTAAATTTAATACGTTGCCTCATCTAAACTTCATTTATTCCTTCACCTAAACCTCATATGCCCAAAGGCTAGATTAACCTCCCCAAACATAACAAATACAAGGGTTTGTCTCAACGTTTCTCAGTAAATCTTCACAATGTTGTTGAAGATTCTCCCTATTAAGAACTCTATCGACAAAGGTTTGCCCTGGGGATTCGATACGAGCATCAAAGTCATATAACTGTGGCTAGACGCACAGAAGGGTTCGAGCTTGGCAAACTGTTCTTTGGTTTTTACTGAGTGAATCTTAGTATACAGAGGGGTGTCCAATTATTTCGTAAGCTTAAACCGTCGTTTACCACTTAAAGTTACCCTTTATGAGAGGTAATTTTAGTAACGCATTACCGTGTGGTATCTACGGTAACCCTTATTAGTGTCTCCATCGGGTAATTACAACCTTAAAATTACCTATTTTAATGTAATTTTACATAACATCGGTGCGTTGCAGATGATCAGCTTCTTGCCACATATTGTATTGTATTTCACACCGATGTACAGGTTTACGACGCATTGTCTAGATAGACTTATCAATTTACTCTCCATACAATCCCAGATAGAATTCGTATACTTGTAGTATATGACTGACACATTTATTTGATACGACTCTTATATATAAAAGTAGATACTTGTATATCGTGCAAATCCACCTAAACATGTCTCTTAGAACTCAACCCCTGTACCGACTAAGCATCAGTTTGAAAATAAATCCTTATAACCCTTATATAATGATGCTTTTCTTTGATAAGGTTTTCAGCCATTAACAGAGGCAATTGTGGGTTAGAAGAGCGAACTTAATGAAATACAAATGACGTAACCTAAATCTTTATAAAAATTACACATTTGGATTGTCAACAAAATATACAAAAATAAGTTCCTTTTCTAAGCCTAAAATAGCTGAATATTTTGATATAGCATCTTACAATATTGGTGTGAGTGTTGGCTAGTGTAAAAAATACGAAAAGGTACGGTTTGGTGAATTTCATTTATGGTAACGTATTTCCAAAATACCTTACAAACAGTTGATTCTATTTGCACCATAGTTTATCAACAATATGCATACTGAGATGGTGGGTAAAATGGACCTTTAATTCACTAAATCACTTTTGCTAAATTAATCATTTATTTCATATATACTTTTTGATAATAATGCGAATCATAAATGTCATTTTCAAAATGAAAATTCTAAACTGTATCTTACTTTTCTGAACTGTATAATAAAATCAGTAAACACATACCTGTTACATTTTTGTTGTATCCATAGAAAGTTGATGATATATTTTTTGTCCTAAAAGAAAGTCATCTCATATATCAAAAGTCAAATATTCCATAGTTTTCAAATCATCGTTTAAAATTCGATCAAAATCTGTTTTCAATTTTGCAGCCACGTTTCCCGTTCGTGATAATCCAATAGAACGAAATAAATCTTAACGTTTACTTCATTTATACGATATATTTAAGACAAGGAATGATTTAAATAATTTAAATTAGAAAAACAAATATCACACCCGAGCTACTGTAGAATGCTAGGTCGCTTACGTCGAAAGATTGGAATATATAGAAACCGATAAAGGTGAAATCTTTGGACTTCAAAGCTCGTTAGATAAACAGCTCAGTAATATATGGTAAAAATATTATTCTTCGTGATACGTTATCTACAAGGGAGCTTAATTAATCGCTATTTTGGCGTTATCACTAAGCAAAAATATTAAATCCTGAAGAAGTATTTGCATAAATGTCTAAATTGTATACAAATTATTTTCATATTTACCAGTAAGACAGAGAAAAGTTAAAATTATAACTCAGTATCAACGTATTAAATATTAAACCTCAAGTATGTGAAAATCGAGATTGTCATAAAACATCGATGTAACAAGCATATCTCCTTCAACAATACAATTCAGAGACAATAAACGTACAATCCAAATCAGTAAAATCAGTATATATTGCAGATATTATGTTTAGAATGATAAGTGATTTCAGTTGATGACACTGCTCCATTGTGTTAGGTTACAAGCGGTTAAGTTGTGACATTAATTGTGCTATACAGGATTGTGTTGAACTAACCTGTGATTGTGCTGGTCGTGACAACGATTGTGATGAAGTTACCTGTAATTGTGTTGGTCGTGACATCGATTGTGCTGAAGTTACCTGTAATTGTGCTGGTCGTGACATTGATTGTGCTGAAGTTACATGTGACTGTGCTGGTCCTGACATCGATTGTGCTGAAGTTACCTGTAATTGTGCTGGTCGTGACATCGATTGTGCTGAAGTTACATGTGACTGTGCTGGTCGTGACATCGATTGTGCTGAAGTTACATGTGACTGTGCTGGTCGTGACATCGATTGTGCTGAAGTTACATGTGACTGTGCTGGTTGTGACATCGATTGTGCTGAAGTTACATGTGACTGTGCTGGTCCTGACATCGATTGTGCTGAAGTTACCTGTAATTGTGCTGGTCGTGACATCGATTGTGCTGAAGTTACATGTGGCTGTGCTGGTCGTGACATCGATTGTGCTGAAGTTACATGTGACTGAGCTGGTCGTGACATCGATTGTGCTGAAGTTACATGTGACTGTGCTGGTCGTGACATCGATTGTGCTGAAGTTACATGTGACTGTGCTGGTCGTGACATCGATTGTGCTGAAGTTACATGTGACTGTGCTGGTCGTGACATCGATTGTGTAGAAATTTTATGTAATTGTGTTGGCCGTGACATTTATTCTGTTGAAATTATCCGTAATTGTGCTGGTCGTTACATTAATTGTATTAAGTTTTTCTGGAGTTTTTCTGATCATGACAGTAATTGTGTTTAAATCCCCCAAATAATAAAAATTGAACACTAATTATATAAAATAAGACCCTATTGTAAATTTTCCTGAAATAAAGTATGCAGTTTAGAGACTTTTAGAAAAAAGACATGACAAGGAAAGATATGAGCTAAGAATATTTTAAAATAGAAACACTTTTTTGTTTAGCTTGCTCGCTAGATCTGATTCTCCCTTTGTTTTTAAATTATCTGTAATTGTGACTTTGATTGTTATGAAATTATCTGTAATTGTGACTTTGATTGTTATGAAATTATCTGTAATTGTGACTTTGATTGTTATGAAATTATCTGTAATTGTGACATTGATTGTTTTGAAATTATCTGTAATTGTGACTTTGATTGTTATGAAATTATCTGTAATTGTGACATTGATTGTTTTGAAATTATCTGTTATTGTGACATTGATTGTTTTGAAATTATCTGTAATTGTGACATTGATTGTGTTGAAATTATCTGTAATTGTGACATTGATTGTTTTGAAATTATCTGTAATTATGACATTGCTTGTGTTGAAATTATCTGTAATTATGACATTGATTGATTTGAAATTAACTCTTATTGTGCTGGTCGTGACATTGATTGTTTTGAAATTATCTCTTATTGTGCTGGTCGTGACATTGAGTGTGTTGAAGTAACATTTTATTGTGCTGGTTGTGACATTGATTGTGTTGACGTAACATTTTATTGTGCTGGCCGTGACATTGATTGCGTTAAAGTTTAGAGTATTCCGTCATAAAATTTAATCTTCTGGCGTCTTTCCTCGTGGTGACAATGATTTGGGATACCACGTGTCACTTCCATTGGCTTTATTTTAAAGGAGCACGGAAAGTATCGCAACAGATTTCAGACAGTCATAAAACAGACAAAATCCAACATTAAGATGACTGTCCGAAATCTGCTGCGATACTTTTCGTACTGCTTTGAAATAAAGCCAATGGAAGTGACACGTGGTATCCCAAATCATTGTCACCACGAGGAAAGACGCCAGACGATTTCTATATCTTAAGGAAAGAAACTGCAAATTTTATATCAATGTTAAATGAAACGCATTACGTATCGCTCGAAGAGGACATGCAATGGCAGATCCCCTAAAAATGCACTCATAATACTGACTGACATACATGTACATACATACACGTACATACTAAGATACTATATATTGCACTCCTATCTTTGGTGCAAATAACTTTGTGTCACTCCATTGTTCACTACTAGTATAGTAATAGGAATATAACGAAATTAGTATAATATTGGAAATGGTGATTCATAACACGAAAGAAAAGATTTGGCACTTTCAAATATACCAAGATAATGATCTAGACACAGAGAAAATGGCAAAAATGTCATTTTAAACCCCAAAAAGCATGCTCAAAGTCATACGGAAAGCTCTTTAAGATTTGTTTTTAGAAATTGGAATGCTCTTTAGTCTTATGGATTTTACTTGTAAAGTATGATCCAACATAAAAAGAGAAAGTGGCAATTTAAACCAACGTACGTGAACACAAACGGGGTTATTGATAGATATATTGAGAGTTTAAGCTTGCAGGTTTTTCACATCGTAACCGTGAACAGAAAGTTTTTTAAGTGAGGTAACTGCAGGCATTTGTATATAGGCGACTGATACGTATAGGTTACCGTTTTGATTTTATATACAAGCACTCTTTATTAAATCTGCACAATTTGCACCTTCATTGAACACACTGCATGGTACAATGTCTTTCATGGAACCAGTTGATTCCAACTCACAATCTACATAACAGTTCGTTTAGTGCATTTCGTTCGTTTAACCAAGACCATTTTTATTGGTAAATTATGTGTACAATATTTCTGACTTTTACTTGGCCAACAAAATTGTTTCAATGTCCAGTGTTTCAACCTGTAGGGCGAACTACTTTGTCCAGTGTTAAATAACTGAAATTTTAACAAATGGCGACATCTTTTATATCAGGTCCAATTTGAATTTGATATTAGAGAGGTTAAGCTACACGTCCAAATGCAAACCGCGAACAGGAACGCGTAAGTTCACGCTCAAGTACACGGTTAAGAAAATTTTCTGTTAAGCTACACGTCTGAAACCAGATCAGTGGACGTGGGTATACATTTATGTGGTGATTGTATCTAGGGGGTATGACTCTATGGTGTAATCTAGTCGCATAAAAACGTTTTTTATTTTTGCTTTATTTCATATTCAACCACAATTCAATTCCTTTAGTATCACTTTTTGCTCATATCAAGGGCGGACGTAATACAAAGAAAATGCCTCGTTCGCAAATCAAATGTACTGATAATTCGGCAATCGTATGATTTGATCGTATATGGATCGCAGCATGTCGTCGAAGGGAATGGTTCTTCCCTTTGTAGATGCAAAGTTGACTGTATTATAAGAAATGAAGGAAACATTTTCCATTGAGGGAATCTCTCTTTTCAGGCTATTGTTCACATACTTGTTGATCTGGGATTGCCAAACTGTTTTCTTTATGGTCATTCTTGGCAAAATATTGAGAAGCAAAGGGTACCTTGTGGACACACTTCCATTGTTGTTTCTCTGATGTCCTCCAAGACAGTTGAATTAGCTCTGAACTAGGGTTCAACCGCCTGTCCCTAGACCATATCCTATTTAGTCTGAGTTCTTTTGAAAATTTGGAATAAAAATATTCAGACTATAGCCCACATATGTTAAAATCTAGGACTGAAAAATATTTGTTTACATAGGAAGTGCCATTCAAAATGGCCAATTTGGGTAAATTAATTAGCCTATTTGTTACTTCCCCTAGCTTTATTTCCGCTTGACAATATGCTATGTCAATTTTATAGCATTTAACTGGGTACCTTTAATTGAACCTTACTACTTGATTGAATTGATATAATGTTTATTTAAGGGAAGTCAAGCTTCCAAAAATTGATAATTTTGTGCATAAATATTTTTTTACACACGAGAGGGATATGATGAGAGATTCAGTCTATTGGATATAGACTACGCCTGCCCCCATGTTTTAGCTGCGACATCATTTCCTTCAACATGATTAATGACAATGTCAGCCCCCCTTTGTTTTGAGCTATTTCAACATTTCGGCTCTTGTGGCGTTTATACCGCTTGAAAGTCAGTCCTTGTTATATCCTCTTGACTATATCCTCTACTAGTCTGGTATTTATTTGAAATTTGGTTGGAAATATTCTAAGTCAGTCTGTTGAATACATACTAACGATGATATTTACTTACTAATCATGTGCCATGACTAACAATTGCAATTTCTGAATGTTCTAGAATCTCTTTCAACCAATGTTATCATCGCAGATCAGCTACTATAGGCAGGGGCGGATCCAGGAACCAACAAGGGGGGTGGGGGCAAATTTCAGGTCCGAGAAAAAAACGTCCGCACTTGCGCGGAAAAAAATTTTGGGCCCCTAAAATCCCAAAGTGGGCCCAAATTTTGAAATTTTGAGGCCCATTTTCTTCAAAATTTGGCCTGAAATTATAAAATAAGGCCTTAAAAGGCCCACTTTTTGGGGCCTGAAGGCCTTGTTTGGCCCAAAAAATTTTTTGGGCCCAGTTTTTTTTCTGGGCCCACCCAAGGGGGGGGGGCCCGGGCCCCCAGGCCCACCCCCCCCCCTAATCCGCCAGTGATAGGTGACTCTACCCGACACATATTTATTGTGGTTTGGGGAAGCTTTAATTGAATTGTTGTAATGTTTATTTTTGGGAAGTGAAGCTTCCTAGAATTGATAATTTTGTGCAGAAAATTTCCTGTTTTCCCACACGAGGGACATTGATGATCAATAGACTGAATTCTCAAGATTCAATCTATTGGATATAGACTATGTTTATATACTGCATTTCAATATTTTATTTTCGTCAATCAAACCGAAAAAATAACTAATCACAAGACCAAAGCGCAATCATATATTCATATTGTACACGGATTTCCATATATTACGACACTGTGGTCTTTTGTTTCCTTAGTTTTCAGGTTTTATTGACGAAAATAATATATTGACAAGGACGTTTTGACAATTTTGAAAGTCTATTGGGTAATACGTATAAGGAATATGAGCACAAAGAATTGATATAAGAAAATTTGTGTTTGTGTTTAAACAGAAGTTAGTTGATGTTTTTGAATTCGTTACTGAGCGTGTTCCATATCTGCACAACATATAAATCAGAATCAGAATCAAAATAATTTTTTGTTATTATTGTATATTTAAGTTCTTAAGCAATATGAATGGTGATATGTAACGTATATTCGTTTTCATTCCTATGTAACCAAGTACATAGTACTATGAACTAGCCTTTCCAATAAATCCCTGATGAATACTTTGTTTAACAGAAATCACAATTTCAATATAATTAAGTAAATAGCAGCAACTTGGATTATGTCTAACACCACTGATGGTCGGTGCCTTTGTTTTTATTCATTCCCATCTTTAATAGTCTGTTTTGTAACCCTTTGGTCAGGATACACTATTGCAATGCTCTGTGGACTTGAGTTAACGGTGTCTTTTCCAAAGTTAACACTTCGGAAGCTGCTTAGAAGACCGCACATATTGTCCATCGTTCGTATTAATCGTCTAATTTGATCCCGGTGGGCAAAATTTTGCTAACGCCCTATCCGTGGATAAAAGAAAACAAATAAAATCAATCATACAATTCCTTTTTAGGACGAGGTAGATCTCAGTGTGATAAAGGGTTCGCCACAATGGGTCTGTTAAAACTCCAAGAGACGCCAGTCCATCAATATTGTCAAGTCTCCAGTCATTCGGGTGCCTCCCGGAGTCAGTTATCTAGACGGAGAGGAATATTGTCAATGTGGTGAGACTACATCTGATCACCCGACTTGCAAAGATAATATTCATGAGGACGTAATCCAAAATAGCCCTAAACATCCAAATGAACAGCATCTACAAGAGAGTGGACTCTCAAATGAACAGCATCTACAAGAGAGTGGACTCTCAAATGAACAGCATCAACAAGAGAGTGGACTCTCAAATGAACAGCATCAACAAGAGAGTGGACTTTTGGATGACCAACATCTTAAAGAGAACATCGCAGTCTCAAATGACCAGAATGTACAAGAAAACGTAGTCTCATTTAGCCATTCTATAGAAGGTGAATCGCCACACGAACAGCCTACAAAATGGGATCCTAAAACCCACACCATTCCAGTAGACACAGATGCATTTGGTGACATAGTATTTAGTGCAGACAAGGAAAAATCAAGGAGAGTAAGTTTCATATTTAGTATTTTTTTTGAATATCTTATTACATAATGTAGAAAATATGAAAGCCGATCAACCGTTACATTCTAGTTCATTAAGGGACATGAGACTCGATCGGCCGAATTTTGCCAAAATTTGTGAAAACTCGTAAGTCCGGCATCTTGATAAAAATATTGTCACCATATTTCAGAACATTGACTTATAAGGCTGGCATATTTGTTTATCTAATGCCTTGGTCACATTTGCTTCAATTTTCTCTACGGCGCCCGGCCGATTGAATATTTTGTTCAAAATTGAATACAATATTGAACAAAACACTCAATCGGGCGGGCGCCGGCCGATGGATCGGGCCAAATGTGACCAAGGCATTACATTTCAATAATATTATACAAAATATTGAATTCTTTAGAGTTGAATATCTGTATATATTCCTTGATTATATATATTGAGTGTTATATTTTTGTTGTTGAAAACATGCGACCATGTAATTTGCGCTACGGGACTTGTCTTTTTCTTGATACCTGGGGGTAATTTCATTATCTATTACGGTATGCACCACAACCGCGGGCAATTCAAAAATGCAGTACAAATGTGACCACGGCATTACGGTTGCTCACAAACTAAATTTCGCAATCAACTATCGCTCAACCTATCAATTTCATGTACAGGTGATTGTTGTTTTATTTGTTCTTGTTCTTAGCCATTCGGCGTTTAATGCATTACACCTGATTGCACATGGTCAATGGGGCATTTTCTTCATACACGATATGGCATGCAAAGTTCATGTGTAATCGGTATACTGCAGATAACTTTAGTATATAGAAAAGGGAGCGAGTATACAGTACAGCGAGTAAAATGAAAACAGGTTTTCACGCACTACAGGAACCCTGAGATTTTTTTCGAAAGGAAGGAACAAACTCAGGCATCGGGTCCAAATAAACTAATCTGATTCTCTTGTGCATATGAGGAAAACAACGCGATACCTACTTTTAGATACAAAATGGACGCGAGACAAACTGACGATAAGAGTTGGGTAAGTGCCTAAACTTTTTACTGTCTTTGGCCATTCAACTCCAAATTAGGAAGCTATTTAGGTACAGCTGGAAAATAACATTTTGGTAAAAAATGCTATATACCTGCACATGTTATTTTCTGGTACATAATAAAGTATGGAGGCATGTGTCAATTTCCCTGCTATTTTTCAGGAAAGTATCATTACATTGTCTTCTTTTAGTATATCTGGTAGGAGTTCATTGGGAACTCCAGGAAATTTTGATATTTCACACTTTCTATTTTTCCAAATTTTCTTTCAAAGTTTCCAGACAACACAGAAGCTACCATTGACCTTTTTCCAGGTTTACTAAAAGTAGACAATGTAATGATACTTTCTTGAAAAAAGCAAGGAAATATACACATGCCTTCATACTTAATTTTGTAGAATAACATGTGCAGGTATGGCAATTTTTTACCAAAATGTTGCTTTCCAGCTGAACCTTAGACTATATCCTATTTAGTCTGAATTATATTCAGACTATAAGGCACCTATGTTAAAGTTTGGTAATTCCAAATATTTGTTTACATAGGAAGTGCTATTCAAAATGGCCGATTGGGTAAAATTAATTTGCACATTTTTACTTCAACTAGCTTTATTTCCACTTGACAATATGCTGTGTTACTTTTTATTGCATTTAATTGTACCTTACTAATTAGTTGAAATTTTGTAATGTTTATTTTATTGAAGAAATGGTTCCTCTAATTGATAATTTTGTGCAAAAAATTTCACTGCAATTTCCACAGGAAAGTAGTACATCCTAACAGACTGACTTCTAGTCAGTCTGTTGGATACATACTAAGCTGAACCTTAAGGTAAATGTTTTCAGAATCAAAATACACAAGTTTTGTTGACCATGTGCTATTTTCAGATAAACATAACTCATTCCACACATCATCTACATCTTTCATTCTTGCACAAGATGCATTAGTGTACCTAGAGTCCATTTCACTGCTTCATTTCGTCAGTAGAACGGCAAAAATAAGAAGTTGGGAGACCATTGTGCAATAATATATGGAAAAGTATATTCATAATGTACATGAATGACATTTGTATATTTCAGATTTTTTAGTTTTTTGTGCAATAAGCCTGTGCCGTCTTGTAATTTGAAGAATTTCAGCCATGTTAATCTTTTTGAAAATAACATGGCAGAGAAACATCCAAATATAAGAGGCCACACACTTTATAAGCCAAACTAGAAGCAATCCAAGATATACAAATGTCATTCATGTACATTATGAATATACTTTTCCATATATTATTGCACAATGGTCTCCCAATTTCTTATATTTACCGTTCTACTGACGAAATGAAGCAGTGAAATGGACTCTAGACTATTAATTGAAGGTTGATAATTCTTCAGAATTTTTGAATAGCTAGAATATTCAGTGGTTTACTTTTCAAAATTGCAAAAAACCAAAGTGCACCCTGACCTTAAGCAATATGAATGGCGATATGTAACGTATAATCGTTTTCATTCCTTTATCACCAAGTACAAACTACTATGAACTGGCCTTTCCGATAAATCCCTGATGAATACCTTATTTAACAGAAATCACAATTTCAATACAATATAAGTAAATGGCAGCAACTTGGATTATGTCTACAGTAAAATTTTAAATATTAATGTTTCTATTTTTACATTAACTGTTTCAATTTGGTCATTTGATTGCTTTTTTTTAATTCAAAGGACTCACAAACATTTAAAATTTTACTAAAACACCTATACAGACGGCTCTAGTTTGTGTGCTGATGGTTGGTGCCTTTGTTTTTATTCATTCCCATCTTTAATAGTCTGTTTTGTAACCCTTTGGTCAGCATACACTATTGCAATGCTCTGTGGACTTGAGTTAACGTTGTCTTTCTCCAAAGATAACACTTCCGAGTTCGGAAGCTGCTTAGAAGACCGCACATATTGTCCATCGTTAGTATTAATCATCTTATAATTTGATCCCGGTGGGCAAAATTTTGCTGACGCCCTATCCATGGATAAGAGAAAACAAATAAAATCAATCATATAATTCGGATCTTTTTAGGACGAGGTAGATCTCAGTGTGATAAAGGGTTCGCAACAATGGGTCTGTTATCACTTCAAGAGACGCCAGTGCATCAATATTGTCAAGTCTCCAGTCATTCAGGTGACTCCCGGAGTCAGTTATCTAGACGGAGAGGAATATTGTCAATGTGGTGAGACTAAAGCTGATCATCCCACTTATAAAGGAAATATTCATGGGGACCTAGTCAAAAATAGCCCCAAATATCCTCTCAAAAACAGCATATTCTCGAATAAACAGCATTCACAAGAAAGCCAACTACCGAAGAAACAGTCTTTCCAAGAAAACGGGATCTCATTCAAACAGCATCTACAAGAAAATGAACTCTCAAATGAACAGCATCTACAAGAAAATGGACTCTCAAATGAACAGCTTCTACAAGAAAATGGACTCTCAAATGAACAGCATATACAAGTGAGTGAACCTCCGGATGGACAGCATCTTGGAGAGAACGTCGAAGTCTCAAAAGAACGGAATGTGCAGGAAAACGTGGTCTCGGATAACCATTTAATAGAAGAACATGAACAGCTTGCAAAATGGGACCCTAAAACCCACACTATTCCAGTAGACACTGATGCATTTGGTGACATAGTATTTAGTACACACAAGGAAAAATCAAGTAGAGTAAGTTTCATAATTTAGTAAGTTTTTTTTGTATATCTCTACATAATGTAAAACATATGACAGCCGGTCCATTTAGAGTTCATTTAGGGACATGAGACATAAAAATCGATCGGCCAAATTTCGCCAAATCTGTGAAAATTCGTAAGGCAGGGATCTTGTTAAAAATATTTTCATTAGTATTTTAGTACATTGACTTAAAAGGCTTGCATATCCTTGATTACAATCTTTACCTCTTGACAGTTATTTATTATTCCATTTCAGTATATACGACTAGATTATCTAACTGAAATAAAATCTAAGAAGGTTATAGACGATCTAATGTACTTCCTTAAGCTGGAGAAACCAAGTCTAGTCATATCTGTAACAGGTGGCGCTAAAAACTTCAACATGAAACCGAGGCAAATGAAAGTATTTAGAAGCGGTCTTGTAAAAGCAACAAGGTGTATTGAAGGTGGGCGTTTGTTTTGTCTATGCTTATACTTTTGAATTACTAAAGGTCAAGCTGTATCTACGAAGTCAGTTAGGTTTGGTTGCATTCATTTAACCCATTTGCATGCCTAGAATTGTATACTTTGCCAAAATCTAAAGATTTGATCCATTTGGTATTTATTCAATTAAATACCCGGATGTTAATATTTGCGCTGGACTAAACAAGGAATGTCTAATTTTTTGGTTATAGGTGATACGCTTCACGCACCAACGCTCGATACATTGAAATTTCAAACGCTTTAAGTCCAGATATCATGTTCGCCCTTGCATATACATTGCATTGGTTTTCTTCAGGTGCTTGGATCATAACGGGAGGAATGCACTCTGGGGTGATGAAATACGTGGGAGAGGCTGTGCACGCCAACGACGCTTCTGCAGATAAAAAGAAAGTGACATGCATCGGCATCGCTCCCTTGGGATGCGTGTCAAACCAAAAGAGATTACTAAATAAAAACCATCAGGTACTGAACAACAATGCCAATGCTTTTCGCCACTGCTTTTCCATTGCTAAATCATATTGTTTCAAATACTAGTTTGTGCTCAAAATTCCACATTTTCCAGTTACACCGTTCGGAACCAGTTGCACGATATGAGTGTAAAGACAATCCACCGAGGAAAGAGTGCTTCCTAGATTTGAACCATTCCCATTTTATCCTGGTGGACAACGGAACAAGACATCAGTTTGGAACAGAAATTGAGTTCAGAGCGGAGTTCGAGAATGCAGTGTGTAAAAGATGGAGTGGTAAGTATTCAATTTGTACATTTTACTAAAATGTATGTAATATTTCTTAAGTAACTCATTTCTAGACTAGGGTACGTGGTGTTTTCTTTTGTGTTAAGTTTAAAGATGCTTTGTCTGTAGTTTTATAAGGTTTTCATTTTGTGTTCTGTCTTTGCCTGCATTTGCATTTTGTTTACCATTGTGCCCCTTACGTTTAATTTACCACTATGCTCCTAACGTTTTGTAACTATTGTTGTATTGTATTTTGTTTACCACCAATGAAGGTGAGCAATACCTCTTGGGTATGTCCCGTATATGTACGGTCGTAATTTACGTAATTAACATGGAAGATAACCCCTCCTTGAAGGAGCCCTGTGTTCTTTTATGTGCACTTATACATAGACATACAAGTACACATCACAGCCTTTTGTACGAGTTGCGGACCACTCAGTCAAACACCCTGAAGTACTTCACGCAAACAAGCAAATTTAGTCTTGCCTGAACCGGGGATCGAATCCGGGACCTATTGCGTAAGAGGTACCTGCGCTACCGCTGAGCTACACGGGTGGACACAAATCATCATGTATCATCATGTCCATAACGTTTTGTGTGCCATTTTGGCCCTTTACGTTTTTATCAGCCTAGCCCTTGCATTTTGTTTACCATCATGCCTCTTACGTTTTGTTTACCACCATGCACCTGACGTTTTTCTTTACCACCATGTCCTTTACATTTTTATCATCCTGGTCGTTTGTTCCCACCATGCCCCTTACGTTTTTATCATCCTGACCTTTATGATTTGTTTAGACCCTGTCCCCTTAGTATGTGTCGTGGTTGAGGGGGGTCCAGGGACACTAGAGACGGTGAAGTGTGCCATGGAGCAGGGATCCCCTGTTGTGATCATTGAGGGGTCAGGCCGTGCTGCTGATATTCTGGCGTATGCTTACTCTGAATGCCGTAATAGCAAGTAAGATTTATTTAGAGGAGAAAGAATAATTGGAAACATTCAGGGTGAAGAAATTCTCAAGTAAGTTCACTTATACGGCATAAATAAACAGAAAGATGTGATGCAAGATCAGAAAGTAAAATTTTGCATGCAAGATGTGTAAATGGGCATAAAGTAACACGTACTCCCTGCAAATAAGACTATATCACACTACTATACCTAACACCTAGAAATGCATAAGATACTTTGTTTGTCTAATCGAATTGTTTAATATATTTTTGAAAGTGCCTTACTAGCATCTAATTTTCAACCGATAAACCATTCATAAGGAACAGATAAATAAAAACAAATACATAATCATTACTAATAAGCCAAATGGGTTGCTCATGAACACCAAATGCAAGGTATAGTAGTGTGTATATTCTTTATTTTGTTTGTATTTCTTTGTATACAGATCAGGTGATGGCACTGTAACAATAAATGATGAGCATAGAACTGATCTTAGAGGAAAGATCATCGCAGCTTGGGGAGACAGAAATGTGGATAAGCATATGGGATGGTTATTTGAATGCATCAGCATGAGAGAACTCATAACTGTGGTGACACTGGATGATCATTCACAAAACAGTATCGATTCGGCCATTTTAGAAGCTGTACTGAAAAGTAATGAATTAATTACATCGTCCATCTTTTCTCTCTTTATATGGTACACGAGACAAGTATTAAGGCCGTGTCCATACTGGAAAATGATCATTGCATCCCTTGTAGGGACTGTTTATAACTTTTAACTTTTGACAGTAGATTTAGATAATGAAAAACATCTGATCGTGATTTTTCATGAAAATGTTATCCCTGCTAGCAAGTAGTCGTTGAATATACATGTTATGCAAGGTTTTATCACGTGGTATTGGTAAGACATTAACCTATCACATTGCTGGGATTCTAGCAACGATTAGATACTAATAATGAGAAATACTGCATGTCTTATATTGTTGTATTTTAGCAAAGAGTGCTAATAAGTTGGACCAGTTGAATCTCGCTCTTGGATGGAACAGGATTGATCTAGCCAAGCAACATATATTTGATGAACACGAATGGAAGGTAAAAACCTATTCTTTTAGTCTTATGATTCGTTAATGATTATGAAACCATTCATATGTTGAGTTCAAATGCGTAATCTATTTGATCTGTAAATTGTGCTATATCTTGATTCTAGATAGTTATAATCCAACCTCTCGTCCGTTAAAATGTAACCATTGGCATATTTCAGGACGATGACCTTTGGGATATGATGTACAAAGCATTGTTAAACGATAGGACGGATTTCGTGCGTCTTTTTATTGACCATGGGTTAGACCTAAAAAAGTTTGTTACGAGGGAAAGGATGGAAAAACTCTACACAAATGTACGTTTTGCATTAAATTTTTTCTTTGTTCCGTTTTATAATGCCATTATCTAAACATGGTGAGTAGTCCATGAAAAACAACGATTTGCTTCTTATATTTAAAGGCATCTTTCTCGCATCAAAATTTGAGACTTTCAGTGGGATTTTTAAATGATATTACCAGATAGTAGTTCCAGGATATAGACATATATCTAGTGATAAATGTTGCATGTTGCATTTTCAGAAACCTGATAGTGTACCTATGATTGAAAAGAAATTTAACCTATGCCAAACATTGATTAAGAAGAGGTTGGCATATTGGAAAAAATTGCAGAAAATCAAGCCAGGTGGAAGAAAGGTATGAATTTCGATCTTAGTCGTACAACCAACTTGTTAAGGATGTTCCCTGGACGAAGTTGAAAACGATGAACACCAACCCCTAATTTTTCTTTTCAAAATGTGAAGTACATAGCATAACTAAGTGTTTCTGTGAGTTTAAGAAAAAGTTAAATATTCAAAAGTGTGTTTTGGGGTGAAAACCTGATTTTTAACATGGGTTTCAATGAGAAAGTGCCACGCCCACTTTTGTCAAATATTGACACTTTAGAGGCCTCTTGCTCAGAAAAAAGCACACTAACATATGGTTTTTAAAGTTTTAATATTCTTTGTTGCCCGTGAGAATCCCAGAAAACCATTTTTGAGAAAAAGTTAAATACTATTGAATATTTTCCTATCTGACCAGGGAACATCCTTAAACTTGTGAACTGCCTTCTTATAGACCTTTTATATTTGCAGGTTCGATTTAATCTCGTTTTAATGAGATTTTAGAAAAAATATTTAACGATCCATGACTTATCTGTACTGCTAATATGTACACGTACAATAATTATATTTAGAGTATAAAGTTATCCAGCCCCAGTGTGTTTTCTAATGTCCCATTGGTGATAAATGCGTTGATGGGAGATTTCTACACATACCCTCAATATGTAGATGACGGCGACAAGGATAAAGATGCGATATACTACGAGCAGCCTGCAAGGGAACTGTTTATGTGGAGTGTGCTAATGAATCGTGAAGAATTGGCAGTGGTTTTCTGGGATGAAGGAAACGTATGTACCTCGTCTTCTAATATCAAAATGTTAATGTAATCAAGGGCTTTTTGTATCATTGTGTTAAAAATCATTCCTAAATGTTGTTTTCGATTTTGGCTTAATTTATCATTACATATGTTTTCTCGTGTCTGAATAAGGATGGAATAGCAGCTGCGCTGACTGCTTCAAAGATCCTTAAAGAACTGGGTTACTCTTGTGTGGATGACTATGAACTACAAGCGGATATGCGAAAGAATTCCAAGTATGTTGAATGATATTAATAAGATAATGATAATTTTCCTGCACATTCAAAATGGATTATCTTTAATGATCTAAGTGAAGTGGACCCGTTTAACACAGGGTTGGCATACGTATTTGTGTAAGGTCAATGAGGGCCAGGGTCATACAATACTCCAATACGCGATAAAGTTTAGTTTAGTTCAGTTTAGCTACCTCCTGTTTGAAGAGCTCTCTTGTAGGGTACAACTTCGTCTACATCCGGGTTCTTTCCTTTTGGATTACACAGGGTGTGATTTTCGATGCCACACTGCGGCTTTAATATAACATTTATGTGAAGTTGTATTTGCATAAACGATAGACATCATGTGTGTAATTTAGATACACAACAAGGCTTTTATAACTATAATCCCCAAATCCGAAGAAAGTATTTGAAAATGCCGTCCAATTCCAGTCACTGATTTTCCAGAAATGGCTCAGACACCGTTTCAGATCGAAAAAATAAATAATGTTACTTTGAATCTCCGAATTTGAGGGCTCATGGAAGATCGGAAGCTGAGAAAATGTCATTTTGTCAAGATTCGAGCTAGTTTTATCAGATTTTTTTGAAATTTTGTTCGAGTAATCGTCCACCATTTTAATGCTATCCATACGCTATGATGTAATCATCAACCAATAAAATTCCGGACGTTTCGTTCAGAGATATCGACTAGTTCGGCGGGCAAATTTGTCCCTTCCAAAGCGATGCACCATGTGACATGTGACCATGTGACATACCTGCACTCTTATCGCGAATTGGAGTATTAGGACGATAATCCCTTGTGAACACTTACTTGTAGATTATGGGGTGAGAGAGCACTAAGCATCCTGATGAATTGCTATATCTCGAGTGAGGTTAAGGCACAAAAACTCTTGATGTTTAAGCAAAGGCATTTCGGAGGCGACACAACCATATTGGAACTTGCTGTGCAAACTAAGAACAAAGAGTTCGTCTCCCATTCTTGTTGTCAGAGCCTGCTTAGTAAGATCTGGACGGGGAAACTCAGCCAGGACAACCATAAACTGAAGGCATGTTTGTGAATTCATTGATTGGCAAAAAGTATTTATTGTTTGTTAGATATACCATTCAAAAGTGTCCATAGGGGTATGCCCAAACATAGTTCAAACCTAGACACACCATGTTCAGTGTTGACGTATTTTGTGTTCCCATTTAAAGTTAGTATATTTTAAAGATACATTAAAGGTGAGATTTTATATCCGTGCATTTGAGATCAAACGTACTATAATACACAATTAGTATCCGTTCTATCGTAGCCTCTTTTTATTTCATTTGTACACATTCATCAAATACCTACCGGTAATCATATTATGGCATATAAGATATAGATTCATAAAACTCTCAACCTCAAATAAGATAAGTATGACACCTCCTGGACACCCATTCTGATTTAGATTTCTGAATGCGATATCAGCAACAACTACGCCTTTCATTTCCAGTTGCTGCTGTGTACACTAATCCCGCCTCTGCTGTTTTTCTTTGTGAAATATGAAAAGGTGAGCTTGATAAACCTCATAATATAACATGCACCGATGCCAATAGTCTTGCTCAAGCCCTTGTTACATAAGTTGTTAAAGATAGTCGTGGGGTCTTGAAGCAAGAGTACGATGCCAATAAATAAATTGCATACAATTTTTTGTTACTCTTGTTTTTACTCGATGGGATTTTATCTTTGTGAGACTCATGATATTACAGTGTATAATATTGCTGTATTCTAAAATTTTAATTTTGTGAAATGATGGAAGAATGCAACCCTACATTTAAATTTCCGGTAAATAAACCAAATAATTCATTTTAATTCCACTCTGTCTACGATAGTGCCACAAGATACCCCAAGTAACGCTCAAATTTCAAATCTGTAATAATGATTCCATTCAAATATATTTTCAGAAAGAAACAAAATGTGGAGATGTTGCCTATGAGGAAGTAGAGGTAAAGGAAGATCAATAAAATAATATCAACATACAATCATATTAAAATCAATATTTGAAATGTTCTGCCAAATATAAGAGTAAATTCCCCACTCTTATAGCCTAGTTTCCCAAATATGAAATTATTGATCATTTGGACCTTGCTTGATCACACCATCAAATGTCTATTACTACCGTATTTTATAGTTAGATGAAATCAATGGCAATACAACAAATAAAATTGATAACAAAAACTCCAGAACTGATGACACCGACAGTGAACGACAAAGGTATGTACTTGTTACTTCAAACCATTTCATAACGGAGACAAATCAATCCAATCAATTACTCTTGCTTTTGGGATTTTTTAGAATCTGATTCTAAAAATCATGTGCCGTAGTTTTACTAATGGCTTTATTTATTTTTTACCAGGCCTATGCTGACACGAAGAGAAAAGCTGAGCTACTTCTACAATGCTCCCTACATAACATTCATTCACAACTTTGTAAGTTGGGAACATTTATCAATACTCTTATTCGCGATAAGATTTCACGTGGTAATATACATAAATATCTCCCATGATGCATCGATTTGAAAGGGACAAATTTTCATTGGCCCGCCGAACGAGTCGATTACTCTGAACGAAACGTGGGGAGATTGTAAGGTGGGAACATTTATCAATTAGATATTAATGAGCATTTTTCTATATTCAGCTGAGAGAGCATTTTCCCATTTAGCTTTGAGAGCATTTAGCAGAAACACATATCGCATTTAACATTTGGATACAATTTGACATCGTTTTACTGAAGGATCTGTCATCTGGAATTTCATTCTACATGCTTGTATAATCCACATCACACTAACTTTTTTAAATAATTCATATATTTGGTATCCATTGCAGTATACACAGGTAGTGTTTCTGCTGCTGTTTTCTTACCTCCTATTGATCCAGTTCAAGCCGACCTGCAGCTACCTAGAGATAGTAATCATAGCTTGGGTGGTGACCATTACAGCAGAGGAAATAAGACAGGTGTGGATTGAAATAGATTTCCTTCCTATTCTCCCTCCCCATCTCTCCGCCCTCTCAAATCCATGGCTATTTATGATGTAGCTATTGAAATCAAAGTCTCTCAGACAATTGTTATTTACCAAATTAGAATTTAATAGCATAGCATCTTCAGGCCGGATGTCTCTTTCCCTTTTTTAACTTGTTTCCTTGTTAATTATAACTTGTCAATCTAGTCTTGCCTTTTACATGATCGCTGCGACCTTGTATGCTACAAAAGGTATGATAAGTAATGTAGCTATCAAGGGAAGTACTGAGACCAAATTGGAGTTCCTAAGACTGTTTTTTCACCTAAATATTTTCCAGGCCCGAATCTCGAAACACTACCATTACCTCGGCGACTGCTGGAACTGGCTTGATATCATCAACATTGGGCTGTTCTTCCTCGCCGTGGTTTTACGTTTTCTCCCGTTCAACAAGACATTCGAGGCCGCAAGGGTTACCTATGCCTTTGACCTGGTCACCTTCTATATTCGCCTCTTGAATAATTGTTCCACGAACACCGAACTGGGTCCAAAGATAGTCATGATCAACAAAATGGTTTGGAGATTTGAATAGATTATTCTTAATAGTTATCAGAATAGGATTTCAGATAAAAAATGTGCATCTTCAAGAATCAAGATTTAAAAGTATCCAGTCAATTCAAAATGATTCAGCAGAATGAGACCTGTTTTTCCTTTGCAACTGAAAGAGTGCCGATTTTATTAGTAATAAACATGATTTTAAAATTTTATTTCCAGATAATCGATGTCGGTTTCTTCCTGATTATACTATCGGTGTTCACGCTAGCATATGGGATATCTTCGCATTCCATTCTCTACCCAAATGCCCCTAGTCTGAGCTGGGACCTCTTCGTACACATAATTCTGAAGCCATACTGGCAGATGTATGGGGAGCTTGATTTGGAGGATTTAGAAAGTAAAATATCAATTTAGGTTTTGTCCTTTGGAAAATATGTACTTGTATATGTACTTACCTGATCCAAAAATGTGTATGACCAATAAGTCCAATTACGCCAACATGTACATGAACGTCGACCGGGACAATAAATCCGAGCCATATAAAATATCAAATTGTTTCTTTTTAATTGGGGAACATTGTATGCTATCTGTTCTGTATACGAATAATTTAGATTTGTAATTTGGCATCATTCACAGATTCACATCAATGTTAAATACCATACTTTTTCATCCTTTAGGAGGAGATCACTGCAATTCAAATGGAACAAGTAATATCCCAGAACTGAAATGTCCTACTCAGACAGGCACATATATCATACCTTGGATGTTGGCGGTGTACATGCTCTTCACTAATGTTCTCATGATCAACCTTCTCATAGCTATGTTCAGGTATGGTTGTCAACATCATCATCATCATCATCATCATCATCATCATCATCATCATCATCATCATCATCATCATCATCATCATCATCATCAACATCATCATGAGCAGAGCTAAGGATGTAATTGTTTATGAAGTATTGGTCTCGCACAGATTCACAAATACTCAAAGTACTAATTTACCGTCGTAGAGAGGAGGAGGTTTGGACGGTTTGTGCAAACCTACACAAATTAATATATCGTAACCATTCAGAAGTGACAGTCTTACATAATTGTAATTTACAGTATAACCGACACATTTTTCATGGTTTCTTTTCAGTTACACCTTTAACAAAATTCGTGAGTCTCATGATATCGTCTCTAAGTTCCAATGGTATCATTTTGTGCGAGAATACACACTCCGTCCTCCAGTGCCGCCACCTTTTATCATCCTGGTACACTTTTATCAACTCATGAGATTTGTAGCGGGAAAATGTAACAGACACCCAGAGACGACAACATGTTGGCAACGCAGGAGTAACAAATTTGGCAAGTACCAAAATATATGTCTAAGTATAAGTTTACGGTTGGATTTTGTTTGGGCTCGAAAATCGCCAAGACTACTAGCAGACGATGTTCGTCTAAAACAAGCACTGAACGACAAATGCCGTTTAAGTGATGAAATTGGCTCTTTTTATTGGATTCACTTTATTTCAATGTATGAAAACAGTACGATACGCTAGTATACGAGCGACTTTGTACAAGTTACATTTAAGCCACTGACATTAAAAATGCAAGATCACAATATTATGCTAAGTGTGAAGAAAGGACGAAAGCAAAACGTGAGATTTTTAATGTAAATAAATCTTCATTGATGTGATTTTTAGAGGTGAATTCTGACGATGCAAAGTCGCTGAGAGAATGGGAGAATATGATCTGTGACGAATTTATGCGCGCGCATAAACGGGAACATAAGGAGAGTATCTATGACATGATGAAAACGTCAACTGAAGAGTAAGTATTTTAAACTGAAAAGGAGATTTCAACAAAAGTCATCTGATTAGTGAAAATTAGATTTTCTGTAAAAAGTAACCATGTATCTGCACTTGTTTTTTAAATACAAATATGGCTATATGTCTGGCTATAAGTCTATTATTACACCTACTTTTTAGGATGATGTGTACCAATGGAAGACTGGATTCTATAACCAGCAGACTGGAAGTAATAGAGGAACTCCTTGACACGGTAAAGTTTAGAGCATTTGTAACAAATATAATGTAAATCCAGATTTTCTCAAGAGCTCTCGGCTAAGAGCGCTTAGCTAAGACGTTTTGGGACTTAACTCATAGCCAAGACGTCTTAGCGTTAAAACGTTTTACAAGCGAGTGTAAATCTATCGGTTTTAGCTAAGAGCTCTTAGCCCGGTTTTATGCGTTGCGCTGAACGAAAAATTTGAAACTTCCTGATTACATGTGTAGCGTGATCCTTTCTCTTGTCTCATCCCTTTGTTAAAGGGGATCCAAAAATATCTAGAAGAACTAATTCACCACCTAGCGTATATCATAATCTTAATATATGGACAAAATCTTCCTGCCCTCTTTCATGCTTTTGACAATGCTCTCTTTAGGACATATTTTTTTGAAACCGATGCATTCTTTATAGCAGAAAGTAAAGCGGGAAGGAATAGCTATGTTGACTGAACCATCCTTCAAACAGTGTTGAACTGTTTTTTACATTTTACATGTATGCCTACATATCTCTAAGACGTTTTAGAAAAACAGGTGTAAACTCAATCATTTTTCGTAATTTCGGTCTTGAAAATGGTGGTGTAAACTCAACATGATTTTACTAAAACGTTTTAGCTAAGACGTCTTGAAATGTCGCGTGTAGTGTAAATAGGGATACTGATGCCAAATAAATGAAATTGAGTTTCTTCATGTTTCTATTAAACCCGAAACGAGGTTTGATTGTGCAGCGGAGCGACACGTATCAATAGGAATTACAGGATACATGTTCCATCCCGGGTGTTCCATCTAGCTACGAGATAGGATAGATAAGGCAAAATTAAATAATTTATTTTTACCTTTTGTTGCCTTTTGATGCAACATGACATTCCCTTTGGTTCAATTTTCCCTCGCTTTTTGATCAAATGCTTCAATCGCCTATTTGATCGTGGTTACGCTCCTGCCATTAGGAACTGACCAAGTCGCATGTTACAGTCACTGGTACACTCTTAGTACACCATGGCTTCCCGTATTTTGTAAGCTTTCATGAATTTTTTCTAACTGTTTTCCAGAAACAAAATCATCTAGAAGGACGTCTAAATGAAATATCCAGGCTTCTACAGCATTTAACTAAACGTGAAAATAAACCTGATGTCTCCAAACCGCCGATTGACGTCACTGCTTGGAGCGTCTGAATCTGGACTATATATAGAACAATCACATTTTATGATTCATTGAATCATTCTCAGTGCCGTTGAACACCGACTTGTGACCAAATCGTTTGTTACGATGATCTCAAATCGGTTCCTGCGTAGTTGTGCAATACTTGATACCCAATACGAGGTTCTTGAAATATACATGTACATTATATCATTAATTGCAGTAATGTTTTCACTCTAATTAATTGAGCTGTTAGAACACGACTTGGCTCGTCGATTTCTTGGTAAGTTTCTGTTAGAAGGTACAATAAATACTCCACGTCCTTGGACGTTTTATTTTAATACGCATATAGGTTTTTATAATAATTAAGGTTGAACATGAAAGTACTGTATAATATTCATATTAACACTTTGTTTTAGTACGATGCCATTTTAGGTTACGCTTTAATATGATTTATGATCGTTTAGTTTGAAAATATAAGTACTGTAGAATTTTTATAAAAGTGCTGTTGTATATAATTTTAGTTGTCTTTCTATATTTTTATAATAAACATAATTTCAACAACATTCAAATTTTGTTTTGTTGAGAGTGTATATGAAGCAAAATCAAAGTATTGGAAAGGGTAATTCATGCCAATTTTTATCAGAAATCTGAACAGCACCTATCTTTGTGACATCTAGTTTTATACTCGCTTCAAGACTGTGGAGCCCCTCCCTATCTACTTCTATCTACAATTAGTAGTATAATATAAGTAGATGGGAGGGGGTTCAGGGTCTTGAAGCAAGACTAACCTTGTTTTCGCGAATGCAACTACGCCTGTCGGCTACCGGATTAACTTACTATTTTATGACCAACTTATTTAAATATGAATGGAATAGTGCAGGTACGATTCATATTTAAATGAGTTACCCATAAAATAAATTTTAGGCAGCTTGAGATGTATTGAGATTGAAACAGCGCTCATGCAAATGTGACCAAGGCATTAGTTGGTACATCTTCTAGCGTCTAAGATGTCAGGAATTTCCATTTTGTCACATATAACACCAATCTGTCATTAATAAATGAGTATGGAAATGATTAGACAGACGGGCGGACAGACTGACAAACAGAGACAAACATCATTATAAGTTGTGTTATTGCAAATGCATATCAATATCATCCAAACTTGTGTTTGTTAAAAAGCTCATACACTAAAATGGTTCTTAAGGACGAATGTAATAAACATTAATTTATTAAGGTATAAGGATTGCCTGAAATGACCTCTATCCACGTCGACAAAACATGTTTATACTCACCATACCGGGTAATAACATATGTATTAATCTGTCAATGACCCTTGTAAATATTATTATGTGAACATGAAATCATTTGTAAACGTCATAACAAAAAATGCCACGCCCACTTTGTGATAAATCAAGCAGTAGTTATATATCAAGCATTAATAGGGTCCAAAGCCAATTGTCAACCTATTCATATGTTTATCATGGTATCTTGTTTTTAACTCCTTTAATATGTATTAAGCTAAACTTTACATTCATTTTGAAAAATTCAAAATGACAAGCTACCATCTATTTGTGGAGGATCAGTGGTTTATCCTTAATATTTACAATATTTTGCATTAAATTATGTAATTAATGGTTTACCAATTGACCAATCAAGATCAAACATGACAACTAACTATCTATGGATGCATGACCCCTGGAAATTTTGAATTTGATAGGAGGCGCACAACAGAAAATATAAATGCTTATCATAGTACCCCCTCATAAAATAAGACCAGGGGGTACACATAGTGATAATGACATTTTCCCACTACTTAGATTTTTCTAGATTTTTTATCTTTTAACGCATCAATGTGCATTTCTTGAACTTGGTTTGTTATTTTTGATGTTTTTTACTGGAATATGATTATTGTTGGCCATTGAGGATAAAAAATATATTGGAACCTATTGGGGACATGTTGTACACATTTGTGTTCTTGTGTAACATTGAAGTCACATTTTCAACGAAAATTACATTTTCAAAGTTGATAAATACTTTTTAACCATATTTCCTGATGCAATTTTACATGAAGACTTCAAATATATGATAGATGTATCATGATATCTTGTTGTGAACTGCTTCAGTATGTATTAGCTCAACTTTGCATTCATTTTGAAAAATTAGAAATAACAAGCTATCATCAATGTCCCTTGAGCTGAATTTTGAATATTTAATGAAGTAAATCAAGATTATTTCTACTCGCATCTAGTATATTATGTATCTTGCTAACCACCTTCGTTTGTTCGAATTTTCATCGGCTAGTTTCTAAATACCACACGCCTTTGTGATGCTTTAATCGATGTTAGCATATTACTGCACCTTTCCTTATTTTGATGTGAAATAATAAGCTATGATATCTGTTAAAACGTCAGAAAATATAAATATTTTGCCTCTATCGTGTGTGACCCACGTGGACTACATGGCAATAAAGATAGCGAAAATATATATAATATATATTTGAGCAAACCGAGGCCTGACTTGATAACCATGCTAGTATGTTAACAACAATTTTGAAAAGATTCAATAATACAACTCATTGCCAAGGTAAAGCCCGTGAATAGATTATTTCAGACCTTATACGCTTCACCTGAGTTAAACTGTGACACTTCAATATACAGGTGTCCCGAAAGTATCCCCCCCTAGGCAGACATATTCCACTGTCCTCATAGTATGTGTCATATATCATTTTAAAGCTTATCCAAAGTTACATTGGTTTGCCAAGTATCATGGTTTAATTCTCAAATGGGAAAAAGTTAGTCATTTTAAAAGTTTTGTCAAAATAAAGTTCAATTTTACACCACATTACTAGTCAATGAATCCCCCTTGGCCATGTTAACAGTAGCAATTATTTTCAGTTATGACTCTAAAACCCTTCAAATAGGGGTGTGGAATTTTATAACCCTTTTAAAACCTGTTAAGGCACTTTAGAAGAGTTTCCTTAGAGTTTCTACCCTCATCGTTCTCTTTTTCCAACTCAATATCCATCCGACCCGAAAAGAATTGCTGCTGTTAAGATGGCCCGGGAGGACACATTGACTATTGATTAGGTGGAAAATTGAACTTAATTTTGACCAAACACTAAATTTTGAAATGCCTGTAATTTTTTTCACATTTGAGAGTTGAACCATGATACTTGACGAATCAATGTAACTTTGGATAAGCTTTAAAATGATATATGACACATACTATGACAACACTGGTATATGTCTGCCTAGGGGGGGGGGGGGGGCATACTTTCGGGACACCCAGTAATTATAAAACTAGATAGTTTTTGTGTCGCAGTCCAAGGTACTTACATATTTAAAATTGTTGACTCGTATCGTGATCGGACACATGCGTGTTGGCTACTAGCAGTAAGTAATGTATTCTTAATTTGACACGTTTAACAAGATATTTAATGAGATTTTGATTTTTCATAGACGTTTTAAATACAGTCTCCTAGTCTTGAATATTTTATAAGACATATTAATGAATTATAGTTAATTAACATATCAATGAAGAATACGTTCTTTTTGTTCTTCTCAATCACACTGTTCCACAACTAGTTACTTTGACGGAACGTCAATGTAACAAAATGGATGAACTTCCTGGATACGAGTTGTTTTGTTTTCTCGATGATTTAAACCTGAACTAACAGTTCAGAAGACAACGGAATCGTCGATTTAATTCCTCACTTAAGTTAACATAAACTTTATTTCGAAAAACAGTTAAGATCTGCACTTTTAACCAATACCGTTTATGTAACTTAAGTGAGGAACTAAATCGACCATGCTGTTGTCTTCTGAGCTATTTTTTCGCAAACAAGTACATTTTCTAAAACATATGATACTGATTTACGTTTGTGAGAAAAAATGTCGTGGGTATTCTGCCTACAACGCGTGAAATAAGGAAAAAAGAAAAATCGTACCTTCGACGTTCCGACATTTTGTCACCGAAACGAACCGTTTCGGTAACCAGCGTAATCGAGCGGATGTGCAATTAATTAAACAATTGGCGATTATTTTACAAAGAGTTCATAATATTACCAAAGAATTGCTAAACAATATTGACGTGAAATCATTTTATGCTACTTAGTGGTTGTTAAAATCAGATTGTAATTATTATGTTTTGCTATGCATGTACATGCATGTTTTATTTGTTATTTGCTTTATTGGACTTATATCTCGATGTACCTGTAGGAGTTCAAGAGGCCAATAAACTTATTTTAATTATATAATTATTACTATGTTATATTGTAACATTATGTTACAAAAAAGCGATGGGAATTAAATTTTTCATCTTTTTGAAACATTGTAATTATGATCCAATCCAAAGCTACAGAATACCATTCGTAGTATAATCAAGTTAACAATTAATCCGTATACGGATTGCATATGCAATCTTTGACAAAGCAAGTCGATTCTGTGGGATACGATACACTTCCACTCCTATTCAACTTTAACCGTAAATCAGCTAAAGTTGGACGTTAAAGCGTCTTTCTGCAGGAATTATGGTTAAAATCTTCCCATATCTGCAATTGGTCTAAAGATATTAGCTGTAACATGATAGCGTTCATTTGATTGACCAGAGGTGGGGTTCTCTTCAAAAATGATTTTGAAAACGGAAGCTTGAAAACTGTAATATTCATTGCGCATTATGGGGTTGACATTGACAACAAAGGAATAAAATCAACAACGCTTCTAGGTAGATAAAACAAGCATGAAAACCAATGGGCTCAATAAATGAAAAGGTCAGAAAAGGTTTTAAAATCAACGAGCTATGTAACGTACAAGCCAGTGAAATGCAAAAACCATGCATAGAGTTGTTTGTACATTGTTTTGTATTTTGATCAATAAAATTTCAGTCAACAGGCATGTCAAAACGTCAAAAGTAACTATAACATAATAAAAGTATTTCTACAAGACCTTAACCTGAATGAAACCCGGGGTATGAAATAATCCACAATTAAAATGTTTATCTTTTTGATAAAGAAAATCCGAGAAATTCATGTTTGAGTTAGAGATATGCATTTTGATGATATTTAGTTTACTGACTCGTATGAAACTGGACTTCATTTACGGAGGACCAATTTTGGTAAGAGATATTTTTCTTTGTGTCCACAAAACACTGTAAATTCTCCGTTTACATTGATTAAAGCCACGAGATGGAACCTCAGTTAACGCATTAATGTACCATTGAATTAATGGCTGGTTCCTATTTTTTCCAGAAAAGGTGATATGAAAATGGAGGTTGTTTGGCTGAAAACGTTTCTTCTATTGGTAGCATTGTTCTCTTGTACAGACGCAAAGCCAGCTTGCTCACCAGAAGCCGAGCAATGTGAGTTTTGGTTGGAAGTAGAAGAGGCACTTACGATGTTGAAAGGCAAGACCCTAGTCTGGCCGTATAAAGGGGAGTTTTATCCTTACGATGTAACTGACCCCGAGAACAGCGAGCCTGTCTCCCCAGAGGGCATTATACAGGCAGATGGCTTTTGGCAAAGAAACAGGATAGTGATGGTGGTGAACGGTTCACTCCCGGGGCCAGCAATCGAAGTCTACGAGAATCAAAATATTGTCGTTCATGTCCACAACAAGCTTAAGAGCCACGGTCTTACCATACATTGGCACGGGCTGCACCAAAAAGGGACCCCTTTCATGGATGGCGTTGCCTACATCACACAATGCCCGATAGGCCCAGGGCATACGTTTACCTATAAATTCAATGTAGGCAATAAAGGGACATATTGGTATCACTCCCACATCGGGGTGCAACGTACAAACGGTTTATATGGAGCATTTATCATACACGAGCGTCCAAAGGAAAATCAAGCACCAACTGAAGAATTCACGATGGCAATTTCAGATTGGAACCACGACTTTGACTCAGATACTGGTCACCTTAAGATGGTTTACGGTTTGTATCATGGTAGGTCAAAATTTAAAAATACGAAATCTCTTGATGGCGCCTTCTTCAGCACGTTTCAGTTCCACGCTGGTCTTGTGAACGGCAAGGGCAGATGGTACGACCCAGCAACAAATGAACACAATGGAGCACCTTTGGAAGTATTCAACGTTACCCCTGGTACAAAATACAAGTTTAGAGTGATCGCTGCAGGTTCGCTTTACCCTTTTAGAGTATCAGTCGATGCTCATATGTTGACAATTATTGCTTCGGATGGATATGACGTAAAACCAGTTGTGGCCGAGTCGTTCATTATCAACCCAGGGGAGAGGTTTGATTTTGAGATTACCACGGATGCGACTGTTTGAAATTACTGGATCCGCGGGGAAACCATTGAAGTTGGTGTAAAGAACCATATTTTCGAAGCAGTGTTGCATTATGGAGATGCTCCCTATAATGCCGATTGGGACAGCATTATTACAAGTAATAGATCCAAATGCAGTGTCGACAAAAAGTGCCTTGTTATCAACTGTCCGTTTACCTACTACCCGTCCGATTCATTTACCGAATGTTTGAGATTTGATCAATTGCAAAACAAAGTTGATACACCACCCCCAGCTTCAACTCCTGGCAAGTTCCAAAACCATTTCCTAAATTTCGCATTCCCTGGAACAAAATGGACCCCGGGATCCATAAACGGCCGAGCATTCAAGAGTCCACCGGTTTCTGCTTATTCTCAGCGAAGCGAACTGGAGACTGGATGTGACTCTGGTTCGTGTGGGTTGGACAAGATATGTGCGTGCTCAAGTAACTTGGAACTGAAATACGACGACACTATCCAGATGGTGTTTTTAAACCTTGGAAGAGGCAAAGGCTGGTCGCACCCTGTTCACTTGCACGGGCACAGTTTCTACGTCCTCAAAATGGGCTATGCGGACTACAACAGCACGACAGGAAATCACATCCGTGATAACGCAGACGTCAATTGTTTAGGAGATGAACAATTGAACTTCTGTAATGATGCCGAGTGGAGTGATTCGTCATGGATCGGTGATAACATCCCTGGACTAAATCTTGTCAATCCACCGCGGAAGGATACTATCATCGTGCCTACTGGCGGCTATGCTGTTGTACGGATAAAGGCGAACAACCCTGGATCGTGGTTCATGCATTGTCATATCGAGCTTCACAACATGGACGGGATGGCGATGTTTTTCGACGAGGCACCTGAAAAGCACCCTGAATCTCCGAAGAACTTTCCCAAATGCAATAACTTCCTATTCGACCAAACGAACGAGGGGGAGGAGGAATCGACCGAATCGACCGAAGGAGAAATCAATGGAGCACAGATACCAGTAAAAGGTAAGTAGGCATAAACTAAGTGATAAAGATAAGTTTGGGGCAATTGGGGTTTGTTTATAATTTGAGTAAATGAATGAGGAAAGCCCTTACACTTTACATTGAAAATACATGTATTTTCAGAGTCTGCCTACACATTGGGTATATTCTGGGGCGTAGTTGGTGCATTGCTGGGTATAATTCTGCTGCAGTTCGTCACCATATTCTGTCTGTTTATGAGACAGAAGAGTTCAACAGTCTGAACGTAACCATGGGATCGACAATACCACTTATGAACGTTAACTTAGCTCTATGGAAATGTAATGGAGTTATATGGAGATTGAAAGCTGATAACAATGCGCCAGAATGGAACACTAGGGAGTTTAAGCTTGCATATAAAATCGAAACGCCAACTTATACGTATGACCAATTGCCCATACAAATGCATCGATTAAATATTTTCCGTTTAGGTTGTGAAAAACATTGCAAGCTCCCTATTATTAGAGAGATTTCGCAACTCACTTATAGCTCATGTTTATTATTCCCGTATAACGTATAACTTATGAAGCGTACTGTATAGCTATACGTAAAAATATAAGTTATTCTTTCACTTATGAACAAAATCTTACTAAAATGTTGCAATTACAATATTATGGTTCATAACAATAAACTTATCGTAAAGAACAGCAAATTTATGTTGCAGATGAAATTAATCTTCAAATGTTGTTACATATTGTTTACTTTAATGATTTTGTTTCATGTAACTATAATCTCTCGTTTAACCAAAACATGACATATTTGTGAGGACATTTAGGTAAGTGTTACATAATATCACCCACTGGTATGCATCACTCCGCTGCACATTGTTAAAGGACAAATGAAATAGGTTTTTATGTCACCACCAAAAGTGGTGACATATTGTTATGGTCTCCGTTTTTTTTGCGACGGCGTCCGGCGGTTGGTGGTTGGTGTCCGGCGGTTGGCGTCCGGCGGTTGGCGTCCGGCGTCTGTAACAATTTCTTACAACTTCCTATAACTTAACAAATACTGTTTAGACTGACTTCAATTTTTTTCTAAATCATCTACATGTTCTCAGAAGTTCAAATCTGACTTTAGATTTGACTTTTGACCTTCAATGACCTTCTCAAGGTCAAAAAGGTCTTTTTTCAACTTGCTTCACAATGACTAAATTTTTTTTCAAAATCATCTACATGTTCTCAGAAATTCAAATCTGACTTTAGATTTGACATTTGACCTTCAAATCTGACTTTAGATTTGACATTTGACCTTCAATGACCTTCTCAAGGTCAAAAAAGGTCAAAAAGGTCTGTTTTCAACTTGCTTCAAATTGACTAAATTTTTTTTTCAAAATCATCTACGTGTTCTCAGAAATTCAAATCTGACTTAAGATTTGACTTAAGATTTGACATTTGACCTTCTCAAGGTCAAAAAAGGTCAAAAAGGTCTGTTTTCAACTTGCTTCAAATTGACTAAAAAAATTTTCAAAATCATCTACGTGTTCTCAGAAATTCAAATCTGACTTTAGATTTGACTTAAGATTTGACATTTGACCTTCAATGACCTTCTCAAAGTCAAAAAAGGTCAAAAAGGTCTTTTTTCAACTTGCTTCAAATTGACTAAATTTTTTTTTCAAAATCATCTACATGTTCTCAGAAATTCAAATCTGACTTTAGATTTGACATTTGACCTTCAATGACCTTCTCAAGGTAAAAAAAGGTCTGTTTTCAACTTGCTTCAAATTGACTAAATTTTTTTTTCAAAATCATCTACGTGTTCTCAGAAATTCAAATCTGACTTAAGATTTGACTTAAGATTTGACATTTGACCTTCAATGACCTTCTCAAGGTCAAAAAGGTCTGTTTTCAACTTGCTTCAAATTGACTAAAAAAAAATTTCAAAATCATCTTCGTGTTCTCAGAAATTCAAATCTGACTTTAGATTTGACTTAAGATTTGACATTTGACCTTCAATGACCTTCTCAAAGTCAAAAAAGGTCAACAAGGTCTTTTTTCAACTTGCTTCAAATTGACTAAAAAATTTTTTCAAAATCATCTACATGTTCTCAGAAATTCAAATCTGACTTTAGATTTGACATTTGACCTTCTCAAGGTCAAAAAAGGTCTGTTTTCAAGTTGCTTCAAATTGACTAAAAAATTTTTTCAAAATCATCTACATGTTCTCAGAAATTCAAATCTGACTTTAGATTTGACATTTGACCTTCAATGACCTTCTCAATGTCAAAAAAGGTCAAAAAGGTATTTTTTCATCTTGCTTCAAATTGACTATATTTTTTTTCAAAATCATCTACATTCTACATGTTCTCAGAAATTCAAATATGACTTTAGATTTGACTTTAGATTTGACATTTGACCTTCTCAAGGTCAAAAAAGGTCAAAAAGGTCTTTTTTCAACTTGCTTCAAATTGACTATTTTTTTTTCAAAATCATCTACATGTTCTCAGAAATTCAAATCTGACTTTAGATTTGACATTTGACCTTTAATGACCTTCTCAAGGTCAAAAAAGGTCAAAAAGGTCTGTTTTCAACTTGCTTCAAATTGACTAAATTTTTTTTTCAGAATCATCTACATGTTCTCAGAAATTCAAATCTGACTTTAGATTTGACATTTGACCTTCAATGACCTTCTCAAGGTCAAAAAAGGTCTGTTTTCAACTTGCTTCAAATTGACTAAATTTTTTTTTCAAAATCATCTACGTGTTCTCAGAAATTCAAATCTGACTTAAGATTTGACTTAAGATTTGACATTTGACCTTCAATGACCTTCTCAAGGTCAAAAAGGTCTGTTTTCAACTTGCTTCAAATTGACTAAAAAAAATTTTCAAAATCATCTTCGTGTTCTCAGAAATTCAAATCTGACTTTAGATTTGACTTAAGATTTGACATTTGACCTTCAATGACCTTCTCAAAGTCAAAAAAGGTCAAAAAGATCTTTTTTCAACTTGCTTCAAATTGACTAAAAATTTTTTTCAAAATCATCTACATGTTCTCAGAAATTCAATTCTGACTTTAGATTTGACATTTGACCTTCTCAAGGTCAAAAAAGGTCTGTTTTCAACTTGCTTCAAATTGACTAAAATTTTTTTTCAAAATCATCTACATGTTCTCAGAAATTCAAATCTGACTTTAGATTTGACATTTGACCTTCAATGACCTTCTCAATGTCAAAAAAGGTCAAAAAGGTATTTTTTCATCTTGCTTCAAATTGACTAAATTTTTTTTCAAAATCATCTACATTCTACATGTTCTCAGAAATTCAAATATGACTTTAGATTTGACTTTAGATTTGACATTTGACCTTCTCAAGGTCAAAAAAGGTCAAAAAGGTCTTTTTTCAACTTGCTTCAAATTGACAATTTTTTTTTCAAAATCAACTACATGTTCTCAGAAATTCAAATCTGACTTTAGATTTGACATTTGACCTTTAATGACCTTCTCAAGGTCAAAAAAGGTCAAAAAGGTCTGTTTTCAACTTGCTTCAAATTGACCAAATTTTTTTTTCAAAATCATCTACATCTTTTCAGAAGTTCAAATTTGACTTTACAAGTTCTCAGAAATTCAAATCTGACTTATATTAAGTTTGAACTCATAATATTGTGAGCAACTAGGTGGTGACATTTTGTCATGTTAATGCCTTGTTTTCATTGTGGGATCCACAGCCTTTACTATCCTTTTGGAATAGTTCTCTCAAAAGCGTTAGGTAAAGAGGGACTCTGATAAATCAGAATGGGTTTTCTTAACTTGCAGCTAGAAAAACGTCGTCAATTGTGAACTCGATTGTTTAGAGAAATTACCGACGTCGTAACCATCTTTTGCCAAGGGGTAGGGGGGTCAGTTTAACAGTTGACAAAGTAGGCTCAAAATCACTTGAAAAATGCTGAGAATTGTGAAAAAATGCATGATATTGATTCGGAACCCCCTTGGCTACTATCCTTTGCATTCGTTCGACTTTACTTCTTTAAAGAGAGTGTTCTGTACTTTGCAACTCGTTAGACTCTGCGCGCAGGATATTGGCTACGGGCCTTGCGATGACCAGCTCAGTTCATGCAAGGCTAAAATACTATTAGCTTCTTTCTCGTGCAACTCTCTATGCTATTTTGTGTGTATGCGATGCATCAAATTCAGCTCTATTGGCTACTCTGTGCGTGTATGTTGTACCTTGTGTGAGCTCAGTGGTTATTCTGTAAGTAAAATGTTCACGTCTAGCTCTGTTCTCTTAATCAGGTAAACCATTTTAGTCTTTATTGGTCAATGTACCGTGTGTCCATCTCTTTCGGTCACCGTGTGGATATGGGTGGCAGTCATATTGTGGGTATGAGATATATTGTGTTCAGCTTTCATTTTTAATGTGTATGCTTCACATTAAAATCTTCTTAAAGGGTTCCGATTAGCATCCCGTATAAAAACAATATGGCGGCTCCAGGCGAATCAACTGGATCAGTCCATTTTTAAGAAATAAGGGGAGTTCTGTAAAATCCAGTTTATTGAAATTGTCTTTGAGATAAAGTAATCCGTTTATAATGATTTTGAAAACGTTATCCAAAGAGTGATTGCGTTCAAAGAATACATGTACAACAGCCAATATAAATCCTTGTATTAGAAACCGGTTTGTCTTGCTTTGTTTCATTTGTAGGATATTTCATATGCCAAGCTGTGTGCTATTACGTTATGGGGAAATTTAGATGCCAATTTTTCCTTATTATACACAAATAGAAGATCCTGAAACTTCAACCATAAATGTGGAATTGATTTGTCAAAATAAAAATCACCCTTTTATAAATGTGTGACGATCTATAATATACTTATGCTATATAACAGTTAGAGGTGTTGACACAACGACCTCGAACCTGTGAACCCTTGAGTATTATTCCGGGATCGGGCCTTTTATACTAAACGGTGAGCAACACCAGAAACGAGCGTTCGATTTGCTAAACGATATGCGTCACCCTTTAAACCGTGTCAAGCTAAACCGGTTATTCTGTATAGTGAACACCGTGCTAAGATCTAAAAAGTCGCATTGTGTGTATGCGGTACAACACTTTCAGTTCTTCTGATCACTCTGTTAATATACATGTAGCACTACTACAGTTCAGTTCTATTGGATCAGATGACGTAAATACTACTAAACTCTACTACTTGCATCTTTCACTCAGGAATGCTACGATACATATGATAGTAGGAAGTGATTTCATAGGAATGTTGTTTCAAGGCTTCCCTACCACTTAAAAATATTTTAGGTTTACCTTTTTGAAAGCGCGACTAGATATTCAAAAAGAGCGATGTTTGCTGTACAGTTTTCTGTTTAAACGATAATTCATGCATCAATATTATATATTTAATCATTGTCAAAAAGTGCAGTAAGCAGTAACACAGTATATTTGCCAAAGGTACATTTGGTGAACTATCTTTATTTTATACACCCGCTTCGCTAAGTTTGGAAACTGAAACCTACTCCC